CTCATTTTCAAGGCCATGACATTCTAGAGCTGTTAGGTAGCCAAGTGGGACTGAAGCGGGTCCAACTTACCGCGACGGACAGTGGCTGACTCCAGCGCCCTGCATCGATCACAGGTGAATACCAATGGCGACCTGACTTCGAATGGCACCGTTTCCCTCCGGCCCCACGGAAGAAGGAAAAATAAATGAGAAAATCCGGAAACCAAAAAAAGGGAATAGAAAAAAAGAAAAATAAATAGAAAAACGAAACGAAACGAACAGCAAAAAAGGGGGCTGGGTCATGCACCCGGGTTAGCTTAGCCCCAACCTCCCTTGAGTTCCTGGCCACAGCTCTACAGACTAGACAGCACGAGTCAAGTCCCCGCACGCACACTACTGGGCCGCGATCGAATGATGATCATTGGATGAAGTGTGGAACCACAACGAACCACCCTCATCTCTGAATGGCTACGATTACGACGCATCCGAAAGCTAACCTGGTTCTGGAAGCCCTTAGCTACCAGCTCGAATCAAATCAAACCTAGCCCCTCTCCTCGGCCGATGGGCTCCGTCACTTTTCCAATGCATGCACAGTAGCGACGCAATGCGCGACCAGAGAGATCATCGGCATGCTGGCTTTCCTGTTCGGTCCACCTTGAGCCTCAGAAGCCGATTACCCGCTTCGATTACCCGCCTAGAGACCTGGCCAGGCTACCCACTAGAGAATGCACCGGGACTAGTAAGATTAAAGGTTTGCTACTTGTTCCCATCGGGCGGGTGAAACTTGGTAAACTGGTCCTACAGATACGGGATTCCGTATATTTGAGCATCATTTTATGATATCGAGATATGAATTCTTAGAAAATTGATTGCGCGATATGAAATAGCGAGCCGCGATGTGCTCCACCCCTCTCGGACGCTAGAGAAGCTTTTCGTTATGTCTACATGTGGTTTGTTTAGGTCTCAGTCCTCCCGGTCTGTCGCATGGTCCAGATGTCAGGGTGAAGAACTTCAGGTGTCGTGCGTTGACGTGCCGGTTGTAGACCGTCGGAGCCGGAGAATCGCTCTACAGATTGCCTCCTCTTTTTTTTTTTTTTTTTTTTTTTTTTTTTTTCTCTCTCCTCTCGAACTACCTATCCATGTGCCAAGACTCACTACGAGGGAGAGCTAGTCCAGTATAGGGCTTAGGGGCAAACCAGGGTGGAGGCCCGCATCGGGGGGGGGAGCGTGGAGGCCTCAAGATTTCATTGGTGCAGCTTTGACTTGGACTGTTGGCCTTTTTTGGTTTTTCTTTTTTTTCTCAACTACTTTTCCTGCTAATTCCTGCCCTTAAGGTGCGGGAAATTCGCTAAGTCCAGAAATGCGCGCGTTAGCATATGGGGGCCATGCAACTGCCCGTGAGGAACCAAATGTTGGTTGGTTCATCGGGAGGATCAGCGGCTGGTGTTGGTTAGGCTGGAAATAAAAGAGATTAATAAAAATAAAAGAATGACAATCATCATCAAAGGACAAAGAAAAGGAAGGATTTCGTTACACTTTCACGAACGCAAAAAGTGATGGGCGGCCGTTAGGCTGTTTCGAGTTTATTTAAACGGGTCCGCCGAGGGATGGAGTCGGGAATCTGGATCTCATTTGAAGGGAGGTGGGGTGGAGACAGGGCAAGATTGGGCCGTGGAAACAAAGGCTGATGCGCTTCTCCAGTCAGATCGTGTGTGTAACCTCTGTTAGATCCAATTTAGCAATCTCCTTGTCGATCTCCCTTCGATATACTCCGAGCCCCCGAGGAAATCGCTCAGCCCAGTACCTGAAACTGGTCTCTGCACGATCCGGGCAACGTCAGGCCTCTCTCTGTCTCCACCTAATCTTCATCTTCTAGACCGCGGGTTTTCTTTTCTTTTTCTTTTTCTTTCCTATTTTTTTTTTTTTTTTTGCGCCCGTTTGGCCGTTCGATCTGCCCCTCCCCTAACGTCATACCCACAAACATGCCCTACAGTACACCCTGTTGTAAATTATTTGCCTTCCCCTTGGTCCGTTATGCTATAGTGGAGTCCAAATGTTGGCAGATCTGTTGATTTTCTCATGTAATGCCAAAGTAAAGTTTTTATTTCCCCCTTTGTTTCTTTATTTGCTTTCTCCATCGGTATTAAACTAAAACTAGTCAAGACCGCGGAACGGAGCAGCTAGGAGAATCCTGTGCCGGAAAATCCAGTTCGCAATCTCTTTCCCCTCCCCCTAGGCATAACCAAACATCGAGGGAATAACGTCACTCGGTCTTTGTTCAGCGTTGCTTTCAGCATGTTAGCCCCTCCCCATGACAGCCAATCATGACTGTGTAACATTCAATATGCGGTTCTTTGTTTTCCTTCATGGACGTATCATGGTGTCTCCTCCTTTTCCGAAGAACCGTTCCTTGACTCAGAAACCAGCAAGAGGGGCGATATCGTGACCGTTAGAGGATCAAGGCGATACATTAGATCAAAGAAATGCCGTGGATCCATCATGAAAGAGATATGCAGTCATTCTGCTTCTTGTCCCCACCAAACCCACCATGCCCACGCACTAGGTGACATTGGGCTGTTGTTCAACATAACATAATTGGGTAATCATACCTTTCGTAGCCCCCAAAAATCAAAAATCAAAAATAAAATAAATTGATAGAATACATGGAGGAAAGACAAAACTTTCTCCACGCACTCCCTACCCTCTACGGTATACTGCATGCTGCACATCATTCCCCCCTTCCTCTTTTTTTTTATCTTTCTTTATGGCGTTTAAATCTGCTTCTCATCTCGGCTAGTCTAATGATATTTAAATTTAACTGAGGCTCGGATGTTTACCGGAGTCTCTCGAGTCTCTTAATCTCCCTCCTGCAACCACCCTAGTCATCATTACACCACGTTCCCGCTAGTGACAAGCCCATCCTGATACCTTTTGGTCCATGGTTGCTCTCTATCTCCACAGGTAAAACCAACTGATTTTTTTTTTGGCATTTTTTCTTTTCTATACCTGGATTTATTTCTTTTTTCCAATTTTCTTTTTGTTTTGTTTTACAGTATTATTTCCCATTTATTATCCATTTTCGATTTATCTCGACCATCTTCTCCAGAGACGTGGGTTTAATTTAGAAGACGCTACCTGATCCCCAAGGATGGGGCCTTATGGGTACAGCTAAATAAACGACCCTGGACCCTCGTTACCACTCCAAACCCAGCATCGTTCAACATCGTGCCCTGAACCCCACCCCAGTCAAGAAGAGGCTACTAGCCGTGTGTCGCGCAGACCGTTTTAGCCTCAGGCCCTCGGGATCTACCATAGCCCGCCTTTTCTCATTTGACATCTCCACGCGCGTTTCTTCCCTCGCGCGCCAAAGCCTCACATCCTAGCTCTTTTCTTCTCCCCTTGTCTGACAGTCCTCCCCGTATTGTCTGGGTGCATTGGCTTTATATCCCAGACCATCAGAGAGGTCTTTCCGTGACCGGCATGGTACAGACTGACCGCGGTCCCCTGGTGTCAAAATACAAGGAAGAGCCGGTTGATGATCCTGTAAGTGCTTGACTGGTGAATTTTCTTTCTTGTCGCAACCCTGGTTGTAGACTGCATAGGAGCTCCAGCTTCGTTTTCTTTGGCTTTCTTTTCCTACTTCAATATCATTTCCAACTTCTCTAGCACTTTTTTCCTTTATCTTTTGATATTGTTTTCATGCCACCAACTACACACTTGAGCACAGGGAGAGCCCTCGCACTGTTGAGGAGCTGCATGTTCAGTAATCTCCCCGCTAAGGTTCTGCCTCGATGAGGCTCAGAAAGCGGCAAAGAAAGCTCCCGAATATCAGGCCCGGGGCTGGCATCTGACTCAATGACCCGATCACGGCCAATATGGCCGAATTGAGCCTTGCGAGAGAAAACTGCGGATCTGACTATTTCGGAATCTGAATTGGGCAGCCCATCAGAGCGTCTGATGCCATGGAGTCTGTCCACAAAGAGGGGCGAAGCTCGTGGGACGAGAAGAGAATCGGAACGCCTCTTCTCAGCGCTATGAAAGCCACGTTCCCGAGTCCGTGTAGCGGCAAAGCGCCATTTACATGGACAAACAACGAGGCTGGAGTGCATTGGTCCTCGGAAGGAAAGAGCCACTGGCAGTGTCAAGTCAGCCCCAACGCTACACAGATCCGTGGTTTTCTTTGGCCCTGGACGGGCTCATCCTGGTTTAACCCTGGTCGTTTGTTACTCATCTGAGCCCATCCCTGCTCGAGGCTTCGTTCATCCGTGGCAACTTCTCCCTCCCGCCCCTTCTATGACTGAGGAGCCTCTGACTCTTTGGAGTGGTTCAAATCCCCGCGCTTATGTCGTCATTTTGTCAAGACGATCTAGCTGTATTCTCAAGTCTTTCATTCTTTCTCCCACGTTCTTAAGTTGTTGTACCACCCCGATTGCTCAGACACATCTCGCGGTTTTGGGATTTTCAAGCCTCCCCAGTCACTGATATCGCTCGCGACAGTATCGACACAGCAACCAGGCGCATCTATCTCAGCATCATCCAGTGCGAGCTTCTAGGCCAGATCTAGAGCAATTATCACTGAAACAAGACCCAGTTTCGCCTGCGCAAACAACTGTTTCTCTTCCCACAAGCACATATCCTCCACCCCACTCTCTGGGGAACGCCATCCTGCAATCTCACGGTTCTTACGGGCCGCCAACCCAAGAATCGCCATATTATACCACCCACCCGTCTTTGTATACAACAGCAACTGCCCCCGCACAGTATCCATCCAGTGGTAAGCGACGAGCTTTTTCTAGGTTGTATCTGAGTGCATGATTGCTATCTCAAGCGTGGCCGGAGCATCCTACCTGGGGCTAGCTGCCGCCTGAATTACTACGGACTCCCGGCTGATCTGTGAGATATAGGGCCATCTGACCTCATGGCAACCACCGCTCAAATGCAGAGACCCCCTTATCCTCCAATGTATCACACTCCTCAATCCAATTCTCCAGCTTCTGTAGCGTCACAGCCGCATGATCAGCATGGTCGCAACATCTACACGCAGTCGCCACAAATGCCGCCTCAGATGTACGGATATCCGCCATACTCTCCTATGAACCCCGTTCAACCGTCTTATGCGGCTCATCCATCACCTCAGCCACACGTAATGACATCGCAGTCTATGATGATGCCTCCCCAGACGAGTACTGCACAGATGTCGCCTCATCAACCATCACATACTCCAAATACAGCTTTATCCAGCAGCCCGGTTATGAAGATGGATTCGGCTCCACAGCCAGCAACTACGCAACGATCGATGCTCAACCCTTCACCAGCCAGCGCAGGTATGCCAGCAGGAACCCATCAGACACCCCCCTCGGGACAAGCTCGAGCGCAGCACCAGGTCCCATTCCCGCCACCACCCCACTTGTTGTACGACAGGACAGCAATGGAGTCCAGTGGATAGCCTTCGAGTATAGTCGAGACCGAGTCAAGATGGAATACACGATCCGCTGTGACGTGGAATCCGTGATCGTGGACGACCTCAGCCAAGACTTCAAGACGGAGAACTGCGTATACCCCCGCGCATGCTGCAGCAAAGACCAATACCGTGGAAACCGACTGGTTTATGAGACTGAATGCAATGCCGTTGGATGGGCATTGGCCGAGCTAAATCCCGCATTGAGAGGAAAGCGAGGCCTTATCCAGCGGGCCGTGGATAGTTGGCGGAATAGCAACCAGGATCCTCGGTTGCGCAGCAGACGAGTGCGTCGGCAACATAAGATGAATCGTCGGCAGTCAGTGCAGCCTGCTACTCCCCATATGACTCCTGCTGCGCCAGTTGGCCATGGAATGTCGGGTGCCACCCCCGGCCAGCGCGCTAGTATTGCACCTTTGATGGGCCCTCCCATGACACATCATCATGCTCAACCAGATGGCAGCCCTAAGATGGAGGAAGTCAGCGGTATGTTTCACCAGATCTGATGCGAATTGTTCCGTTGTCGATGTTTCTTTTGCAACACGCGCGGCGGGGTTTTGGATGTTTTTTGTATACTTTCCTTTTTGTTTTCCCCTTTCCTTCTTCACTTCTTGGGTCTCTATGGACTTTACCTATTCTTGTGGTGTGATTGTATATGTCTATGTGGGAGTTATATGTTGGATCTGTATACTGGTTGCTATATGAGAGGTGCTCTGGGGTTGTTTGTACCAGTTTGGCTTGGATCTGGATCTGTTTTTTCATTTCTTTCTTTCTTTCTTTCTTTCTTTCTTTCTCTTCTTGCTATTCCATACCCTGTGCGACTTTTTGCTTATCATTCGATGCCGCCGCGCCGCTTGCTTTGTCTTCTTTCTTTGGGACTTGAGAACCCCTTCCCTGCATGCAGTACAGCGTAGGCTAATTTCTCCATTTGTTCTTCTCCTCGTTCTATAGGCACCACAGAGTACATCGGATCCCAGCGTTCTATTGATACAGGTCGTCTGCCCGCACCACTGGGTGCTACCGATATTCGACCCGCTCAGGTCTTTCATGATGCTCACACCATCCCATCAACCAACAACGCCAGCCCCTCCATGGCACCCCTCCTCCGCGACAGTGGTCTTGGCTCTCTAGGCCGTCACTCAGCCATAGCGACCTCCAGCCGCATGGCTGCAGCTCCGGACCTCGAAGAACAAAGTCCCACCAATGAGGAACTCTTCGGTCAACTACCAGACGGCAAGCGCCGCACCTTCATCCTAGTCGAAGACCCGCAGCGCGGTTCACGCGTGCGCGTCAAAGTCGGCCTAGATAAAGTCAAGATGGATGAAATTCCAGATTCGTACCGCAAGAATAACGCCGTTTACCCGCGCACCTACTTCCCAACTCAAATGAAAGACGCGCCTCTACTCGTCGATCCAAGCAAACGTTTCTTCGCTGAAGACATCGAGCACACGGGTGACCCCGAAGACTCGACTGTCGGCCGCACGACCGTTCCCGCACCCTCCCTGGATGGTGAGCGAGGCATTGACGTACCCAAATTGTCTCGCCGGCGTCACCGGAAAGAGGTCATGCTGAATGACCTAGCCTACCGGTTGAGTTGGAGCCAGAGCCGCGTTTTTGCGGGGCGAATGCTATTTTTGCAGCGATCGCGTAAGTTACCCTTTTTTTTTTCCGCTTATGGAATACGAGATGAGACCAGATGTGCACATTCTTTGGCCGATGCGGGTATGCCCACGTGCCGGTGGCTAAAACATTGTCTCACTGGAACCCCGGAAACGATGTTTACTCGAACCCGAACCCGAACGTTGTTCTCCATGCTAACGGTTTTTGTTTTTGAAGTGGATGCCTACCGTAATAAAATGCGCACTAGTATGCTTGCTGCTGGCCAAGAAGCTTCGGAGATTCCTAAGCATTTCGATACTCGACGCGGAAAACGTCGATTTTTGGAACGCGCTCGTCAGACAGAAAGTGACGCACCGTCCGCTGCACAGCGAAGCGCAGAGGAAGTGGAGGGTTAGCTCTTACATAGGATTCTTTATGACTCTCGATTCTCTTTCTAATTTCCTTGACGACTGTCCTTATGATTTGATGGGTCGTTCCCGGTTATGAAGGGTAGCGCCAAACTCGAAAACAAGGGTTGGGACTGGAATGGATTAGCACGGCGCAGGGATTGATTGGGTCCACGGTTACGCATTAACGAGATCACGACAATTTTTCATGTCTCTATACGATTTGATTCTTTCCTTATTACGGTCATTAGGGATTCTGATCCGGGGCTTATTCCAGTGATACCAATCTACTAAGCTTAGACATTGCGCAGGGTTCACCAAAAATAGTAAAGGACTCGGACCCACAGACCCGCAGTTCCACATTGACAGGACCCTTATGAATGCAGGACCCTGAGTCCCTGGTTTGGGATAGAATCGTGTACTGTAGTCAAATGTCTAAATCTCTATGCCCTCAAAGCGCTTCTACTTCTTTACTCTTTCTAGGATCTTTAATCATCCAAGGTCTATTATCTCCTCTGTGCTACACTTCAAGTGGCGGGGCGTTGTATCCGTTGTCCGGGTCACCACGCGCTTGTTGACAACTTTATTTCTGTAGACCCTTTCTCCCCACTCCCCACTTGGAGAATCTTGGATTCCTGCTCTGAACCTTTATTGTTCTTGAATCCGGTCTCGTCCTCAAGTCTACCTGTCACAACTCAGCTTACCAGTCGGGCCTGACACCGCACTGCCCTCATTCGGAGAACCGAGGATCCTGCCTTCAGCAGGCAATGCCTGTCTAGCCGCTTCTCTTTCTTTCCCAGAACGACCGCCCACATCAACATCGACCTACCTCCAAACTATTCGACAGAGGTCTCGCGAAAAAAGCAAACCTACTACGACCATAATCACAAATACCATCGGCACTTACATCCACATCACATCTACCTCAGCCTCAGCCTCAGTCTCAAATCCCTTGCAGCTTACACCCACCAGCACCCACGATCTGTCACAACAAACCCAAAATGGATCGCTCTAGCAACTCAAACATCCCTGAGCCACCTCGCAGATACTCCCACACAGACCGACAAGACTCCTCAGTAACACCGGGCGTCGATAACCTAGGCCCCAACTCCATAGGTGGCGGAATCAGCGGCATAGCACTCGGAATCGCGAATACACACGATCGCCAAAGCGGTATCGACGCGGTTCGCGGCATGGATATGGATTATCAACAGGATGGATACACCGGTCCGGCTGAACGAGGCTTTCGCACAACTGGCTCGGATAATCCCTACGTACCTGTCTCGCCTAACTCTGGCACTGGGTATGGGAGTCCTGAATCGTTTCAAACGGAATTGCATCAATTTCCGTACGGGTCGGGGTTGGCACTTGGGAATGAGGGTGCATCGCCGGCTATGCAGACGCCCCAGCATTCTAGTGCACATTTAAGTGAGGCGCGGCGGAGTTTTTATGAAGGCTCCATTAAGGGTGCGAGTGCCCCGGCGCCTTATGGTGGGAATGGACTTGTCAGTGATGGGCCTTATCAGAGGTCGTCGCAGTATAATGCTGGGGCGATGAGTATACCGGTTGACATTAATCCTGATGAGATTGTGGATGATGGAGACGATGAGTTTGGACCTGGGTCTAGGGCTCTGGCAACAGGAGCTGGTGCTGGGACCGGAGCTAAAGCGCACAGTGGCTTCTTTGGAGGGTTCTTTGGGACAGAGAAGGGTGCTGGTGTTTCTTATGATGCTGTGCCTGGCGGTGGATTGGAGGCTGGACGCGGTGGGAAGAAGACGCTCGGTATGGAAGGGAGAAAGAAGCGGGGATTGATAGTTGGCGCAGTGCTTGGTTTTATTATTCTTGCTGCCATCATTGGCGGTGCTGTTGGTGGCACGCTTGGAAGTCGACATGCCGATCAGTCATCTTCAAGCGGGTCCGCATCGGATGATGAGAAGAACAACGGAGATCTTACCAAGGACTCGACTGAGATCAAGGAACTTATGGGAAACAAAGATCTGCACAAGGTTTTCCCTGGAATGGACTACACGCCTTGGGGTGTACAGTATCCACTTTGTCTGAAGTATCCGCCTTCTCAGAACAATGTGACTCGTGACCTAGCGGTGCTGTCTCAGTTGACCAACAATGTCCGCTTATACGGCACGGACTGCAATCAGACGGAGATGACTCTGCACGCGATTGACAAGCTTGGGTTGACTGACATGAAAGTTTGGCTTGGAGTGTGGATCGACTCGAATACCACGACAACAAAACGCCAGATCAATCAGCTGTATGACATCTTGGATAAAACCACCGATAGGTCTATTTTCAACGGCGTGATTGTTGGCAACGAAGCCCTGTACCGCGCCGGTACAGATAAGACATCGGCCGAGACGAACCTCATCAACTATATCACTGATGTCCGAGATGAGGTCAAGAAACGCAGCACCGACATGCTGATCGCTACATCCGACCTTGGTGACAACTGGAATGCCAAGCTGGTGAGCGCCGTCGATGTTGTCATGTCCAACGTGCATCCATTCTTCGCGGGTGTCAATGTCGACGTTGCCGCTGCTTGGACGTGGAGTTTCTGGCAGAATCACGACGTCTCACTCACCGAGGGCACAACAAAGAAGCAAGTTATCTCCGAAGTGGGATGGCCTAGCGATGGAGGCAAAGATTGCGGTGAAAGCCCGGTGTGCAATTCCGATACTCCTGGTTCAGTAGCAAGCATTGATAACATGAACACATTCATGTCCGACTGGGTCTGTCAGGCTCTGGACAACGGCACCGACTACTTCTGGTTCGAGGCCTTTGACGAGCCGTGGAAAATCCAGTTCAACACTCCTGGCAAGGAGTGGGAAGACAAATGGGGTCTCATGGACTCGGCACGCAAGATCAAACCTGGTCTTAAGATCCCCGATTGCGGTGGCAAGACTGCTTCTTAATGCCTACGACTCGTAGGTTATTCTTTGATGATAATGAAACCCTTGCATGCATATACACCTTTTCTTATCATTTGCGCCGGTGTTCAGCAGTCATGCAACTTCTTTTGACTACCCTCATCTTCGCATGTTCTTGTTCTTAAAGGGGAAATGTTCATCCCACTCGCTGCATTCTCACCGTTTTTGCGCCATTTCATGTTTTGAGGTCTGGCGTTGTGCATTCCGTGCTGTTGTATGAGGTGGACTTGTTGTCTTTGCGGAGGATTTTTATGGAATATCAATATTTTATGTTGCGTTTGGGTTTCGCTGATGGGTTTACTATGCTTGGGCAGGGTCAATGTACATATTGCGATTAATCTTGGCGCTTGTCTTTCGAATTCGATGGATTTGAGTTCGAAATACTCATATTTCTTATGTTGGAAGATGGATTTATGAAGCGTCTTCCAATATCTGTAGGATTCATAAAAGTTCATAAGTGCCAATACTTTAATTCTATGTTCAACGAATGCTTTTAAAACCAAAGATGTCCGTCCTGTCAATGCGCAGTGATGCAATAAACCAAATAACCCTTCACAAACTCCAATACAATGCATACGCAGTGAACTGTGATGTGCAATCGCCCAATTAGGATCGCAAGCAAAATATCATGACTCTACTTCATCGTTCTCCTCCTCCTCCTCCTCTTGGAAATACAACCTCGTCATCCAAAAAGCATGCTCATTGCTGGTAAAGGGCTCCAGAGCCCTTGATCCCATCTTGCCTACGAATCCTTGAATAACATCTGACTCCGTATTTTCCAGGGGTCCACCAAACACAACCCGAGGACTAGACGGGAGAACCAGCTCAAGATGTTTTCTCTCCGCACCAGGACAGAAGAGTAGTGTGTTGCGTGTAACACTTTCAAAGCCGACGGGGTGCTCAACGACAGTGATCCCCATGGCATCCAAAAGAGCGCAATCCAAAGTATTAAAGACGGGGTCTTGCGCAAAGACCGGAACGGAAGCTGGCATTTCCATGAGCTTAATGAACATCGAATACGATCAGAAGCATACGGGAAGGGAATAAGACACTCACAGCCAAGTTTCCCCTTGATCTTCTCCAGCGCAGCAAGCTGATACATCGACACACTTCGTCGATCCACCCACCCATCGCGAAGGAATCCACTCGGACTACCAAGTCCAATGCACACAATTTTGTCCACGGCACCAAGACCAGAGGATTCATCCTGCGCCAACTGAGCCCGTTCATCCAGTACTTTCTCCAATTTCTTCCAAGTTTCCGATCCAGTCCAGGTATCCCGATGCGCAGCGTATTGTGCTTGCAATTCCTCCAATGTTAACCGACCCGGAGCTTCGGCGGGGCTCAGTACAGGATCGGACTCGACATCTTCTGTCGTCACTGTCGCGCCCGCGCGATCTGAGCTGGACATTTTCTTCGAGCCCTTCGTCCCGCGCATTGTGCGCCGTGCGTTGCCTCCCGTTGTAACGTGGGTCCAGCCATCGTCGTCGGTGACTTGCAGACGTTTTTGTGTGAGCGGGCTCGGACGCTTTGTGCGCGTGGAATGCGGCATCGTGGGCGTTTTGATCCCGATTTTGCGATTAGGGGTTCGGAAATTCGAGGGTGGTAGGACTCGAAATTTGACGAGGACCGATTTTATCTCGTCTTATCTTATGGTGGTTCTTGATTTGGATTGAAGATTGATCGGAAGTGAATGACTAAGCGGTGAATCTCAATGGGATACACATTGAACTGAACTACAGACTTGTTTCCTTCAATGTCGAGGAACTTCAGGACTGACAGAAACTTTATTCCACTGCTTAGACTTGTTTTTGCCATGAAGTGAAGCGAGAGTGATGAGTTTTATTGCCCTCTATGAAGAACACCTGGATTCTAGGCCCAATATATGCTCTATCGTTGCTTAGTTGCAACTGTCGAGATAGATCCTCAATGGGATGAACCAGTTCAATTGATTAATGGAGCAAGTGATCTAGAAGTATAGGGCGAAATCAAGAAAGTCTAATAGCGGTGGCTATGAAGGCTCAGAAGCGCTCAGATAGGAAGCCCCACCACAAGTAATGCTTAGAATCCAAATATAGTCGCTGATCAAAAGCTTGAGTTACCACCAGTTAAGGTTAAAAGGGAGGAATTGCAGGCTCTTCCTTCGTCTTTGGTGACTTGAAACTCTATGTAGGACTTCGATATGAAGGTACGACATTGAGCCCACATGGGCACATGATATCTATTGTGTGATAAGTACCTCAACTTCTTAGCTTAAGCGTTCTCCCAAGCACTAATGCGTCTCATCACCTTGAAATCATGGAAACTGTCATTCTCCGGTTGAATTCCAGGGCTAAGATAATTGCCCTCATGCAGTTTCCTGATTTACTCCGCTTTGAATCCCTGCGACATCTGGATTTCGTGATTGTGACTGGCCTAAAATGTCCCAAGATTGCCCCTGGGAACGGACAGACGTTCAATATGCATCGGTCGCATTTAGTCTGCCCGTAACCCACTCTTGACAGACTTGGGGTTGGTCAACACCGATCATTGCGGATCCCATGAACCGAACCGAGCTGCATCCGCAAGAACAAAAGTGCTAAAAGTGCTTGTCTGTGATAATAATTCCCCAGCAAGTCCATCACATATGTGCTCTGTAAGCGCCGAGCAGCCACAGGCCACCCCCTCAGAAATCCCGTTAGCGTCTCCCCTCGGCGCTTCGAGCTCAGGCCTCTCCGCCAATCAGAGTCCCCGATTGCCCTTCAAGTGATGGCACTTGCAGCAGGGCCGTGATGATCCTCAGCAGCCTGCTCCACTGGACCAGTAAGAACCATCCATGGGTCGTGCAAGCTGCAGTGGCAGTCACACCTGGATCCTGCATCCTCACTCGTCGGCGGCAGCCATGTCTGCACTGGGAGCAGTACCCCTCAAAAAGAGCCCGATCAGCCCTCGTAAATCTTACTTGGCTTTGTGAGATTTTGTCTGCTGGATTGACGTTCATCTTTGCGTTACCCAGTCTACTTGAGGTTCTACATTGCGAATAACTGGACTGGTTCCATTGCTTTCGCTTCCAACCTCGTGTCGCTTTTAGACTTTTGTTTCATCTTGAGCTTTTTTTTATCAAACGCTCATCTCACATAATTATCATCATGGCTCAATTCTCGACATCTCGATGGGCTTCCCTTCTGGTCCTGCTGTGCGTGGGCCTGGCAAATGCCCACACTGTCATCACATATCCCGGATACCGAGGAAACAACCTTCACACCAATGGTACCGTCGCTGAAGCTGAAGGGCTAGGTGTTGCTTATGAGAACGGCTCATACATCTACCCCTATGGCATGGAGTGGATCTATCCTTGTAAGGAGACCCGTTGACAATCCGCCCTGCGATGAACCTGAACTGACAGACTGCTCTAGGCGGTGGTATGCCCCGATCAACCAACCGTACCAAGTGGCCCGTCCAGGGAGGTGCCGTTGCGGTCCAGCCTGGTTGGTTCCCCGGCCATGAGACTGCCTTGATCTATGTCAACATTGGTCTCGGCACGATCCCTGAGAACATGAGCCACCCGGTCGTCTCTCCCTTCCAGATCACCGGCCCGACCAACAACCCCTACCCCGGTACCTTCTGTCTGCCGCAGGTTCCCTTGCCCGCGAACATCAGTGTCAAGGCTGGTGACAATGCCACTATCCAAGTGGTTGAGACCGCAAAGCACGGTGCCGCACTATACAACGTATGGTCTTCCTAGTCCTGACAATCCTTCATCAACTAATCCCTTTTAGTGTGTCGATATCACCTTCGCCGAGGTCCATGACCCCGAGATTGAAACCGTCACTCGTGACAACTGCTTCAACTCCACCGACCTGTCATTCCAGTACATGTACACAACAGGTGGAGTCAACGCGGCCCCGAGTCTGAAGCCTCATACACTGCTTGCCCTCGGACCGCTCCTGTTGGCGGCTGTCTTGGGCAGCTTCGTGTAGATATGACTTTTTTGCTTGTCCAAACTGCATTTGCGCGCGTCTATGTTTATGACAACCATACCCTTTCCTTCTAATATGCGATCTGTCTAAAATTATTGATCTCGATGATCATGGCATGCTTGCCTCGTGTTTTGCAGCGCTATGTCTCCATCCTCTCTGGTGTGCGTCGGCGTTTTGGGTTTCCTTCTCAATGTTATGGTGTTGAATATATCCACCCGTCAATATCAATGAACCACCTTCATGGCTGATATGGATCTTGCGTAGATGAATCTAATTAATCTCACCGAGATATTCGGCCGGGTAAGCGGAAGCGCTGATTGCCGAGATTTCCCGGAAGTCAATTTTCACTATTTTATCTGCACCGAAGACCCCTAATTTCGCGATAATCATTGCCACCATTTCTATGGGGGCCAGTGGGGCTATTTCAAGTTATCAGTTATCACTTCGGATGACTATTTCAATCTGCACTTTCCCAATTAATTCCAATTCAACATTCCTCAACCATTGACCTCTTCCACATCTTCCACATATCCTTATCTGGACCATTTAACCATACCAAACAATACAAACATGGGGTCAATCACAGTTGACGTCCACGACTTACAAGATGATCACCAAGAAAAACATATTGTGAACTTCATCCGCAATCATCCAACAACAATAGGTCTCCTCAATGATCCCGAATTTGAAGAGGCAGCATTCGACGACGACACCATTCCCGAAAGCCTTCGCAACAACAACCTGATTACAGGTGCCCTCGCTGGCCCCAACAAGCTAGTCATGGCACCCTTTACATTAAGAAACGACTCTGAAAACAGCATTGTCATGTTCATGTACCTGGGTAGCGGTATCTGCGGACACCCCGGTATCGTCCACGGCGGAGTCCTCGCAACACTAATGGATGAGGGCCTAGCACGATGCTGTTTCCGCTTGTTGCCAAACAAAGTGGGCGTTACGGCGAATCTGAACATTAATTATAGAGCGCCGGCTATGGCCAATTCGTATGTTGTACTGAAGGCGAAGACTACGAAGCTTGAGGGGCGGAAGGCTTGGGTTGAGGCGAGGATCGAGAAATTGTCTCCAGATGAGGATGGGGCGGGATTGTTGGTGGAGGCAACTGCGCTTTTTATAGAGCCAAGATTGGCTGCGGTATGTCTCGATCAGGCTAATGGCTGTTTGAAACTGGGGCTAATTTGTTTAGACGTTTGATACTCCTTATAAAGGGGTTTGATTGGGATATAATCTTGGAGAGCATCTATACTAGAATGATCTTGGAAGGCGTTTAGCAACCTGATATTCATACGCATCAAAGTTTTACATATAAACTCTGAAAAGGAGCGAGCCAGCTAGCTGGAAACTGATTCATCAATATTTCATCTTGGTTCGTTCACTATGTTCGTTATGTATGCATCACCTGAGCCTGATTTAAACCTGTAGCGTCGTCATTCCGGTAGACATATAGCTTATACAGTCAGCTCCTTAGTCAACTCAATGATGGTCTGCACCACCTCATCTGGAGCTTCTTGAGGGATCCAATGTCCCACCCCTTCAAGGACTTTAAGCGATCGGAAATCAGAGCATACGGCACCACTGGTCATTTTTTCCAGAGCACCAGGCTCCTGGTACGTACCCCAGTCTTTCTCTCCTGAAATGAAAGAACATGGCGGCTCGATTTTCTTCCCCGCAAAGAGATCATAATCCTTCGTATATCGGCCACCAGCAGCCGTGTGAACACGGTACCAGTTCAACCCCCCTTGGAAACCGGTGCGAGCATACTCCGCTACATATACCGCAAGCTCATCATCCGGGAGCCACGAATGGGAAGTTTTTCCACCCGACGGCTCATCAACCATATGCTGTTCTACTGCCTGGGGCATTGTAGCATCCGACGGCATGATATAATAATACGGCATCTGCACAACCTCTTCAGCCGTCCACCCTTTCAGTCGATGTGGCTGGTTGCCCGGCCACGATCCACTCTTGAGATGGAAATAGCCACGCAGGAAGCGGTGTAGATCATGTGGAGCCAGACACATATCCCCATTTGCTGGGGCTGTTGAATAGTACCACTTATAGTGTTTTCGACCAGCTTGCGCCAGCGCCTGATGAATTCCCGATGCAGCAGCAGAGCCTTCAGCTCCACCGCCGCCACCAGCAGCCGCTGTTGCCTGTTCATCTATGCTTTGATTGGCGGTGTTGAAAGGCAGCGTTGGACTCCCGTTGAAGGGATGGCTCATTAGCACCACGCTACGAAAGAAGTCTGGTCGCATAAGCGCGCACATGGAGGCGGTGATGGCGCCGCAGTCGTGGCCGACGACACAATGGACCGAGCGATATCCTAATGCATGGACCAGGATCACCACATCGCGAACCAGGTTGGTCAATGAGAAGCTGGCCAAATCGACATCGTCATAGGGTCTAGCGTCCCATCCTGTGGTGCGGCCGAAGCCGCGCTGATCCGGAGCGACGGCATAAAAGCCTGCGTCTGCTAGTTGGGGCAGAACTCGTCGCCAGGAGTACGCGATCTCAGGAAACCCGTGCAGTAAGACAATTAAGGGGCGATTCTGACCAGGAGTGGCTCCGGCCTCCAGAGTGTGGAAGGTAAGCTCGGGGGTTACGACGTAGCGACTGGAAACACCCCTGGGGAGGGGCAACGAGGGAGGTTTAGCTAGAGACATTATAAAAGGACTTTAAATTGTATATATCTCCTTTATTTCTCAGGAATGACAGCAGCTATGCATTTAAACATACTCCCCTTACCTCACTTTTGGGGAAACATCAGCCTGTTTCATAAGGTTTACTAGGTGCCTGACCCGTTCCTTGGAAGTCATGACGCAAGTTTCCCTCTCGACTTCTTCGATTCCCACTTTATGTAACATCTCTCTTTCTTCACTGAAATTCGGGGGTTTCAAAAAAAAAACCATTCTACACCCTTTTACTTAATTCTCACTGGCTCTCGTTCTTTGATCCATCAATTTCTTTCCCATTGCGCGTTTCCCTGTTCCGCACGGTTCGCTCGTCACGTTCTCTACCATCGCATCTGCATTTTGGGTTTTCTTGTCTACATCGAATCGTTACACACAACATCCGAGTCTTCCGTCTTAATTAATTCGGATCAACCCCGGCGCTGCTCTGCGCAGTGTCCGGCCGGCCATCCGTTAGCCATCACACTGAGCTCCAGGAGCTTGAGCAATCATGTTCGGCCGCCGCAAGAGAAGCTCTTCTCACCATCATCAGGTACACTCCACTCCGCCCGACCATCGAATTCGGGACAACCTAATTGTATCGAATTGCGATCAAGCAAGCTTGCGATTGCTGAAGATATGGTGCTAACTTTAATCCCTGCTCTAGCCGCTGCCCACACCTGCGTCCCAATCAGCGCAGTCTGCCGCCAGCCATGCTTTCCTAAAGTCCCAACCCTCCACAGGTAGCCTGTCATCCGCCGCGGCGGCGGCGGCACTGCGAAATCGCACGCCAACTCCGACGTCTGTGGAAAATGTCCAGACAAAACGCATGACCCAGCGGGCAGCCTCGACCCATTCGCCGCGCGGCACAATGTCCTCCCGTCGCTCAGCTAGTGTGAGCGGGCCTCTGCGCCGGTCGAGTAGCTCAAGCTCGATGACGGCAAGGACATTTCGAGAGCCGTCGCCTCATCGGCCATCAACAAGTTCTGGCCCCGTTTCTGTGCAACGACCCATCGAACCCCCATTACCTAGCTTGCCTTCGCAATATGCCCAGCGAAAAGATGCTACCCGTCGCTCCTCGAGCCTCGAACCATCGATGCGATCACCTCCGGCATCTCCGCCGCGGGTCTCCACGCGAGGAGTGAGTTCTGATCGTGGGGGCGCGAGCTCGCCTTTGCACAGCCGGGTTAGTAGCTTGAGCACCGTGCCTGAGGTAGATCGACCAGGAAGCCGGAATTCGGTCAATTTTTCTTATCCAAGGGGCACCCGACCGAATTCGCCGCCCTTGACACCCTCGATTCCCGAAAACCAGCCTATCAGCTTAGGCGCAGTTGTGGATAGCGATGGAGCACAAGAAACCGATACCCAGCAAACTACACCTGAGAAACCAACTGGCACGAGGTCTAAAGTGCAAGCTGCAGATGGAAGCCACGCGAGCAAGTCTGCGGGACCTGCCGCAGGTACTGCTGCGGCTGCGGCTGCTCAGGCAATTAGCACACAAAAAAGCAGTCCCCGCGCCGCGGACCCCTCTCACGCAAGGGTTGAAAAGCCAGAGCGCGACCCTTCAACTATTGGCAGTTTAGACAAAGAACATCCTTCTTCACGGACTGGGCCTGAGAAGTGGCCCGCCGTTACCCGCGAAAACGTTCCCGAAGAACATGCAGTAGCCGAGGTCCCTCAACGTCAGGATCCTGGAAACCGACTAGCAGCAGCATCTCCATCATCCGACCGTGCTGACACAATAGTGACGCCCCAGTCATCACCTTCCGCTGCGAAGGGATTAAGGGATCAAGAAGTACACCCTCATCAGTCAAACAGCCCTGGCCGATCAGCCCGTTTTTCCAAATGGCTTTCTGTCAGCAGTTCTGGAGACCAGATTCACCAGCCCCCCGCGAGATCTGTGTCTCCTGTCAAGTCGGCCTTGAAGCATACTCGTGGAAGCTCTCTGTCTCCGGATAGAAGGGTGTCACTCACCGGGCAGCCTGTTCACCCACCTGGTGAGATATCTGATGGCACGTCAGTGGCATCCGATGATGGATTCCGACTTAACGTCGCCAAAAAACGGGCTCCTAAGGTGAGCTTCGATGATGAGGCTGAGATTGTCGGTGTTGCCGCAAGCCCTCCCACCTCTCCTGAGGAATATACCCCCGGTTCACCACCCAAAACTAAGTCCCGCATGAGTTGGCTTGGTGTTGGCAAAAAGAAGCAAGGAGCATCGGACTTTGCCACGGGCGACGATGATTTCGGTGGAGTCTTAAAGCCGCGACCAATACTTCCTTCCTTTGGCAGCGTACGAGGGAATCGGGATGGTGGTTCCCAAGAGCCTGCAGTTCCTGAGTACAGTGACAATGACTCTAGCAGTTCATCTGACGATGAAGTGGCAGCCGGTCCGGTTTCCTTCTCAAATGACCATGCCATTGGAGGAGTCCTTCCCAAGGCTCGATCTCAGGACCCCCGCAATGTTACCTCTGTGGAGCGATTTTCTGTCAGTGGGGAGAGTAATTCATCTCAGCCGAAGGCCGCAAGTGATAAGAAACTGGATGGCGTGGCCATTGGTGGTATCACTGAGCAACCGCCTTTCAAGCATGCGAACTCAAACATGCCTCCACCTTCTATTGCAGTGGAGCCCGCTACACCTCCAGTCGACAGTGAACGTCCCAGCCATCAGCTACAGCGCCTGAGCCGGTCAAGTCTTGAGAACTATCACATCCCAGGTGGCTTCCCGCCTTCAGCTTCGGACCGCAATCTCAGGTCTACGACTGAATCCACGAAGCCCCAGTCTGTAGCCAGTGCCGTTCCAAAGCACGTGGATGACGTGGATACTGAAGGAGAATCTGGTGACAGTGTCTACAGTGATGCTGAAGAGGGCTTTGATGGGGATGGATTTGGATCTATCAATGCCATTGTTGATAGCAAGTCAATTCCCAGGTCTTCGGCCCCTCTGGACACGGTCAGCGAAAGTCGCGATCCAACACCGAAGCCGCTGGGTCGAGCTGCAGTTATCGATGATGTATCACAAGACATTACAGAGCAGGCTGTGGATGACGGCCGCGTAACGCCCACTCAAGGTTCTGTCAATCGTGAGGTGGAAGAATACCCTGCTACGGTGCCTGTACAGCAAGAGGCCGAGCCCCCAAGTCCCACTATGCCTCTCCAACCTCAAGCTCGAGGGGTAACGAATGGGACCATACAGTCAAAGTCAGGCCAACAGAAAAGGCCTTTATCCGTGGACGTGTATGGTACCTCCAGCTTGAACGATCCCCGACACTCCAGTGCTGCCCCCGCTGCGGTTGCTGGTAATGGCAAATCGCGAACTTTGTCACTGGGTCCAGCCTTCCAGCGAACGGGAGGGCCAACAGGAGCGGGCTTCCCTAGTTCTCTTCGTCGAACCCGGTCCAGTGGCAGCGACTCTTCTAGCAGCTTCAAGCGAGGCAGTCAATCGCCTCGGAATGATGGATCTCGCGCCATGCGTCGCACAATGAGAGCCGGTGCAAGCATTCGGGGACCTCCCTCGGACCGGACAGACTCTCCTACTGACCGGAGGCCAATGTCTTCGGGTTCCTCGCAAGGACCGGGATCGATGCGCAAAACCCTACGAGGCCCGCCAGGTGGTGGAAACGAGCGGTATTCCTTCTTTTCGACAAACAAGAAAGCTGCCCCCGCCCCTCGGGCCCGGTCTTCAAAGCCTCCCAAGTCCATGGCAGGCTCTCGTTTTATCGACTCGGACGGGGAAGACGAGGGTCGGCAACAGTTCTTCAGTAGCCGTTTCGCGGATTCTAGCGATGAAGAGCAGGGCCCCAACTCGATGCGGCCCGTTCGTGGTATTCCCCGTCGCCATGGTGCCCACGATGGAGATTCCACCGATCTAGATGATAGTTCTGAAGGAGAACGTCGGCAGCAGTCTCGACCTGTGGCTGTTGCTCCTCGCACCAATCCCACTCCGCCCGCTTCTCGCGATAGAAATACTACTCCAAACATGTCTGGCTTGGCCGCCGTGGCTCGGCAACGCGGTATGACACAGCAGGAACTGGAGGAATTCATCATGCAACCTCGCAAGCAAGGAATACTTACCCGTCTTGGTCTGAAGAAGTCGAAGAATCCGCAAAACCGCATTCGCAAACCGGATACGGAGAGCCCATCTCGGAGAGATACTCATCTAGAGCGCTCGCAACTGGAACGTGAGCAAGTCCGTGGTGCGGCCTTGAATGGCACTCCTGCCACCGTGACTACTGTGACTGCCAATCAACCGCAGTCGCCTTCGTCCCCTCAAAAACTTACGAAGAAGGACGCCAAGCGTAATACAATGGGTGGGGAGCCTTGGTCGTACCGCTCCGACGCTAGGCCCCAGTCTATTCCTGAACAAAGTGCCAGCGCTCCCTCCTCCCCATTGCGGACGCAAAAGCCAGCGCTTGAAGACGCGAGCCGCAATGGAAACGCTACAATCAATGGAGGGGGAGCAAGCACCGTGAAAGCGCCCGAGTCACCCCAAGCCTCTCGTGCCGGTCCAAATGTGAACGATGATGCCGCCTCGGACATCACGATGAGCACTGAGGACAACGGACCCGTGGCACGAGATGTGATGATTGTCGGCTCGGGGCGAAAGAAGCGATTCCCTATGCTCCGCAAGGCCTTTGGTCTACGAGCTTGATACCCGTGTCTAATTATCTGAAAGTTGTTCTCACTATCATTTTCTTACCCGCATAAAGATTGACATCTTTCTGCTTTACACGTTTAATGACCGACATTTCCTTTCTCTGTGATCTATTTTCTGTTTTTCTGAAGGGAAGGCACCCTTTCGTCATGGCCGATCGTCATCTTGCACACGGCTTTGATATTTTCCGCGTGGATCTAATCTTTAATGCGCCATATCCACCCCTGTGTCTTGTATCCCCTGTTCGACTATACACTCTTTCTTGTCGTGGGGTTCCTATTGGATCCTCAATCGGCGTTTGTCTCAGGCATCATTGCCTTCTTCATTCTCTTCTTGCGGTGTGGGTTTGTCGTACTATATACACCATGATACCCTCGTTCTTTCTCACACCTTGTATACGACTATTTTCCTGGTGGTTTTGATTTGCAGTGGCCAGGCGGGCCCATGCATGGATGCCGCGTCGATTTTCACCCCTTTTTTTCTTTTCTAGACAATTGTGTTTTGATAGATGTATTTTGGAAATCATAAGATCGTTGGGGTGGACCAAGCAGAATTGAATTCAGATCCGTAGCTTCGTAAGATCAATTGCGTATTCCCAGGTGCTCATCGCAAGCGCAAATGGCTAATCAGTTGGGGATCCCACCAGCCATCGGATGGCGGAGAGGGGGGCGGGCATCTGCTGTAACCAAGTGGATCCTAGCGTCTCCCAGCCACTTCAGCTGGCCTGTGTTACTCCCCCAGCCTCGGTAATACAGATCAATTACAGGCTTTTACGGAGGGTCCTCGTATGTAAAAACAACCATAGTACGCGCCCAGAGAGTCTAGACACCTGCAGGATGAGCTGGAGCAGCACCCAACCACCCATTCAGTGCTTGGGTTGGGATTGGGCGACACCAAGTGGAACACGCCAGGGATTATTGGATGTATCATATTTTCATTGGTGAGCTGCGTATGTATTGCGTAGTCGACTTATGCAGAGTGTGAGATCCGCAATTGACGAAGCCCATCATTTTTTTAATATACCATTGCAACGTGCACGATATAAAGGGACTGTAATTCTGTGGTTAAACCGATCGCGTCCCAAGCTCTGAATCGATTCGTGATCCAGTGATCGGCAAACCCCGATTGGAGCTGGCGGTTGCTATGGAGACGGGGGCTGGCCAGCCTCCATGTGATGTGATGCGATACGGCGAGCTATACCAAGTGGTATACTCCGTATAGATACGTATAGTATCAATTGGGTTTTTCGGTTCAACTAATCAATGAGCAGTATAGATCTCACCATGTGGATGTCACATTCCGATCTTGAGAATGTGTCAAGATTGTGTAATTATAAGCCCAGAAAGTAAAACATATTTCCCGTTCATCTGAACCTCGGGAGCCGATCGAGCACCAATCGGGTCAAGCGTCGTAAACAAACAGCAATGCGCGCTTCATAAATAAACCGTGCAAGGCCACTCCCCTCCTCTTCCTCCTTCATCCCCTCTTGCCTCTAGTATTCTTCCCACATTCTTGCAATCTTCAAAGATCTGATTACCCCAGACTCTTTTTTTTCCCCATCAATTCTTTCGAGAAAGACTTCTCCCCTAAAGTCTTTTCTTGTCTAGTCTTTCGTTCTTTCAGTTCGAAAGGCATTCGAGAAAAGACGATTCAAGTCCGTCAATCTGGACTTTGACGCCCGCGTCCCCATCCCCTTCAGTGTCTTCCCGTCGTCGTACCGGAGTGACGCTGTCTCTGAAACTACTCAGACGAGAGTAGAGGGAGAAGTTCAACTCGATCGCACTTCGCACGTCGAACGGGAAGATACTCGACAGGCCCCTCTCCCCGACCCTCGTGTCCACGGAAAGGAAGAAGTCGACTTTCGAGTTCAAGAAGAGCGCCCAGCCCCTCGTCGCTACGCTGACGTTGAGTTAACTCGTGAACGGTACGTTTGTCTAGTGTGTTTTGTTGATCTGCCATTTGTTTTGATTTTGGAGCCCAATTGCACCCCAAAAAAAGCCCACTTACATCACAATTGCCCACTTTTGCCCCCTCTTGCGAGTGGATACCGACTATTTATTGTCGGATATCCTATCCCGGTCTAGAATGATTACTGGTTTAGCCCCAGACTAAATTACGTGTCACACCAAAACGACTCCACTCGCCGAAGTGGAGTCCCCAATGAGCGGTGACCACGGCTCGTGTTATTTGTTTATATATGTGCATGCTTTTTTTTTACTGGAGTTTCCCCCCAAGCTAATTTCCTTTTTCATTTCTTCCTTTTAGCTACCCCAGCCAACAACCTTCTGTTCGTTTCGAGGAACGTCCCCAGATTTACGATCAGCCCGTTGTCGATACCCAACTCGACATCACTGAGAGAGAATACCGTCACCGTACCTCTCCCAACTACGACGTCAACGCCTCTTACCAGAGTCGTTACCCCGTAGAGTCTTTCCAGTACCAGCAGTCGGGTCCTACTTCCGATTACTCGTACGACCGCGCCAACCAGGGTTACCCCACCGGCGTTTACCAAGGCGAAGACTATACTCGTCGCGAGATCGAGGTTGAGAAGCCTTCTCGTTACAACGCTCCTGTGAACGTTCAGTACTCTCAGACTTCCGTCCGAGACATCCCTGCTCGCTCCCAAGCCCCTGCTCCTGCTCCTATTTTCACTCCAGCTCCCGCTCCCAAGCAAACTCGCAAAATGGGTTACTACGACGACGAGGGTCAGTACCACTCCTTCCGCCGTGGCGTGCAGCGTGTTGCCCACAATCTCGCTCACCCATTTGAAGGTCGCGATGAGGTCGTTGAGGCCGGTCCCCGTTACGATGCTCCCCGTGAGACTGTCCGTGTCATTGAGCCCCGCAACCGCGGTACTCCTGGCGAGACTGTCTCCATCCCCTGCCACTTTGTCCGCATCGGCGACATCCTGATCCTCCAGGGCCGTCCTTGCCAGGTGATCCGCATCTCGGTCTCCTCCCAGACTGGTCAGCACCGTTACCTCGGTGTCGACCTCTTCACCCGTCAGCTGCAGGAGGAGTCGAGCTTCGTCTCCAACCCTTCGCCTTCCGTGGTTGTCCAGACTATGCTCGGCCCCGTCTTCAAGACCTACCGTATCCTCGACGTCAACGGTGACGGTACCCTCACCGCCATGACCGAGAACGGTGACATCAAGCAGGCCCTTCCCGTTATCACTCAGGGTGGTCTGTCCAAGCGCATTGGTGATGCCTTCGCCAACGGCCGTGGCTCCGTCCGTGCCCTTGTCATCAACGACGGTGGCCGTGAGCTCGTTGTTGACTTCAAGGTCATCCACGGCTCCCGTCTGTAAATTTTTACTCTCTAGAATTTAATCTCCTGGGAGTTGATTGAAGCTTATGGTGTCTTGTGATGAACTTTTCTTTTTGTGATTTTATTTTACTTTCCTTTGTCTGATGATCTGTTTCAATGACGGTTACTTATTACTGCCTTGCTGAAAATGTGATGGGATTCACTTTGTATTGTGCTGGCTCGCGCTGGTTTTTCATGTATCTAAGCGATCTTAATGCAAATGAATCAGGGCTCTCTAATCATTATTTCCCAATATTCCCCTGTAAACAGTGTGGTACGAGACGTGTCTTGGGATCGGCAGGTTATTACCTGTTTTCCAGCTTTGTTTGTTTATCATCCCAGGCGCCTTGGCAGTGGATGTGATCAGAAGCTGGTTGTTAAGGAAACGATGCACGGTAAGGATCTATTGTTGATATAAGTCATATGTGCCGAGGTCCCCATTGATCTATGTATTTTTGACCTGGACCCTGGAAATTGATGTCTCATATGGTACTGCTTTTCAATGCTTCTTGCCGTCTTCTCCACCTGCCTTGAGACCCTACCGACTAGCGGTTTCATGCCTAAAATGCTACCTAATCGGTTAATTTTAGCAATGACACTTCTCGATTTATTGATTTATATTAAAATACCTAAACACAGTCAGTTGACCTGTTCAATAAAGATTTCATTGACCCTCAATAGAAAATACAATTTTCTGGTTGCGGAATATATTTTCGGCATTGACCTCGAGATAATGAAATCTATGCAGATTGCATAGCAATTCCGACAATCTTGAACCTTATATCACCTAAGGTCGATCCTCAGGCCGATGAATCAATCTGCTCCTGTCCCTGAATTTGTAAAAAAGGCTGGTAGCGTTCTGGAAGACCCTTGTGCCCGCATTACCCATTTGTCTATAGTTCCCCAGACAAGGCGCAACACGAACCTTGGAACCCTTGTGGGGTCCACCACCGATGAATAGAACCCACCAGATCTCGACTCTTGTTTGGATCCATGGTTCCTGTATAAATAGACATCAATCGTATTACTGCTAATATAAAGATAAAAAACCCCTCTCAGCCAAGACAATGCAAGCAATCCATTGCATAAGGACCTTCGTCGTCCTCGACATCTGCTAAACGTACTTTTCTTATCTAGCACTATAGAACCTCACCTGGCAGTTCATAGGGTTCTTAGGTATACATCGTCAGATAAACAAACATATACCCATTCCATGTACAAGGAATGGACCGCCGAGTCATCAAAATAGCCTCGGGATATACATCCCACCATCAGCCTAAAGCCCAATCTGCAAATTCGCATTGATGTATAGGAATGTCCCTCATATGCTAGACTTGCATACGTCGGTTAATAGTATGCTAAGAGAGGCACGATGAAGGGCTGAATTTTTCGTGTCAAAAAAATATATTGAGATAAAGAAGGTTACTTTTTGCTGCTGCCCATGTACCTATACCGACACCTGGATCTCGGTGATGTATGAAAGCTGCAATGTTTGACCTTGGAAACCAGGAGCAGCATCGTCTCATGCCTTTGGGGACAAGCAAGCTCAGGGCCTTGAATCTGAATTGGATAACTTCATCCCAGTGGGAGAGCATTCGAGCGAAGATAAGTTTGTGGACGTCGAGGCTGCTCAAGAGGCCCTTTGGAGGCTGTACTGTAATAATAACGTCCATGAAATAGGACAATTGAATCGAACAGACTGAAAGAATGATCACAATCAAGAATAGTACATTGATGAGGTAGAATGCAGAGCAGTGATTTGAATCAAAACAAAATAAAACCCATATATGACGTAGATTTTCCAAAACGCCAGCCCAAAACCAGAACCAGGAAAATGGGAACAAGGACATAAACAAACCATGAATTGAGATGGTAAAGTCCACAGAACAGCTTGGAGGTAGCAAAATAATTAACCATCACCAGCCTCATTCTCCAATGATAATAATGACGCCAGTCCGATATGAGTAGAACACAGATAAACAAAAATAAACGCCAGTAGACGTTCTACTTTACAACCGCCGACAGGAACAGCTGAAACAGGGGTATCGTATTGAGAAGCACCAACAGAAAGGCCAGACAGAGACACAAGTGCAGGTGACACGGCAGGGCTACCGCTCACCGAACTTGCCATACTCTTGTTGCCATTTGAGAAGGTGACGCGTGAGAACATCCATCATCTCCACGCTGCTCAGGTCCTTAAATGTCTTTTCCATGTCACCGCCGTCAGTGGGCGCAGATTCGCCGCCATCACTGGTCGAGGGCATGAGGTTGTCGATTTGATCGACCATGCTCTTCAAAAGGAGGCCCTGGGCCTGGTCACCGTTGCCAATGGGGGTGGAAGAGTTCTCGCTGGCAACGGCCATTTCAACCTGCATGCGGGAAATGAACTCAAGGATGGCCGCCACACGTCTTTTCATCTCGTTCATAGTCGTGCGTTGTGGGTGCATGTGGCGGGGTTTGCTCGGCCGCCCGGTGTCCCCTCCATTTATATGTATTCCATTTGCACCGTACCCTACCCTGGGTGACTCTCCTCCAATATCATGGGAGTGCCCACGGCGGGGTGACTCGGTACCAGTGCCATTCGTATCGCGATCCTTGGTGTATTGATTACGTCCAACACGACCTCGGCGAGCTGGTGGGCGCCCTGATTTCCGAGTGGATGGCCGAGCGGGCGTTGGTTCTTGAGGTGTAGGTGTATTAGGGCTTGCTTGGACCGGTTCCGGCTCCGCTGGTGGGGCTGCTTTGGTTGGAGATGCGGGTTCATGCTCGGATTCTATGATTCTCTGTCAGCAAACAATCGAGTCTCGTAGTTCCTAGAGGACTTACCTTCACCCTTGCGGCTTTTAGTCTTTTCTTTTCGACGGGCCAGATTCTCTGGAGCCTCTGGCTCACCTTCATCGGCATCCTTGGTTGGTTCTTTGTCACGCTGACTTCGAGAAGTAGCTCTCTGTCTCCGAGTGCCATTCAGGACTGGTACTCTGGCTTTGGACTCGTCATCGGATGGAGGTTGGGATGGTATGTGACTCGAAATAGCAGCTGGAGAGGGTGAAGCGGTTCGCTGACGCTTTGCACCGGGTCTGTTACTGGAAATCCGCCATTAGCTATTCGTTCGAACCGAAGATGTGGAATTGAAATCAAAAAGCACGCACACTTCGCTGGCACTTCGGCTTCGTTTGCCTCGCCGAATAGATGAGTCGTCGGGAAGACTCTTGGTATCTTCCTTGCTTTCCTCAATGGCTCGCCGAATCAGTTCCTCCTCATCGTAAGCGGCATCCCGGCTGTTCATGGTGGACCGCCTCTTCGGGTTCATGTCACCATCGCTAGTTCTTGACTTGGGATCCCTGGAACGTCGGGAGGTGGTTTCTCTAGAGGAGGCACGAGAAACGGGTCGAGATGAGGGTGCAGGCGACGAAGCTGGTACAACAGGAAGGTAGGTGGAGGAGCGCTGGCTGTGAGATCGTTAGCATGGTGGACGTCAAAAAGAAAACCTCGGTGATGAATCGGATATCTCAACAAGGGGAAAAATAAGTGCAATGGCCTCGGAAGTTGGACTCTGGTCGCGTCGTCTTTGAAAGGTAAGTCGCCTCTCTAGCCGCCCACAAATTGGAGCGAATGTTCGAGGCCACAAGCACATTCGAAACGGAACCACCAGGGAGGATGAAAAAGAACCCAAATAAAGGTATAAAAAGCTGGATTCATGAACTTACCCATTCGCTTCGCCCCGGATTTTGTGCAAGTCTTTCCGGCACTCCTCGCAGAAATATTCATCGGGGCTCATTTCCTCGTCCATGATTCCCACACAACCACCATGCTGCCAAACTTTGCAGGTGTCGCACTGGATAAACATACTCCCAATATCATCGGGCAGTATATCAGACGAATCAGTGGGTGGGTGCACCGACTCTGGCTTGACAATGCTGCGACCGAGAGCTTCGCGACGAGAGGGAGGCAAGCCTGGATAATCCTGCTGCCCACATAGGCATCTTGTGATTTCTTCCTCTTCCTCCTCTTCTATATCGTCTTCATCCTCCTCGCGGGGTGGGTCTTCGTCATCGTCGTGGGCGCGCTGACGCTGGCGCGTTTGTGGGAGGTCGGTCCTCGAGCCATTTTCGCCATCGTCGATGGATTGGGATCGATGGCCCGAGGAGCCCTGAGGAGAATTATTTTTATGGTTTGAACGAGTGCTCCTCTCGCGGGTAGTGGAAACGGAGGAGTTGGAGGAGTTGGTGTGTTGGAGGAGGGCTGGGGAAGGTTGTGTGGTGCGAGCCCGAGAGGAGCGACGAGGTGACATAATGGCGAAAGGGCTCGTAGGGATCGAAAGCTTTTAGATATAATGATTTTAAGGTGGATATAAAAAATAGAACAAGTTCTCGCAACGGTGTCGAGGATTGTTGACCACTGCTTCCAGCAGCACCGGATTGCGAGGGAGCTCTTGCGCGCGATTGCAAGCTCCTTCTGAGCGAAAGGAGGGCGAGACAATTGAGAATTGTAGATGGATTTGAAGCACGGCGTCACAAGGCTCATAAGAGAGCCCGATGACTACATAGTCTGAGGAGGTGCAGGATTGGCGGGGGTTGCAGAGTGTGAGAGAGAAAGAGAAGGAGGAAAAGCGCCGGAACGGGACTCCAAAAGCACTTTCGCCCGTCCTTCCCCGCTCTCAACGCCTCTTTCGACGCGCGACCTCTTTAATCACTTTCTTCTATGCGTGTTATTTCTTATTGGCTTCCTTCTACTTCGTACACTAGATTTGCCTCTAGAATTGCTTTTATTGTTGTCTACTTATGTGTGTGCTTGGTTAAAAATTAACCATGACGCGCGCGGCAGAAATCCGCCCCCCTCCCACCCGCTTCAACCTGCAAACCCTTCCCTTCGGTCCCCCTTCCACGACCGGCAAGGTTATTGCTTAGCTGAATCTCGAAAAAGACGTTGGATCCTGCATATTTACAGCCATAGAAAACCATTTGAACCCTTCCGATACACGAGAACTGGACGTGAACCCAAAAGGATTGGGCCCGGGTCTAAAGCAGGAAATGAGTTGTGATAAGCTGTGTGCCTCTTGATGCGGCATAAAGCAATGCGAAGCCTCCGCTATGGCATGCGGTGCATGTTGAACACTCGGTACTTGTCTGCCACTGTAACAGGGCGTTAAGGTTCATTTCGTGGGTGGCCATGTTTTCGACACTTGGTCCGAGGTCACAAGTAGCGATGTCGAGAGCCGAAACTTGTCGTATCCGATCATACTCAAAGGTAATGGAATTGGCAACCAATTGGTGCAAGGTTGTTCAGTCTCGATCTCAAGCTTCTGGTGGGGTGTCCGAGCCGCACGCAAGGCACTCGAGGGGTAGTTTCTTTTTCGTGCTGCCGACCATGCAGGTACAATGGACAGCAGGCTTGCTCGCCTCCTATTGACATGCTGCCTGGGTATATTAGTCTGCTGAGGTTGATCAATACACTGTAGAAGATCCCATTTCCTGCTGATGCCCGGCTGGTTCAAACTTCATTGCGGAGCATGCAGCCACGCAGGAGAGAAAGATGCGAATCTTTGCAAATATCGGAGGAGAGCTTGGACATATAATCTCAGATCAATTTATCCAGCGGAATAACCCCCTGTCACTTGTTACCAGTTTAGAGGATAGGAAGTCCAGTTGTACACAAGATGTGTAATGCATTCTACCCCAGAGGACCCGGTTGGGTGCCCAGGGTTACCATATACGGTTAGCGCCCAGCGTTCCGAATTCCCGTGACTCGCTGTTCATTTCGCTTCACATCTCTAACCCCTCCGTGCTATTCTCCGACATACCTGGAGCTCGAACACCGCTTTTCAGCGAGAGCCAACGGATCGGATTCTCTGTCCTGCCCAATTCCCGTATCTCTTGATCTGAGTTTGGACTTTGTGGATTTAGAGCACACTTTGTGGGTATGTTCATGATATTCCTATTCCGTGACTGTGGCACGCCGAGGCCACCGGAGATTCCCTAGACATATCCTGCCCATATCCATGGTTCCCGTGGGCTTCTATGCTGCAACTGACATATGTCCCTTGAATGTAACTGACTTGTCGGATCAATAGCGTTACTCCCGAATCAAAACACTCCTCCCGAAACATCTTGAAATCGAACTTTGGTCTAACTGGCTCACCTACAACAACTTTGGTGGAGGGGGAAACAAAAGGAAAAGAGGAAACGGACTGGCGTACCTCATTCCACACGTATGAACCGTTGTGGGTGAGGCCCAGTGTTGAGAAACTTGCATGATGACTGCGACTCTGAGTATGTCTTGCTTGTAAGGGGACATCCCGGTCTGGCCACCTTGTAAGGTGATCCGGCAGGGCCCTAACCTTCTCGAGTCAAATTATCTGCCGGTTACTCAGTTACTGACGTGTTGTTCCACTCGTGTAGACGGGACGTTCAACTCGGCCCCTGACACACCTTCCTCCGTCTATCCCGATCGTCTGATTCGTCCTCTCCCGAAACGGACCCTGCGCTCTCGCCTTTCTGCCGACGCTGCCGACACGATTCTCTACCCGCCAACTCCACCGGCATCACAGATCTTTTACGGGGTGTCCGGGGACTCAGAGGAGGCGGTGAACGACTCGAAGGTCTACGTTCAGCAGACTATCGAGTCGGATCGACACGAGCTAACTCCCGAGGCTGATTCTCACCACGGCTTTGAAACGGCAGTCGAGCTAGAAAGTGGAGATGAAGACGCGCCAGTCGTAGTACGTCGCAGTGCAGGATTTCGGGGTTCTCTGTCGCCGGTCTCTAGCACACATCTGTCTGGGAAGGACGGCGTCTCGAAATCCTCGGCGGGTCCTGACGGTTATGACGCATTTGAAAACACGAATAATAAGAAGAAACGAAAAATACCCACGCCTGGCAATATGCCTGGTCACCATTCAGCCTTATCGCCGGAGTTTGCCAACTTGGGGTTGGCCAACTCCAACCCCGCTCCAACAGTGGCCGGTGATGGGATGGGTCCCGGCACATACTATGGGAATGGGAACCCAGCTTCGCCATTGGCTAGTGGGATCTCTGGTTCAGGCAGAGGGCGTCTTGGGCGCAGTTCTCCCCGCAACAGCAGCGGACGGAACCCGTTGTCTGCGAATGCTCAGAACGCATGGATGAACACTCGGACCCCGAGTCGGCGGGATGGGCTGATGTCATCCCCTGGGCCATCTGGTTCGTGTTTCAGTCTGTGCCTGAATAAAGGATCAAGTATACAAGATTGCTGACTTTCTGTTTAGGTGATGCGTCCGACCAAGGCATTATTTCCACGGCCATCGCGAATGCCGCTACCCTCCCCTCACCTACCCAAGGCCCCAGCAATATTAGCTTGCTAGAGCAGGAAAATACCACACCGACCAAAACACAATTTACTTTCACGTGCGAGTCTGATTCCTCCAAAGGCATGGCTATGCAGCGAGGTTCATACTCGGTCCCTCATCGCTCACCCACCTCCCCTCTTGCTGCTACCACTGGGAACTCTCGAGGGTTCTCCACGCAAGGTACACAGACAAGTCCCAATCTGAATCAACAAATACCACCGGGAGCGCATGCGCCCGTGTCAGATCAATCTCCTGTCACTCGCAAGAAAAAGCGATCTCCTGGTAGCGTTTACGCTTTGGCTGCACGACAGCGCAAAGTCCAGCAGCAATACACCAACATCCATCACCCTCCAAGCTTGGAAGACATTTGGATATGCGAATTCTGTGAATATGAGAGCATTTTTGGCCGCCCACCTGAGGCACTGATCCGGCAATATGAGATCAAGGACCGGAAAGAGCGAAAGCGGCTTGCTGAAAAGAAGCGCCTTCTGGAGAAGGCTAAGATGAAGGGCCGCAAGACAAAGAAGGCATCAAAGAATGCGTCAAAGAATGCCTCGGGCCACCAGAGCTACGACCGCGCTTCGGTCGATCACTCCTCTGCGACCGGATCGGGGCTTCACGATGATGATTACTTGGGCCATGAGTATGACGAGGAACCAGAACTCCCGACTCCTAATCCTGAATCACCCACCGAACTGAAACCCCCTCTGCCGCCCGGCAATCACCCCAAATTAGCAACGACTGCGGGGACTGCCAAAGGGCCTGCGGACGCCGGGACCATACGACCGCCCTGAAGTACCGATAGGCGTTAGGTGCGAGGAGATTCGTGGAAGGTCGATGTCTGGGAACGAGCTGTTACGAGTTTTGCATTGAAATTCCCCCTCAAGCATTTTTTAGGACGGCGAGCATTGGGATCGAGCAGGATATCATTATCATTATCATTTTCAAGCAGTTTGTAATTGTAATGACAACAAGCCATGTAGGGCAATGTGCATAATATTTCGGTTGAGAGTACGTCTTTAGTAGGTGTAGCCCCGGGGATGTCATGCTGGTAAGTTCTTTGTTAAGATGACCCCTCAATTTTCAGAGGCCTGGATTGGCATAGGGCTGAAACAATGAGCTACTGCTCCCATATAATTAGGGTTCCCATATTGATTGGCTGATGTTCGATCATCGCATTTCCGCTGAAACGGCAATCCTTGTTGGCGCGCGCGAAGTAAAGCGCGGACCCACAAGAACCTTCTCTCAATGCCATCATCCAGATACTTACCTTTCTGCAGGCCAAGTCTATTTCTGTCCTGAAGAACGGCTAGCTTTGTTTCATCGCCTTACTTGGCTTGAGCTTCAATGGCGGAGAATGCAAGCCAACAACCGACCTGGTGGGGCTTCTAGCTGGAGCCGCTCGGCATTCATCATGTAGGCGGGAATGGTTTCATACTAGACTAGAGATGCCAAAAAATAGTAACAAAGCCAACCTGTAACACCTCGCCTTTGTGTTATGCAGAAAGAAACCAAGACAATGGGGCGGATTTGGTCTTGTCTACAGATTCTATAAAGCATCCACCCTTCCTGGAATATCGATGAAACCAGCAACAACAACGACTTTCATTTGTTTCTTTCTTTCAACTCCATTTCATTCTTCTAATTCGACCATTTCGCCTCCCTTGAACCAATCGGACTTCTTTCACTTTCATTGCTCGTCACATCATCCTGGTTGATGAGCCTACTCCTTTAGAGTTCTCTATTTATATTGGCAACAGGTTGCCATTCATTATTCACTATCACCTTTCACTACTGTGGTATCCCGTCTTGACGACATATATCTCTACGTGCTTCTTTCTCTAAGCATAAAAGTCACGCTACTCGTGACACAACTCGATCTACATATCTATCACCTAACGGTGCACTTCCAACAACCTCGATCTCTAATTACCACCAAACATTGTCGAGGTCTACATCCAATATGTTCGTCGCCGCAAAACTCCTCAAAGTGGGCTACAATCAAGCCAAAAAGCGCAAAGCCAACAAGGAAGCTCAATTCCAACAACCTCACCCGAATTACACCTACCCAAACCCCTACCCAATGTCTGAATACCCACCTGGCGTAGCGCCGGGCACAAACACTCAATACGTCAACCCCGAGCCACCAGCACCACCTATCAGCAAAGGAGCAAAGTTTATGTCTATGATAATTTCCATCCTCCGCTTCCTGCAATTTGTCTTCGGTCTCACTGTCATCGGCCTCTACGGCCGAGACGTGCACCATGACCATGAAGACGACGATACGTACCACTCGAAATGGGTGTTTGCGCTTATCGTGGGCTTCCTGGCAACAAGTACCGCGGCTGTTCATATGATCTTGCCGTTTCTTAAGAAGGGTGTCAATAACTCGGGTAATCCCAAGTTGCATCTACCGCAGTTTGTGTGGGAAGCTATACTTTGTATTATTTGGTTGACGGTGTTTGGGATTTTTGGGAAGATGTATATTGGGGTCTATCCTACCGACAGCAGCAGCAGCAGCAGCAGCAAGAGAGATTCAGCATCCAGCTCTAGCTCTAGCTCCAGTGACAGTGACAGTACCACTTCGGTGTTGGGGGATGCGTCGAAGATCAATCGTATGCGACATGCTGTTTGGATTGATCTTGTGAACCTGTTAATGTGGGTGTTTACTGCGTCTTGGGTGTTGCTTCGATGGCTGAAGGGCCGACGGGCTGCCATGACTGCTGATCTTGATGCTGAGAAGGGATCTCAAATTTAGAGACAGGGTACAGTTGTTGAGTCTTTGAATCTTGCATATACTCTATCTGATTGGAGGAATGGATAGAATGAACCATGCACTGGTTGGGTGGTTCGTTTCCTTATGTGATGGGTTGTTATCTATGGTGTTAGGCGCTCGTTGATTATCGAGTGGAGTTTATTGCTTTGTTTAACTTTTACCTACACTTACCGATTGTCTGGAATGGATCCAAAATTTTTTGAGTATTTACAGTTATGCAAGTGTTTGTATATTGATTACTGGAGGCTGAGATCCAATTAAGTGAAATTAAAACACGAACTTCCTGGAACAGATTATGACTTTCAACTTCGGTATATAAACTAGCACAAGTTACACGTCCTTCGCACGGCCCTGCCAAAAAAAAAAAAAAAAGAGCAACAGGGTAGCAAGGCTTTAGACCCGCTTAAGCAAGGTAGCTGGTATCAACCCAGTCCTCGTAGTCACTGCCCAAGATAGTGGTGATATCAATCGCAGAAGAGAGCTCCTCAGCGAAGCTAGCACGAGTGCCCTCAGAACCATCACCAGAGTTATCATACTCGCCAAAGAGAACGTACTCAGTGTTAGGCTCACTGGTAGACCACTCAACCCAACCAGCAGAGTTAATCACATCGCTCATAACGGTCTTCTGGAAGACAACACGAGCATACTCTTCCCAAGGACGACCAAGGTAGTAAGTACCCTCAACAACATCCTCACCGGACGCAGCCTCAATAGTGCTCTCGTTGATAACGAAGTATCCATCGTCGGAGCTGGAGTCACGGCCCTGGGCGGTGATGGTACCATCTCCGTAGGTGAGGACACCGATCGTGCAGCTGTCGAACCAGGCGTTACCGGTCTGACCGAAGATGAAGTCGATAGCACCCTCGATGTAGCAGCCACCGTAGACCTGGTAACCGGTTTCAGCGAGGACGGTGTCCTGGAATCCGGTGAACTGGCAGCCGTAGTAGCCCTGCTCGGAGTTGTAGGCGCTCAGCGCCAGAGCCTGGGCACCCTCGCCGTAGGTGTTGGCTACGTTGATGTTGTAGATGGCAGTCTGGGCAGCCCAGTTACGGAGGGTGGCGGACTCATCGTCGTCGCTCACATCATCGAGGCTCAGCCCCGAGGTGATGGTAACGGTGTTGGAGGAGTAGGTGGTGTCACTAGATTTGGTTAGTTGGGGAATTCTGGTTCTGTGAGGGATTAAACTCACTCCTCGGTCTGGCCGTAGATGACGAGCTTTCCGGAAAGCTCAGGGATGTAGACCTGCTCCTCGTAGGTACCCTCCTCAATGAAGATGGTTTGGGTCTCGGAAGAGTCAGTGTCCAGGGCCGAAATGGCGTCGCTGATGGTAGTGTAGTCACCACCCGACTTGGCCACGACAATTGATCCGGAGGGAGCGGTGGTGCGGCTGGCAGCCAGCACGGAGGCCGCGAAACAGGCGACGATGCAGAACTTCATGATTACTGATCAACAGCAAGAGAAGGGGAAAAGAATGGAAGGTTTAGAATATTAATGAAGGAAAAATAGAAGAGAGCGTGGGTTGGATGAGTTCAATGGTGATCCTGCCCCCGTTCTTTTATATCTCCATCCCCCGTCTCCCCTGAAGCCGGAGCAGAAGACGTCCGAATTGGTCGCGACAAAGCGGACCTCATCCGGATAGTAGCTCCGGTGCCACAAGTCTTAATCCACCTATGGCGTTCGCAGGCTAGTGAGTAGTCACAATCAGCCATCTTGTTTTAACGTTCTGCAGCAAGGCTCCGTAAGCTGTTTTATTCACGAGGACGCGGCCAGCGCCACTAGGAATAATTTATCAGACTCTAATCAGGTTTAGTTTCGGCGAAGACACAAAACAAGCCCTACTGGGCGTAATCTTCCGGCACATTCTGGCTTCTCGGCGAGGCTTGTTGGTGAGGGGCAGCGATCTTCCACCAGTGAGATGTGAAACGAAACAGGTGGGGAGGGAGTAGAAACATGTGCCCCTGGTTATTTCCATGGTTCGACTAGTCGGTAGTGGGTCCGCCACACGCTTAAATCTCGGTGAATAAGGTTTCTAATATAGTAATAAAATGTTAACGTCTAGGCTTTTGGGCTAAGTGTTTGCTTCTCGGATATTAATGGTTAAGACTCGACGTTGTCATGCTATGTGTTCTTTATCTGGTCAGATGGGAACCATTGATATTATCTGAATATAGCACGTTGGTATTAGATATTTCTTTAATAATGCCATGCCCCACTTCTGACCCATCACTAAGGCACTTTATATTATTTGATCCGGATGAACCACCTGAATAGTCGAAATAGACAAACCTATATTGGATGTCTCAGTAGTGCAATAACTTTCATCTTAAAGTAATCTGTATCTGATGATTAACAATCAAGCATCGTTGGGCTAATGCCCCTTTTCAACCATCCGAATAAGACTTTCACTCATCATTGTCCTCACCAGCTCTATGACTCCCGATCTTCCCATGCCCGCCGCACACAGTTTGTACAGTGGCTCTGAAGATAATGTCCGGCACCCACGTCGGGAGCTCGTGTGGGATTTGGCTTGTCAACAACGACCAGGGCGGATTATCGTCCACGGTACTATAGGACAGAGATAAGTGTTCTCAGATAGGCAAATTTGAAGTCCGAGTTGCCAGATGATCTTCTGCGAAAAGAGCATGACATAAGCACAATGATCATCACCAAGTCGAGCTTAGCGCTGATCTCCTCCAGTCCCCGCTTCTTTTCTTTCACCAAGTCTTCAACAAAGGAGACAATAATGAATCTATAGCTGCACAAAGTCCATTGAGCTATCTGCCCAGCTATATCAGGAAAAGTTTTACCATAACCCTATTGGTTCATATTTTTTTTTGGATCCCTGCAAGTCCATCGCCAATTTGCAATATCCGGTCTCCATAAAATGCAAAGCAAGCTACAAAGTGACGATCTTGCCCCTCCAGGCGCGGCGGCAGTCACACCAACCCATATACTCAAATCCAAATCCACATCCAAATATAACTCCCCAGACTTATCTCGCCTCGAAGCCGAAGCTTCTAGCTCACTCCCGCTAAACAAAGTTCAAAAACCCCGCAGGCAAAGACGCCTTCTTGCCCCCCGTTCCCGGTCCCTGACATTCAAAGAAAAGGTTATACTTTTGAACCTCTGCGTGGAGCTGAAAGGGCTTGTCGTTACATCAAAAGGAAACGGAACATTTTGGCAGGCTGTCTCTTTTGCGTTTGTCGAATCACAGTGCTGGCCAACGGCCTATAATTGGCAGACAGCGAAGGTCTTTGTTGAAAATGCGATGGCCAAACGGAGGGCTGAATTGCAGGTGGATGGTAAGTCTAGACCAACGTTGGAATTGGAGATAGAGGCGAGGCAAAGGAGCGTTGATGCCAAGGATATTCTGGTAATGAATGAGTATCTTGATCAGCTGATTAAAAAGTGGGATGAAGTTGATGGGATTGTTGGTGTCACGGACGGACATGAGAACGGCAATAACAATGGAAATGAGAATGAGAATGGGACTGGCATGAAGGTGTGAGGAGCATAGCTTTCAAGCTGGTGTCGGGTATAAGGTGTGTTGAATATATCCTTGATGCATTTCACGATTCAAAATATACCGAGGCTCTGCAGACAGCCTGCTGTTGTTTTGGTTTAGTTGTATTTAGCTTTGTACAATCCCCAAAGTAGGTTTTATGCACTGAATAAATCGGTCAATTTGCTTAATAACTTGATAGATCTCGCTGCATTGCTCGATAAATATTGCCTGTCTTAACCGACAAGGTCACAGATCGACCTCAAATCACATCACGGGACTTTGAAATAAATCATTAGCTGATTCGTAACATGGCACGAAACCTAACGAGACGGAAGCTCAGTCTGCAGCTCCCGAAGAATCTGTGAATCATCACTATCTGAGTAATGACCCGACTGCTCCCCTGTCTCTTGCGACTGCAACTCCAGAGGCTGAAGCTCCTGAGAAATCTGCCAGTCATCGCAGTCTTCTTCGGTCTCTCGGTACTCACGACCTTGCTGGATGAAAGACAAAGACTCCTGTGCCTCAACCGTCATCGCCTTTCGCTCCGCAATAGCCCGATTCTCCTCCGCAACAATGTCATTCCACTCCTTTCGAAAGTTCTTAGAGACCAGCGGTTCTTGCGGCGGCCGCGGCTTGGCGGCATGGGAACCCTCGATCATGAAGTCGAAGAGGTAATTGGGTTGCGGGAGTGGGTGCCACGCATGGTCAAAGAGATGCAGTGGGCGATCCGGGGTACGGATAGGCCCGTCCAGAGGCGTGTCATCTCTGATAATGGCCAAAAGTTCATCCATCATTTTTTCGGGCATAGGGATTCGGTACGCATCTGTGAAGCCGGGAACGAGGGTTCCCTGTACGGGCATTCTGTCGTGAAAATCGAATCTGTCTTCAGATGAACTGATGTCCTGGGGTTCAGTCTGGCTGTCCTTGGTCTGTTGGTTAAATTGGGCTTCATCACTAACTGTCTGGATTCTTTGGGGTTTCATGGAGTCCGATGAACCGGACATCGGGAGTACGCCGGCAGGGGTAATGGTGATGGTGGGTGTACTAGCAGGGTGTTTTCCGTCTGTCAAAACACTGGCTGCTGCAGGGGTGAGGGTGACTGGGTAATCGATGAAGGGTTGGTCATGGTCAAGATCAGCCCACGTCGCGTCGCGGGTCTTGCGCTCAGTGCTCTTTGGAGTGGACGGTTCTGAAATCATGTCATCGTCCGCATCGAAGATCTCCTCCATTGCCCCGGAGGCTTTGGTACCTGCATTTTGTTTCTTGTTGGTTAATGAAGGCTTGGGGATGGCTGCTTGCGATGACTTGCGGCGTCCAACCACGAGTGGTCGACGTTTGCCACCTCGTGAGGAACGTGGCGGGGCGGTAAGTGATGTTTTCTTTGGCACCATTTGGTCAAGCATGTTGTCTTTTGGCTCTACCACGCTTGGCGTGGGTGGGTTGGATGGGCTGCGGGTAATACTTCCAATACCAGGCTGCTCGATGACGAGGCGAGTCTTTTTTGGCGGCTCATCGTGGGAAGTATTGGACTTTTTGAGTATCGGGTGTAGAGTTGCAGACTCCGGAGCCTCGCCTTCAGGCCCGGAAACCTCGTTCTGGGGCATGGATCTGGATTCAGGCTGGGGTACAGCGTGGAGAGAGGTTGCTGTGCTAGAAAGCGGGAGTGAAAAACTAGTCTGGAGTTGACTAGTGGTAAGTGCGTGCGATGGAAAGGGAAGAGGTAAAGACGTATATAGATGAAGTGTGGTAAGTACTCACTTGCTCATGGGCTGCCCATGCTGATGGAACGAGGGGCTCAGAAGCCATGATACGAGACACCAACCAATCCAGGTATTTCATATTGATGTGGTCCAAGAGATCTTTGCTGCTCCATATTCGCCAGAACAGGTACTCCAGTCTGTGATCCATCTCGCGATCACTGGCTTGTCTCGATGTGAAAAACGCTTTCATGATAGCTATAATTAGTAAAGGTCTTGAAATAACAATCAGGTAGGTTCCTTGTTCCAGTACCTTGCCAGAAACCCTTGACCTGTGCTCTGTCCAGTCTCTCTCCACCGTGAATCTCACTAGGGCAAGGTATTTGAGAAATCGTCACCAGGCTATCTGCAACCTTTTGTGACATGATGGTGGTGAAAGGACTGTGAGTCCGATGGTAATCAAGCTTGGGACGCGTCGTATGATGGCCCGAAATAATGGGATTAAAGCAGGAGCTGCCGATGAGAGCTAATGCATAATCCGAGATGGGGCCGAAGTCCGAGATTGTAACGTGGGTGACGGATAGATGGACACGTTGGGACCAAAACAGAGAATTAATAAGGGCTCCGGCTTATCACTTGTTAGGAGTAGGCAATACTGGTCATGTGGCAGCAACAATGTAGAAACAGACAACGATAGGCTATACGCGGGGTAGATACACCAAAGACCATGAGCTGCATGAGCTGCAGTTCAAGGAGGACAAAGCCGAGACGCGTGAGCCCTGCGTCATGGGTACAAAGACCTAAGATAGCGGTGGAGGTTCTAAGCGCCAATAAGTCTGCAAGGATCTGGATCTCAACCCCAGATATGGACAGGGATTTGAAGGGTGAAGCTCAGACATTTAGATCCGGAGTTGTTATCCAGATCCACGTACCTCCAAGGTGGGATCGTCGATCAAACCACGGATCGAGCCGAAAGTGTTGTCCACACTCCACCTATTCAATCCATGGAAACTTCGCAAGATATTTATTCCCAGCTCTTGAATACGATGAAATAGTTATTCGGGACAGTCGGGACGGGCCGGGATTAGACCGGTCTTAAACTATTAGGACCCTGATGAACCCTTTTGAAGAGGCTAGCTTTATCATGACAAATAAACCAAATGAAGCCTGATTGCCTGCATGCCTGGATATCGCCACTGCCCTCCACATCTTCGAATCCACATTCCGACACCGCCCTTTGCAACCTCGGGGTAACCCCACAGCCGTACCGGATCCCAGCTGCTTGAAGTAGAAACTCAAACTAAGGACGGTCATACATTCTGGAGGGATCCAGAAAGTTGTTGATCGGTGACGGAGAGATTGCCAAAGCGTCCAGGGCGAATTCGAAATAGGAGACTAGCATGTTTCATTCCCCTTTGCATAAACAACAAACGCATCTTGCCGGTGATGAAAGGAGGACGAGTCATTGGGAGAGGCAGTGCATTAGTGGAATGTCGACGTAAGCTCTGCTTGTTTGCGGGAAAGGAGAGTTGTTGCCCCCTTGATATCCCCGCATTGGCCGCCACCCAAGACCCACTTGTGTATGCCTTGCCAGATCTGCCAGGCATCTATTTCAGGTAGTCACTAGTTTTGTAGTTACGAATCAGTGGCTAAACGTTCTAATTCGTGCAAATTCATACAAATTTCCTAGAAGACTTAGTACTTTTACGTGTGGTGATAGACTGGGTTTCTCGTGTTGATATCTAATATCTATTTTTCATATCGCTAAAAGAGTGCATAATAAATCACATTTCATGGCCATGAAACACGCATCAATTTACATAACTCGAGCTATAGTCACAAGGTAAAAACGGCTCACATATCATACTCAGAACTCGCCCTCTGCCACCGTCGTGTTCAGCGGAAGCTTGAATGTATCAATCAAACCACTACCCTGCGTCACATACGCATATCCCTCTTTCGAGATCTGGATTGAAGAAGCCGATGAGATACCACTTGCATAGATGCTGTGGCTTCCATTCGGGAATACCTGCGCAATACCTAAGGTAGGCTGAGCAAGATAGCTAACGCCATTAGAAGCCACAATAAAGTCATCCCAGTCCCCAATGCTGGTATCCATAGTAGTAATGACCTCCACATCACCGAATGTCTCTCCATCATCACTTACGGGAACCTTACAGAAGGTACCGCCTGCGCTATTCGTGAAGTAAACATAGTTACCGACGATCTTCAGTCCGTTGACCCCGATTGGCAGTGATGAAGTCGAGGGAGAGACTAGTGCGGTGTTGTTAAATGCGACCTTGTACGCTCCGGTTGTTGTGTCCACGCGGAATAAGACGCCGAGAACTGCGTCTCCGGCTAGAACGACGTGAGGCTGTTTGGGTAGTGCAGCCATGCCGTTAAGCATGATTGCATCGGGGAGATGGGCGGCTTTCTGAATAATTGGTTGCGAGGCATCTTGACTGAAGTCGACTGTGTAGATTGTCTCGTTGTCGTAGTGGTAGCTACCGCGAACACCGCCTATAACAGCGTACTTGTCGTAGGCGATTGTTGTGATGCCACATAGGGCAGTAGCACCCGGAAGCGAGGCGACGAGCTCCGCTTTGGGAACTTTCGCGTATGGATTGAGTGTATAGAGACGGCCTTTCTCAAAAGTGGTGAGAAGTAGGTGTCCATTGGGCCGTAATTCACTGTTCTCGACGTCGATGCCACTGGTGAAATTGAACAATGTGCTTGATTTTACTGCAAGGGCGGACGTAGCCGCCAGGGCCAATAAGAACGGAGAGCGCATGGTTGAAGAATTCGGTTCGTCAGTCTGGAACGTAACAGGGATGAGAAGGATAGCTTCTTATTAAATTATTTATGCGGGGTTGGTCCCTGTCGTAATAATTCAGCCGTGGGGTACCCTGCTGGTCCTTCATAACCATTGTTCCTGGCTGTCGGAGATAAAGTAGGATCGGCATCGGATCGGGAGTTCCGGGATGATCATCATCAAATATAGTGAAAATAGGCAATGAGAACCGACGTTGGGGGAAGATCCTTTCTATTCAAGTGGCTTGATCCCTGTTTTACGCCTGTCCGGTTCGGTTAACATGATATGACTAATGAGGTTAGTGATCAGCATACACATGTGTTGGGTAGACTGTGTGGAGGGAGAAATAATGTCATGGCTTGGCATAATTTTCCGGACCCCGACTAATTTCCGTTTTTTCGAAGCTGCTTTTCAGTAAGGAATCCGCCAAAAGAGTACCAGCTGCACTGAATCTGTCCCAAATCAGTGACTGGCTCTGTTCATTTCGCCGATAGCCCTGGAGGCTGCAAGGGACGAGATGATGCGCACCAGATTCATGCAAGACAGAGTGGTCGACGTCGGGTTCTATTCCAGGCTCTGTAGCTGATAGTTGGACATTGAAGGTTCTAAGCATTGATCAGTTATCCCTTTTGGGCCTTATACATGTATAGACCAAGGCAATTGCCAAGGCATGATTTTCGGAGAAATTGGGCCTTGGCCCGCGGGGTTCACTAATGGTAAAGATCCCCTCGGCCCGTACATACTTATTTTAGTCGGTTTTCAAAGTGTTAGGACGGGTCGTTTGGAAGGGAAAGGAAATATATCGATATATGAAACGTTTTGCAAGTTGAAGTAGTATAAAGCCAATCGGTATTTCATTGTAAACCCGCTTTTCATACCTTGTCCACTTAGAGGAAAAGCACAGGAGAGAGCAAAGGAAGTAGATTTTAGGAAGAAGACTAAGTCACCGTGTAGCCACCGTCTACACGAAGCTCGGCACCGGTGACATACTTCGACGCATCGCTGAGTAAGAAAGTCACGGCACCCATCAGGTCTTCCGGTACTCCCATCTTGCCGACAGGAATCAGGGAAGTCCACTGATCGCGGAGCTGCGGATTCTCATCGAGGATCTTACGGGTACTGCAGAAAGAATCAGATATTTGGACTTCCACACGCAGCATTGTAGACTGTCAGCTCGACAACTTACAGAGCAGTCAGCATATAGCCAGGGCTGATACAGTTAACTCGGATGTCATGGGCAGCCCATTCAACAGCTAGTGAAGCAGCCAAGTGACGCACAGCTGCCTTGGCAGCATTATATGGGGCTTGAGGCTGTGGCACATTCACAATGGCACCGGACATGGAACCGATCATTACGATACTGCCGGGTGCCTTACGCTCCATCAGGTGCTTGGCCACTCCTATAGCAAACAAATATGTACCATCTACATTGACGCCCCAGAGCTTCTTCATGCGATCGAATGGGTAGCTGATGGCATCAAAGTTCTCGGTGAACCCTGCAGAAGTGACGAGGTTGTCAATCTGGTGGTGTTTAGCCAAAACCTCAGCTAAGGCTTCGTTCACGGAGTCAGGGTTGGCAACGTCGGCGTAGTGTGCTGTAATGTTGGGCATTCTGGTAGATAGCTCAATTCAGCCCCAGCTTTTGCGTATAGAGTGGTGCACTTCCTAGGCGCATTGAACTGAATTCAGACGAGACGAAAATGCACATACTGTTCAATCCCGGGGTTCTCTTTGCGGAACTGATCAATCAGCTTGCCCGCCTGGTCTTCAGCTTCTGCCTCTATCTGGGAGTTAGCTTATGCGATGGAGAGGCCCCAGAACTGAAAGCGTACTATTCAAGTCAACTATGGCCAAGTCTGAGCCCGAAGCAACCAGACCCTGTCCCATTACCAGTCCCAATCCACGCGCACCACCTGTCACCATGCTAACCTTATTCTCCAGCGAAAACGAGGCCAGAGTGCGCTTGAAGTGCATTCCACCGCGGCCTTGCACAATCGGCTGTTTAGGCATTTCGCTGTCCGGTGGGTATTCAATTTGCACGCTCTCGTCCGTGCGGGCAAATTGGCCCTCTTGGCTTCCTGATGCGCCCTGGGGAGCTTGGGTGGTTGCGACGATCTTAGGATCTTTGTCATCGTAGTTCTTGTTTTGGGACCGCATAGTGGTAGAGGAAAGTGGCCGGGCAAAACATCTCATTGCTGGCCTCGAAGTCGCTGCGAGTGTGTTTGGCAGAGCGGTGTTGTTGATGGCCCTGAAGGCGCGGACAATTGATTGCTTGAACATCGTAGACAGATCTCAGTAATGAGTATTCAAGTCAAAGTTTTGAGGACATATATATCCGTGCAGTATGCTGAGGAGGAGATTGCAAGCCAGGTTCAGAAGCTTTGGGATGAAGGAGAAACAGTTAAGAGAGGGGGTGCTACAAGAAAGACCAGCTGATCAGATCTCCCACGCTTGGGTGGCCGAGAGCTTCTGGAAAAGGAGTCAAGGAACTAAAGAATGTACGACACGTAGTAAGTGGATCCCTGAAAGCTATGTGTTTATTGGATGAAACTGAGCTAAAACGACGACAAACCGGTCCTAAATCGGTGATCAGTGATGTCAGCTGCGCCCAAGCTCCCGCAGATCCCCAGGCCAGTGTGGGGGGTTCGTCTTTCGTCCCCAATTATGGGGAACTATAGCTGGTATAGATTGCTGGCTTATTTGGTGTAGGCTACTTGCAGTGTTGAGATTATGTTGAATTGGAATGCAACCCTGTGTCCCTTGTGTCCGACCCATCATATTTACCCCGGAACACGTATGATGCTGACCGCGGGTAGCGTCATACACTCCGTACCTCAGCATGTTTCGCCACGCTGCAAGTATGGGGACCTGAGCGCCATGACTACTTTGTTTACTTGTGGCGATTTTCAATACGATAGGTGTTGATGATGAAAAACAAGTAAATTGTGTAGAAACTCCATCCTGAGCCTTTGTATCGCTGCGATCAACTAATGTCTCTATCGATTTACGAGCTGCCAACCCCCAGAGGAAAATTGCCCTGATGGGTCTCCCCCATTTATTCTTGCTCTTCGGCAAACTCGACCAGGGGCGTGCCGCTCTTGCATTGATCCTGTAGGCAAAATTAGCGCTGCTTGATCATAAAAGTGATAGGTCCCAGATCTCATGGACCTCTGGGGCCTACAATCTTCAGGGCGCATAACTTACTCCTTGTTTATGAACGACACGCGAGATCGTACCTCGGTGTGGGCTGCGGATTACTGTCTCCATTTTCATACTTTCAATGACAACCAATGGCTGATCTTTCTCCACCACATCGCCAGCCTGTACTTCCACTCGAAGAACCTTGCACGGCATCGGGGCTAATACGCTGTTGGCGACATCCTTCATGCCCAGCGCCTTCTCCATCCACTTGGCTCTCGGAACGGTCAGGCGATATTGCACACCTCGCTGGAACGCGATTATGGTGTCCTCGTCCTGAACCACAGTGGTGTCAAGCCGGGTGTGGGGGAAGAAAGATGTCACAACGTGTGTGTCAGGATCCATGCGACTCTCGACTTGCTCGAAGACTTTGTCTCCGGAGTCGATGTTGAATGTGTGATCGGCTGTCTGCTGAACACGGACATGGAGGGGAGTACCTTCGCTGATTGCCCCTGTTGATTCGATGAATGATAGTTCTCGCTGCATGAAGCTTGGGGCAAACCCGACCGCCGACCCGGCAAGTCCATCAGAGGGCCTGGTGGCCGAATAGGCGTCACGGTGTAGGCATGCTAGTGCAACTTGAGCGAGGGTCTCATCCTCGATCGGCTTTGGAGCAAATAGCTCCTCTCGGTGCTTCTCAATATAGCCAGTCTCAACGTTCCCAGAGATGAAATCTGGACTACGACAAATAGTCTTGAGAAATTCGATATTGGTGATAGGGCCAGCAACCTCGTACTGTTCTAGTGCTGTGCTCAGCTTGCGAATGGCCTCCTCACGGGTTTCACCGCGAACGATCAGCTTGGAGATCATGGGATCGTAGTGTGCAGAGACATCGTCGCCTTCGACGAAACCAGCATCAATGCGAACATCGTCTGTCGTAGTAGGTGTTCGCACATGAATTAAGCGTCCAGAATCGGGGACGAATCCCTGATTTGGGTTTTCAGCATAGATACGGGCTTCAATGCCGTGACCACTGCAAGCGATCCGCTCTTCCACTTGCTCCTGTGTGAGCGGCAGGGGGGCACCCTCCGCTACCATGATCTGCCAGTGTACGAGATCTTGTCCTGTAACCATCTCGGTCACAGGGTGCTCGACCTGGAGCCGGGTGTTCATCTCCATGAAGTAAAATTCACCCGTGTCATTGTCGAAGATAAACTCCACAGTACCGGCGCCTTCATATCCGACTGCTAAAGCGGCAGAGCGGGCTTTAGCCCAGATGTCCTTGCGAGTTGCGTCTGGAAGATGCGGCGCTGGAGACTCCTCCAAGATCTTCTGATGTCTGCGCTGAATACTGCAATCTCTCTCGCCCAATGCGACGCTATTACCATGTTTGTCCGCGAATACCTGGACCTCAATGTGCCGAGGAGTGGTAATGTACTTCTCCACCAAGACATTGTCGTCTCCAAAAGAATTCATGGATTCTGATTTCGCAGACTCAAGTTGCGCCTGGAACTCAGCCTTGGAACTAGCGATACGCATTCCCTTTCCACCACCTCCCTTGATAGCTTTGATGAGGACCGGGTACTTGATCTTATCGGCTTCGGCTTCGAGGAATTGAGGGTCTTGATTGTGTCCGTGGTACCCAGGGACGCAGGGCACACCTGCAGCAAGCATAATCTCTTTGGAGCGACTTGAAATAGTCATCTGTTAATAACATGCAATAAGTCAAGGAAGCGCCAACATACCTCTTATCGCCCATTTCCTCGATTGCTTTCCATGGAGGGCCGATAAACACAAGTCCAGCTTCAGTGCATTTTTTGGCGAAGGCAGAGTTCTCGCTCAACTAGAAATGGTCAGTGGTCACTAAATCACTGTAGGTCCAATCTGAGTTTGAGGTCACTCACGAATCCATATCCAGGGTGTATCCCCCGACACCCTTCCTTTTTCGCAATCTCAATGATTCGATCCCCATCCAAATACGCGGAAACAGAGCCCAAGTTAAAGGCAAATGGCGAGCTTATAGCGTGTTGTGACCGACTATCCGGATCTGTGTAGAGAGTGGTCACGCGAATTCCATGCTCCGCAGCAGTCCGCCCAACGCGTCTAGCATACAGTAAGCCTCAGAGAGCCCGGTGATTTCACTATCCCAATGAGGTAAATCTGGAACGTTGTACATACAATGCAATTTCTCCGCGGTTGGCAATCAAAATTGAGTCCAAAGACTTCTGTTGAGTGGCATTTGTGCCAGATACCGAAGACACAGCTCTGACCGTCCTGCGGGCCGCGGTCGGGGTGAGGCGGGGGGTAATGCGGAGAAGGGATGAGAGGGTCATGTTGGTCGTTTGGTGCAACAGTTGGTATCGCTGCAACACAAGATGATCCGCTGGATTCTTGGGACTTAGCACATAACCATAATCGAACTCAGAGGGAAAGTGAAAACCCGGGGAAGAAGGCCGGTCTTTTTTGGCTTGAGATGCTCAAGTCTGTTTAAGCCGACGCAAAGCGAGATGCGGGGAAAGCCGAGGCTTACATAATACCGAAACAGTCGGGCAATGAACATACCCATTCCTTCCTTCTTTCTACAGGGGAAAACTGTATTCAAAGGATAGGGAATTGACATTTCTCTTAGAGATCACTCAGATCATGCACGCTGCATTACCCGCATAAGCTGTTCCTTTTCAGAAAATTTGCTTTTAGGGAAAAGTCTTCAAGGAGTGCGTCTTGATTAGATGGAGTCCCCTTTATAGGTGGATGAGAAACATACCAAATGCTCAGATGACATGTAAATTGCACAGAAGCAGGTTGCTGTCTTTATCAGATCGTTTCTTTGGTCACGATGACTTTAAACCGTGGCTTAGTCAGTTCCTTCCCGATATTGTAAAGCATGGGGACTTCATTGAGACCCCACCTTCCATTATTCGAGAATGCGGTCATGGTACGCCAATATATGTAGAGCGAAATACTTATCTCTCTTCAGTATATCGCAGGGAAAGGGTCTTTAGACTCTGTCAATCTTGGAAGCTCTTAGCCCAACGCAGGGCGCCTTCTCAGATCAGAGACCCAATGGGTCAGACTGCTGCTGAATTATAGTTTACTGAAGGATGCACTGAAGTATTGTCTTGTCTCGCTTCAAAACTTTTGGAACCTCGCCTACCCCCGGCCTTCCGATAATTGGCGAATCTATCATGGAAGGTGAAACTAAACAATAATGCAGGTACAAGCCGTGAGGATGACCCCACTTTGACCCATTGGAGCAGTGAAAACTCACCATAGAAGCTTTGATTTGTCCAAATGAAGGGAATATTATCGAGGCTCTGGAAAAAAATGCCAATTCCATGCAGATCATTGATGTATTGGGCATATGGCACCACCAAACCCGGTCAAGTACCGAGTTACTGTACCCGACAATGTTATTCGGTGCCGTGCGCGATTGGCGCTGCTTAATTTGATTTTTATCACATACGTAGTAGGAAGGTGATCAGATGCCTTGACCGTAGAGCTCGAAAGGGCTTTTTAGGTCTCATTACAACGCATAATGCCAGTAGGAAATTACATGCAATCAGCATGATGATAAATTTGAGGTCACGAACCATGGAAGTTCAGCATAATGCAGATTCAACAAAGCCAAAAACGCTCTCTAGGTGAGCCTTCAGTCCCTTCAAGGCCGTAGTAGTAAGCGATATTTTGGTGGCGTTGTCAAGCATTGTGTGCTCTCCACATGGCGTCGGTATTCGAAAGCTTCGAACTTGTTTCATTTCTTCGCGACGGCACACGATTCCGCCGATCGGCATCCCAATCACCTACCAGAGAGAAGTTCAATGCCGATCCCTCCACCTGCTTGCCATTTACTTGAACGCACGACTGATTGATTATCCTAAAATGTGGGACCACAATTTCCCATCGGCAAGTCATAGGCCGTGATTCGATCAGATAATCTACGGCAGGAATAACTCGGCCACATTGTGGATCTTCGTCGGAATCCATCTTGGGGAGATCGAATGCCCGTTAAAATGCCCCTGGCCCCTGCTTCTCCAAGAGTTACAAGCAACCATTCTTTTTCACACTGGGCTTGTCTGTGAACCGTCCTCATGGCCTTTACCAAGAGACTCCTGGGCGTCGCTGCTGCAGCGCTCTGCTTTCAGCTCAGCCAGGCCAAAACCGTCACGTATGATTTTAATCTTACTTGGGTGACGGCCAATCCGGACGGTCTGTATGATCGCAAGGTGCTTGGTGTCAATGGTCAATGGCCATTGCCTGTCATTGAAGTTGAAAAGGGCGACCAGCTTGTGGTCAACATGCACAATAGCCTAGGTGACAAAAACTCATCTATCCACTTCCATGGAATGTACCAAAATGGCACGAACAACATGGACGGGCCTTCTATGGTTACTCAGTGCCCTGTTCTGCCTGGCTCATCCTTTACATACAACTTTACGGTGAATCAGGTCGGCACGTACTGGTATCATTGCCACACCGACTGGTGCTACCCCGATGGCGAGCGCCAGGCGCTCATTGTTCATGACAAGGATGCTTATTTCAATGATGAAATTGATGGTGAAATGGTGGTGACCATGACTGACTGGTACCACAATATGACAGAAGAACTTTCTCATTCATTCCTGTCACCGACGAACCCTGATGGTGATGAGCCTGTTCCAAAATCATTCCTGTTTAATGACACGCTCAATACCAGCATACCTGTTGAGCCTAGCAAGACGTATATGATTCGTCTTATCAACATTGGTGCCTTTGTGAGCCAATATTTCTATATTGAGGGCCACTCTTTCCGCATTGTGGAAATTGATGGTGTATATACCGAGCCTACCGAGGCGGATCTGCTTTATATCGCCGTAGCCCAGCGGTATTCCATTCTGGTCACCACCAAGAGCACCACGGACAAGAACTTCCCCATTGTCACAGTTGCCGATGCACAATTGCTTGACTCTATCCCCGACACTCTCAAATTGAACCAGACCAACTGGCTACAGTATAATGCCAAAGCTCCACACCCTCAAGCCGTGCTGAATGTCAGCTCTTCAGCCGACCTTTATCCATTTGATGATACGAAGCTCTACGCATACGACCAGATGGAGCTGCTCCCCGAGCCCGATATCAGTATTACCGTCAATGTAGTGATGCAGGAAGCCAGCAACGGTGAAGGCTACGCCTACTTCAACAACATATCCTACACGAAGCCCAAGGTTCCCACCCTGTTCTCGGTCTTGTCCTCGGGTGATCTTGCCACAAACCCTGAAGTCTATGGAACAGACACCCACCCTTATGTCCTGGGTCACAATCAGGTGGTTGAGGTCGTTGTCAACAACAACGACACCGGCGCGCATCCCTTCCACTTGCACGGCCACAACTTCCAGCTCCTTGACCGCTACCCAGCCTACGGCAAAGACTTCTTCGATTACGCAGACACCGACTACCGTGTGACCTATGACCCATCAAACCACACTGCCTTCCCCAAGGTCCCTGCACGCAGAGATACCTTCGTGGTCCCACCGCAGGGCTATTTCGTCGTTCGTTTTGTGGCAGATAATCCGGGTGTGTGGTTCTTCCACTGCCATATTGATTGGCACTTGATGCAGGGATTGGCTATGGCTTTCATAGAAGCTCCTTTGCAGATCCAGGAGCGGATCTCTATTCCACAACAGCAGTATGATGTTTGCAAGGCTGCTGGTATTCCCACTCAGGGTAATGCAGCTGGCAATACGGAGGATTACCTAAATTTGACTGGTCAAAATATGCAGGTTCCTATTTAGATGGACTCTTAATTTGTGATAGTGACTGCCTCTATGTGAATAGAACTATAGACTTTGGATATACTATGAAATTGGTGTTCATTTGAATCATTTTATCTGCATAAATTCTTTATACCCTTCAAGTATCATCAAATACACAAGATACTGTACATATTGCGTTTATATCAAAGTCTATAGGATCGCCCGGTACCATTCGTACTAGCCTTGGCACTTGCCAGGCTCGCCCTTGTGACCAACAATGTTGCTACCAGCTTGCAGGAGGCGCGCCCGAGTTCACGGAAATCAAGCCAAGAAATGCTGACTACGAACGGCTATTTGCAAGGTTTTCTTTTCAGGAGCAAGTTTGAACAAGGTGGTTTTCCTGGGAATTTACTGACGTCACCATCACTTCATCTCCACAAAACCTTACATATAACCCCGCAGAAAGAATAAGCAAAGTGAACATATTCATCCAATATTAATAACGCTGGCGTGTACTATACTTCGCTATGTCTGATCAATCGAAAAACCGCGAACCTCCCAAGGCTGCTAATGAAGCCGACAGCGACAAAGGTAGTCCCCATAATCATGGAATCGCCAACAAGCTGACTCTAAGAATACTTCAGGCCAAGATAACAGTCAACGCGAGAAAGTCGCTGCTAGCACTCCCTACATGCCGCAGTCTGGAAAGCCCGCAGGTGAAACGGAGCAGACTGCTCAGAAAACTGAATCAGAGACGGACAAGAATCCCCGTGATAAGGTCGCCGCCAGCACACCCTACATGCCCCAGGCTGGAAAACCTGCTGGCAACTCATCGCTCTGATGCAGCGAATAGGCTGGAGTTTTGCATAGGCCAAAATGTATATTTCATATGAATATTACTACGAATGCTTTCTGAAGGGCCGAGGCTTTAAACCGTCCTAAATCTCATTTGTATTTTCCATGCACACATTGTATAACCTAATGATGACACAGATTTAGAGGAAAGCTCAGAATTCCTCTTGTATATCTACTATCTTATAGTCGATGCTAGGCTCCCTGAATCGAGAGTCAAGACTCGTAGAAGTAGAAATAGTTTTTAATCACGATTTTTCTTGTTAATAGCTCTCACATCAACCATTACTTCATGTGTGAAGTCCACAATCTATTCAACATCGCTGTATATATGAATGAAGGGCTCATGCTAGTGTCAATCGTGGATTGCTCGGGGTTTACAAATGACAAGCTTTGTCCTGGCGTTACCCGAGCGACCCGGCGAGGGCCGAACTGTTGAACCAAACTCGCGTTTACTGGCATGTAGTATGATATACTCAACTCTGCTTAGAGCCTAGCTTCTCATCGAGATTAGTGTCCCTCATAAAATACCTTAAGGGCTTTATCGTGATACACGGTAATTATTCGATCAGAGGAGGTTTTATCCACAACTCGGCCCTGGTGGTGAAAATGTGGAGAGAGTATTCCCTGCACTTTTTTTTTAGAAAATGTCACGAGAGAATTACTGAGTACCTTCCAAGGTAATAGGCTCTTTTGAACGACGCTTGGTAACGGTGTATGGATAGGGATTACCATTGATTGGCCTGATATCTCCGCATGGTTTCGTTACCACTGCGAACCCTTGGGAGCCATGCAAAAAAGGGGCGTTCACATTGACGGGACAAGTCCGTGAGTGCCGTGGTGGGTCTTAGTGAGACATAAATGGATCCAGCTTTGCCTACAGTACTTGCCGGCGTTCAATAAATACCCCACCGGCCTCAGCTTCCCTCCTAACCAAATATGATCCCGTCACTACACAAAGAAGCTGCCAGGTTTTTTATTCAGTCTCGATCATGTCCCTTTGTCAGCTGCCAGATGGACTACTTTATATGATAGTCGAGTTTCTTAACTCTGAAAGTTCTATCAACGCATTAGCACGCACCAAGCGCGCCTTCTTCGTCCAGTTCAACCCCTTTCTTTACTGGTATCACGTTTTAAGTCCACCACATCATCTGAGAACTGGGATCCATATCCCTGCCCTAAATTGGGCAGTCGAGCATGATGATCCGGGTCTCTTAGGCAGGCTTCTCGATGCCGGTGCGAATCTGGATGTTTTCAACAAGAGAATTTGGCGCAAATCTGGGCCTTTTTCGCACCATCCATTTCGGGTTGCTGCTAGAAGAGGTCATGCTAGAGTTCTCGAAGCTTTGCTAGAAAGTGAAAGCACGGAAAGTGAGGGTACGGGTTATCGGCTTAGGGAGTCAGATTATGCTCCGATATTTGCTGATGCCGTATCTTATGAGAAAATTCTTGTTTTCCGAATGCTCCTCTCGAGGGGTGTTAACCCATGGTGTGATGGAGCTAGTGCTAATAAGCTTTTGAGCAAGGCTGCTAAAGGAAAAGACCTCGAGTTATTTGAACTTCTGCTCTCGGATTTTACGCAGCGAAGAGATTTACCTCCTATTATAGAGTGGGAGGATGCTTATTCAGCACTACATTACGCAAACATGAGAAATCGCGAACATTATATGAGGCTATTACTTACGGCGGGCATAGACGTCAATGGCATAGATGCCAATCGTACAAAGCCAAGATTTCATGGGAAGACGGTATGGCGACCCTTATGCCGTTGTCATCGTCCAGGACCGGCTAGACTTCTGCTAGACGCAGGAGCCGACCCAAATATTGACCAGGACGACAAATGGGGGCCGCTGGCCTGTGCGGTTGGTAACTATTTTTATACTACCGAAATTTCCGTATCTTCTCAGGAGGAGAGAAATCGACGCATGGAAATGCTCCATCTACTTTTTGAGTACGGAGCGGACCCGAAACGAGCTGGAGGGGGTTCGGCCCTGCATGGGGCACTACGGGACCTGGACTTGGCTTCGGCTACCTTCCTTGCTGATAAAGGTGCGAGAATAAGAGTTCTGGAATTGACGGCGTCTGATCAGGCACTATTGGATCAAGCGGTAGTAGAGCATGAATGGGGAACAGTCATGAGACTGACCCCACCTCATTGGTCCATGCTTGAATATATTGGTCCAGGCTTGATCCGCAAAGGGAGAAATATAAAAAGGTACATGTTGTCGACGGGTGCGAGTGGTGATTTTCCGATTCTCCCACCTGGGATGACCAGCGAGAATCGTGTGATCAATGAGGGTGAAATACTCCCACCGCCATTCTACGTCAGCCCTGGGGAAGTGCCGTTTCCACCAGGTCACTTTCCCCTAGATATGTTGACCGTGGAAGAACTGGATCAACGCCGGAGGCTCATAGAAAATCTTTTTTGAATTGACCAAAGTTCATTCAAAACTTATACCTTCTCAATGCAATAGAATTACTTTCTGTGAACAAGAAATCTAGAAATGGCATCTTAACTGACAAAGGGTATTCACTAGTTCCAAGGTTGAGAAGTGAGTTCCCAAGGTTAGAAGCGAAAGAGTCCATGGATTATGCGTTCAGGTTGAAGTTCATACATCGGCTGCGGTCACAGCAAGGTGTATTTTATGATATTAGTTAGACACATATCTTCCGTTCGGGGCTCTTTAGTATTGACTCTACATCTAATCGGCCCAGGGTTCTCATACCGAGTCTCTCAAACGGAAACAAACGGATATAACCGTCTCGAAGATACTACCTTCGGACCAACCACTGACTACTATTCATAGATCCTCAATAGCCGGCCATAGAAACTACGAGCCCGTCGTCTGTCAACCTTGCACTAGAGTAAGCCAATATGACTATTGAAGAGAGACCTTAATAAAGCAAGAATGGAAAAGAAAGGGAGGGAACGCGAGGCACAATAACGAAAAGCTGCAAGCAAAATTGCATAGCAGGTGGGATAAGTCAAAGGAAATTTTGAATACGTCACGCTCAGAATCTTACAAGCACCACGTGAGAAACAGTAGAATCGTAATCATTAATTGGAATTTCAATAACGACAGTGGTAATAGGTAGTGTTGGCCCTCACGCCATCAAGCAAGTGCCGGGAACTACTCTACAGAATCCCCCGCCTATATTGGCTTAAGCGTAGCTGTTGAAAGACCACCGTGATTTGATGTCAACGCTAAAGCTAAAACTCTCGCATCCCACCACATGCTGGTAATCCCTTCGACAAGACTTATTATTACCATCCAAAACGGCATTTTAAGTCCAGGTGTGGTCGGCCAAATCATGACGAGCGCGGTCACAGTTGGCCTTGCCTGTGTGGGTGTAGCAAAGACCAGCAACACCAGCCGCCCACATAGCTCCACATTCCCACATAACGATGGCAAGATCCCACAGCTCCATGATCTTTTGTCCGTGGGGGTAAGCCACCTCAGCAGCGAGGACAGTACCCACATATTCGCTCTCGGCGGGGAGAGAATCACCACCCTTCACGTAAGCCATAACGGGGTTGACCAGGTGCTCAATCACGGCACGGGTCTCCGGCAGAATGTCACCAGAGACGAGGGCTGCAAGACGTGCCTCAGCGCTGGAGAGCGGACCCTCACCGCGCTCGACTCGGGTACCATTGACACGGAAGTGCTCCAGTTCGGGCCGTCCATCTGGCATCGTGGGGGCGATAGCTGCCTCAACACCAATGTCAGTTCGGCCGAGGAGAGTGACGGGTCTGTGTCGGCAGTTGGAAAGCTGCCACCAGTGGGTAAATAGAAGGCACAGAGCAGCTGGGTTATAAGGGTCATTGTTGCGGTACCAGATCATAGCACCGATCAAGCGCGAGTAGACCTCAGCTAGGGGTTCCTCTTCCAAAGACCCCCGGGTCAGAGATGGAATGATGTTGGAGACTTCGCCGCACAACACATCAGCTCCAAGGTCAATCCAATCGTGTGCGACGCACCCAAGACCGGCGATAGCGGCCATTTGCTCACCACCACCAGAATCGTAATAGACGTGGCAGAAGACGGCGTCGGCAAGCTTGTAACGAGCGAGACGGTCTAGGTCATTCCAAACAACCATACACGGGCTGGATTCAACTGGGTCGTTATCCTCGAGGATGGTCTTCTGACGCAAACATCCATAGTTGCAGCCCTTGACGATACGGATATCGTCGATATGGGGACCAGCGGAAGCTGATGCTTCAGCAGAAGCAGTCACTTCGGCAAATGCGAAAGAAAGTCTGTCCGCCATGGCAGAGCTATCAGTTCCGATAGAATAATCCAAGACAAAGGCTGAGTCCATAACAGCCCATATACCTGAAATCGAGCCACCGTAGACACCACGGTTGTAGCCAATCGACATGGAGAAGATACTGGTGTTAATAAGAGGGCCTTCACACGCCTCTGCGGCGAAGAGAGCGTCAGTGTACTCGTCTGGTGAGTCAGCCACGCCGCTCAGCTTCGCAGGTAGGGGCTTGCGGGCATTGCACCAGGAAGGAAGTACGGCCTCGCGCACCTCTGCAAAGTCGAGAGTCACCGTCTTTCCGCCCGTGATGACCTTGTCACGAGCCTCCAAGAGAACGGAGGCATCAGCCAACAGGCCAACAGCACAATCGACTGCATCTGCAACACGCGCATTACGCATCCAAGAGATGCTTGTAGCGGCGCCGAGTACGCCCTTGGTGTGAACAGTGTCAGGTCGACGCGGCAAGTTGACGGTCGTAGTCAAAGTGTCGGATTCAGAATCGTACTGCTGGGCGAATTTACCCGATCCAGCCTCGACCGGACCAAGGCCGTGAGTCTTCAGCGACCAACATGGAGCTCCGTGGGGGGACTCCCTGGTGGCGCCTTCTCCGCGGACATGAATGGTAGACCAGGTGGAAGTTAGACGGACGGTGGCATTAGGATCCTCTGCCGAGAAGTCGTCGGTACGGTCACCCCAGTGAGACACGACAGGCAGGCAATCAAAAGCAGGCGAGCGACTGAGACCACCGCTGACGACTAGGCCTGGGAGGAGGTCGGAGATGGGCTGGTCAGAGCACTTGACTGCCAAAGGGCGGCTGAGCTCATTGGTACGGGCAAGGATCTTGTAAAGCCGGGCCCGGGAGTCGCTGGTGTGCTTAGCAGCGGCCTTCTTGTCACGCAATTCCAAGGGCGAGACCTCGGCAGTGTTAGAAATGAAGTCGGTCACGTCACGGCAGGAGATTCGCTTGTTGAACGACTGCTGATGATCAGCCCGAGGGTCAACAAGGCCACCTCTGACGGCCGCCTCGGGGAGCTCTTCCCCCCTAGCAATGTAAGGCATATTGAATTATTGAATGACAAGGTATAAAGAAGAGTTTGTTAGCAAGAATTTGTTATATAAGTAGCAAAATGGCGAGTGATCTGCTGATCGCTCTGAAGGTTGGTTGCTCCTCTTTCTCTGTGTCAGGCCTTCTTATTTATACCTTGTCTGTCTCCCATTGAACTTTTAAAATTAAAACATAATCTGGATCAAAGCGGAAGTAGATTGACGGGAAGCAATGCTCATCGTAGAGCTTTGAATTGGATCTGCACGAGAGCCCGCTACACATTGATTGTTACACAGCATTGATTTGGAGTGCATGCTGTTGTACCTCGTAGCGACCTATGTGTGGCTGATACCTCTTACAAGGCCCTCTCCACCGCAGTTGATATGTGGCTGAGCTCAATACCAGACACATCTGAAAGTCATATTCTACACCGTAGATTCAGTGTGACCTGGAATAGAGCTGTGCAACCTGAGCTATAACCCAAGTCTGTGGATGATCTCGTGCTTCCATATGGCCCGTTAGCAACGACAACTCCTGATTTGGAGCTAGGGCTATGCTTACTGCACCAACGTGGCCTTGACTGGGTTTGCTATTTGCAATACTTGCGTTTGCATCTGTGGGGCAATGACCTCTACCACACCCCATTGCTTGTTTTTGGACGCCAGATGATGTGGCTTACGCTCGAGCTCCGCTTGCCATTCATCCCTCTCACTTCGGCGTATCCAAGAATCTTGATTCACTGTTACAAAGGGGGGCAAAGCTGCTCAAGACTCTGCCACACATCTATCGTCCTTGTCCCTGCAAGCACAAGAAACTCAAATCATTCAATTCCTCACACCATGCTCTAACATAAATAGGGAAAGGCAGTTAAATGATGCCACCACAATACTAATTTCCAAGTGTATAGACTATGAATTGAGATGTAAAGAGGTAAGAACGCTATAGGTATCTTGAACAGGCCCCAAAGGGGGATGTTTCACCATCCCGTGTCCTTAGAATAAGCATATATACTATCTCACGTGTAACTTAGATGCTCACTACTCATCGTATGAATCATACATAACTCCTACAAGGTTTGCACGGTGCATAGCTACGAAAAAATTTACGAATCACATATTCGGGTTCCACAAGATTAGTGCACCTATTCTGGTATTATTTCCATTTGTTAACCCAATAAGATGCGATAAGATCCAGGTACGGACATCAAATTACGTATTATGATACCCCAAGGTCGTAGCGCGGCTGTGTCTATATGCCTAAGTACTACGGGAAGTACTCGTGAAAATCTTTACTGAAGTTTATGGCATGCACTATACATCTCCTACCTAATGCAGCCCCCTAGGATCGCCTCCAGGAATTACTGCAAGGGTCCAAGCCTTTGTAAAAAAGTGGTGAGATTCAAAGGGAACCCAAATTGAGAATTGCTTGAACGGAGAGGGCCTCAGCAAGAAGAGAGTTCATATAATCTGTTAGGGCCCTATGTATTTTGTCTAATTTGAGGATTATGTCCGTAGGAGATTATCTTCTATGAGCCTCCACCAGATCGTACCTTTATTTGCTTTTTCTGATCGATTGCGAGTTGCTTTACGTGTCACACACGTATGCATAGTGTATAGGTCAGAACGTGTACAAATGATCAGACACGTAGCCACGAATGAGGTGCATGTACGCATGCACTAAGTACTAGAAAAAGCACACCTAGCAGCATCATACTCTCTAGGGTCGTGTGGTGCCACCAGCCCTGTAGAAATACTTCTACTATACGATCAAATGAGACTCTCTGTGTTTGTTCTTATATTCCAACAATTTCTGTGCAATTTCAAACCTGGCCTCCCCCTCGAGACGTGCTGAGCACGTGGCTGTTCTTTTCAATCAGAGTTCTCGGTATCCGAACTTCGGTGCTTATGACAGGCGTCAGTCAAGTGAATTTCCTGATATGGAAGGAAATATCAATAGGACAACTTGTAAGGCAATAGCTGTTCTTCCCCGTCATGTCTCTCTCGTCTACTCTCTATAGCATCACGTTTGTAGTCACTGGAACAAACATTGTTATATGTCTATACTCCTCCTGGCTGAGGCTTACGCTCTATCAAATATATTCAAAGAAAGTTGCTTGATTATACGGGGATTTTGAGCATTGAGGTTATTATGTATATGATGAAAGATAGAAGGAAAAGCATGGATGGAGATTGACAAATTGCTTACGTGGTTTGACTACTTTCTATTCCTAAATGCATATAGATTCTTAATTTGGCATCTCCCATATTAAGAGACACTAGCCACTAGGTAGGCATACGTAGGCCACTTGCAAGCAAACCGATGACATCCATCCTGTTTGTATAGTTTCCATGAGCCAATCACATTCTGCAGCCAGATAATCCCTTATCCATTCCTCCATAAAACATAGAATCTCCAATTTTCAGCCCTTTGCAAAGTATAAATAGCAATATGTAGCCGCTTAGAATAACATCAGGCAACAAATACCATAATCTCACCTGAATATAGCCCATTTGAAACGTAGGGGCCATAGTGATGGGGTCCATTTAGAAGAAATGTGAAAGTGTGGAACCGCAGAAAAAATGCCAAGGCTTACATTAGCCAGGCTCCTCTTTCCTGCAAAAGATCAGCCCCGATCTTCCATTCTCAGCTGCACCTTCGTTCCGACTGTTGCATTGTCAGTGCTATATGTACAATTTTCCGGGTTTATCTGCTTTCACTTATCTACATCACCTCTTGCATCTCCTACGCTTCGCATCTTAATCGCCACCCCGACCCCATCGACAAACATGTCCGACGACGAGGACTATTATGATTTTGAAGAGGAATATCTCTACGAAGACGCAGTTCCTGACCTTGTCGTGAGTCGAACCACCTATATGTCCCCCACGTATTACGACATGACATTGGATTTCTGTCCTATGAAGACGACCAGCTACTAACAATCCTCTTTTCCCCCTGCAGGACGAACTCGCCGCATCCTCATGGTACGAAGCGGCTCTGTACGAAGACCCGGGCATTGAAGTCGAAGACTACTTCAGTGACTGGGATTACTACTCAGATGACTACCACGACGACGACCCGACCGTAGCGCAGAGCAGGCCTCGCACGAAAATCGAGCCCGCAGCAACCAAGACGAAGAAGACTCGCGCCCACGCCGCCGCCCGACCACACCATCCCTTGAAACTCGACATCACCTCCTTCCAGGGCGTCGTCTGGAAAACAGACAGTCTGGAGCGCGATACGGATGTTTCGGTCCAAATCTATGAGCCCGGTCAGCTGGACAAGGTCGCTTTCCTGCAGGACTGGAGGGAGATCTTCAAGTCTGCCCAACCTGCGCTGGATAAGTCGCGATTAAGAAAAAGACGCGTCCCGGAGCCCCAAGCGTCGGATATGTCATCTGGGGATGACGAGATTCTGAATGATGCCGATGAGGAGTACAGTGACGATGATCCTATGTCTGATGTTGAGTCGGTGGATCAGGATGGGAGTATGGATCCTGGGGAGGGATCGAATACGACGCCTGAACCTGGTCAGTCGCCGAAGGAGGCTCCCCGAATTGCTGTTGAGATTCCGGTGAAACGGGGCCGGAAGCGTAAGGCTGAGGCTCAGGCTCCGACTCCGGTTGAGGAAACGAAGAGTAATTCCAATGATGTTTCGACAAGGAGTCGATCAAAACGGGTTGCTTTAGACAAGAGTGAAGAGGAGGCGAGCTCGTCTGGTCCGGTTCGCCGCTCTGCCAGACAGAAGAAATAGTGTTGATGGGATGTGGTTTTTTTTGGTTGCTTGTATCTGTGAAACATCCTAACTCACGACATGTAATGAATGGTACGAATGAAGAACTACAACTTAACTCAAAAGTTTGACAGATTCCAAATGAGCTCAATGCAGATATCTGTGTATTCCTATCCATGCGCCACTATTCTAATCATACTCTTTGTTGAACGCACGGCCGATGACCATTCGTCGAATCTCGCTTGTGCCAGCTCCAATCTCGTACAACTTTGCATCCCGGAGTAACCGCCCGGCGGAGATCTCATTGATGTATCCATTTCCACCCATCAGCTGAATGGCATCTAATGCGCACTCCGTTGCGCGCTCAGCAGCATACAGGATCGCGCCAGCACAGTCCTGTGTACGGATCACCAAGGGATCGGATGCAGCGGCGCCATTGTCTACCTGTCGTGCAGTGGTGTAGGTGTATGCCCTTGAAGCGGCAAGCTTGGTGTACATGTCGGCAAGCTTACCCTGGATCAACTGGTTGTGAGCAATCGGAGTACCGAACTGCTTCCGGGTATGTGTGTATGGAAGGACGAGGTCCAAAGCAGCTTGCATGATTCTAGGCATGATTAATATAAATATACGCGACGAGATTTGAATTGAACATACCCAAGTGGTCCTGCGCTCAGTACGAGTCTCTCCAAATCGAGGCCTTCCATTAGAACTCGAACACCGCGGTTCAGCTCTCCCAAGACGTTCTCCCGGGGAACAAAAACATTGTCAAAGACAAGTTCACCGGTGTTAGAGCCACGCATACCGAGCTTGTCTAGCTTCTGGGCGCAGGAGAAGCCCTCGAAGCCCTTCTCAACAACAAAGGCGGTGATTCCCTTGGAGCCCTTGTCAGGCTGTGTCTTTGCGTAGACAACCACAAAGTCGGCCTCAGGGCCCTGCAAGCGAGCTGTCAGTTACTAGACTCATACTTCGGGGTCAACGTCTAGGGGCTTACATTAGTGATCCACATTTTCGTTCCATTCAATACCCAGCCACCATCCACCTCCTTCGCATTGGTCTTCATACTGACAACATCGGAGCCAGCAGAGTGCTCCGACATAGCCAACGCACCGACTTTGTCACCAGCTAGCAAACCAGGCAAGAATCGTTCCTTTTGTTTTTCGTTTCCATTAAGCGATAGTTGGTTGACGCAGAGCTGGGAGTGAGCGGCATAAGAGAGACCAATACTTCCTACACACAACGCAGGTTAGACCAGTCTCAGAGAACAAATCAATCAAGATGAATATAAACACTTACCAGATGCCCGACTGATTTCTTCCATCACCACGCAATGCGCTTGGTAGCCCATCCCCAGTCCACCATAAGCTTCATCGGCTGTAATACCCAAAAAGCTAATCCCTTCATTAGCATTTCCAATACTTCATGTGGTAGTGAGGAATGAAATTACCCAGCATCACCAAGTTTCTTCCACATCTCCGCGGGGAAATTGTTCTGCTCATCCGTCCGTGCCGCAACCTCGGCTGGAATCTCTCGCCCTGCGCCGGTGTCAGTTCACCCCAACTAAGAAAACCTGAGTTTGGGAACAAAAAGACTCACTTGTGAAGTCTTGCACCCGCTCTCGGAGCTCTACGAGCTCATCCTCGGTTGGGGGCGCGAAGCCTGCCGGGTGTTTTGTCGACACACTGCGGGCGAATCCTGGGGCAAGTGCGGGGATGGCAGTTCGCCGCAACGAACGGGTGGATGTGCGTAATAGGGATGGGATGGTAAGCGAAGCCATTGTGAAGTTTGAGCGTAATGGGTACAGAATCTAGTTTATTTTTGGCTTCAAAAAATATTGAGAGTAGAGAGTATTTAAGATTGGAAAGTAGGAGAAAAGAGCAAGGAGCGGCAGTCGTCGGCGCGGAGAAACCGCGTTGTGACGGAGTATACAAATAAGGGATTAAACATTATTTTCCTTGACAATTATTACTGAGGCTGAGCTGCTGAATTAACTGCGCATCGGGATTGAATATTATGTCTTTCCCATTCCGTAATATTCTCCTCTACATTATTATATTCTAAGTAGTAGATTGTTGCCATTGTAGTTTCATCACAGGTGTTGATGCTGAGCCTCGGGTAGACGCGGCAATCATCGCAACTCCGCACAATCCGGGGGAATTGGAGCTGTTCCTTTCTCACTTTCCCTTTAACTACATATTTCATGCCTGGGAATGACATGATATGCTCTTCCCTTTCTATACTTTGAAAACCCTCTGATCTAAAATCGGTCTTGCCCTTGCACACGGCTTCTGATAAGTCTAGCCATTCCCCGCAATGCGTGCCCCTTCCCCGCTCGTCCTGCGGAGCCTGGGCTCACGAGCTGGTCTACGCAACAATCGCCCAGCACACTTCGGATCTAACACCACGACTCGACTGACATCACGCTCAATCGCTAACTACACACACCCTCATCATGCTTCGGCACTCTCGGTCATCCCGACAGCAGTCGACACTTCGTCGGCTGAATTCAAAGAAAACAGCCAACAGATGCAAGAGCTCCTCTCTCAAATGAATCACTTGCACACAAACATCTCCAAAGGTGGTCCACAGAAGTCACGAGATAAGCATGTCGCGCGGGGTAAAATGCTCCCTCGAGACCGTGTCTCAGCATTGATTGACCCTGGCACATCGTTCCTGGAGCTCTCCCCGCTCGCAGGACACGAGGTATACGAAGGCGAGGATGTACCCGCTGGTGGAATTATTACTGGCATAGGTACGGTTGAAGGGGTCAACTGCATGATTGTTGCGAATGACAGCACCGTCAAGGGCGGCACGTACTATCCTATCACGTTGAAAAAGCACCTACGCGCACAGGCAATCGCCCAGGAGAATCGATTGCCTTGTATCTATCTGGTTGACTCCGGCGGTGCCAACCTTCCGCACCAGGCGGATGTGTTCCCCGACCGGGATCACTTCGGCCGTATTTTCTACAATCAGGCTCGTATGAGCTCTCTCGGAATTCCACAGCTTTCGGTTGTAATGGGTCCTTGCACGGCGGGCGGTGCTTATGTCCCTGCTATGAGTGACGAGACGATCATTGTCGAGAACCAGGGTACTATCTTCCTTGCTGGTCCACCGCTTGTCAAGGCTGCTACTGGTGAGGTTGTTTCGGCTGAGGATTTGGGTGGTGGTCTGCTGCATTCTACCATCTCAGGTGTAACGGATTATCTGGCTGTTGACGATGCCCATGCTCTCATTCTGGCGAGACGTTCGGTTTCCAATCTCAATTATCCCAAGACCAAAGCGCCCCTAGAGCTTGGGGATGTGGTAAAGGAGCCCATCTATGACCCTAATGAGTTGAACGGTATTGTCGGTGTCAACCTTCGGCGGCAGATTCCTGCTCATGAAGTTATTGCGCGAATTGTCGATGGGAGCGAATTTTCTGAATTCAAGCGCGACTACGGGACTACGCTCGTCACAGGCTTTGCACGAATCCATGGCCACCGCGTCGGTATCATCGCGAACAATGGTATCTTGTTCTCCGAGTCGTCTCTCAAGGGTGCTCACTTCATTGAGTTGTGTGCTCAACGACGAATTCCCCTCGTGTTCCTGCAGAACATCTCCGGTTTCATGGTGGGGGCAGATGCCGAGAAGGGTGGTATTGCGAAGAATGGTGCCAAGCTTGTGACTGCCGTTGCATGTGCGGATGTCCCAAAGTTTACGGTTGTCTTTGGTTCGAGCGCTGGTGCTGGAAACTACGGAATGTGGTAAGTTGTATGTCCAGTCTCATCACCAAGTAAACCGTCTCACTTTTTTTTCTAGTGGCCGTGCCTACTCGCCTCGGCTAATGTTCATGTGGCCGAATTCAAAGATCGGTGTCATGGGTTCCGAACAACTCTCTGCTGTCATGGAAGCTGTTGGGAAGACTGTCGATCCGGATCTCAAGAATCGTATTGATCGCGAGTCTGAGGCTATATTCGCCTCCGCCCGTCTATGGGACGACGGTGTCATCCCACCAGCCCAGACAAGACGGATGCTGGGACTGGGGTTGGCAGCTGCGGTCGGTGGAAACCCAGAGCCAGATGTCCAGACTAAGTTTGGAGTATTCCGGATGTAGACAGAGATCGAAAGAATCGTCAAATATAATGTAGACACGAAGAAGTCATCCAACCAAACATACTATTTTTCTTTCAATAAAAATGGCAAGATACTCAAAGCATAAACAGGTCGAAGAAAAATATGCGGAATAAAAAAATTGCCTTCAAATATCACAGATATGGTGTTTCACCAAATTCGACTTTTAGGGAGTCCAACAACCAAACCTCTCAATGTATAAGATTGTGGAAGAAAAGAAAAAGAGTCAGGTACTCAGGAGTGTATCATAGAATCGAAGAATTGATGGTATAATAGATGAGAAAAGAAGAAATGGCGGCGACGGGTCAGTCTATCAAAAGGCGCAGATGCATAAAAGCGTAGAAAACATCATGTGGCACGTCAAAAAGCATACGTGGAAGCGGAGACAGGCGTGACTTGCAAAAAGCCCATGGATCTCTTGCTGAGCATGAGCAGTGCATAAGAGTCCAGAGGATCATAAGATGTGATTCATCCAATTTACAGGATGACACATGGAGACTTGCGGCGCGTTGATTTATTATCTCGTTTGCGATCGTTGCGATTTGAGTTTTCGCGCTTGCGGGATGAATCGCTGCTGGAGCCTGAACCCTGCAGGTCCTTGCGAATAATTTGACGGCAGAGGTCAACGAAGACCTCATTCACGTTCGCGCGTCGGCGGGCAGATGTTTCGTAGTATGGAGCATTTCCCCAACTCTGGGATAGACCGAAAGCGCGTGCTCGGGGCACAGCTCGGTCGTCTTCGAGATCGGATTTGTTGCCGACAATCACGAGGGGGACTTTTTCGTCATCTTTGATTCGGATAATCTGTTCGCGGAGTTCGGAAAGTTCATTCAATGAGGACATGCTAGTGATGGAGAAGACCAGTAAGAAACCTTGGCCTTGCTTCATATAAAGCTCTCTGAAGCGGAACGCAGGTTAGCATGCGCTGGAACGTGGAGCTAGGTATCGAGTTCTATTTTACCTCATGGCAGCTATAGGTCCGGTCAGTAAAAGAAGTCACACGCATAGAGTACACTACACTCACTGAATTGTTCTGTCCCCGCGGTGTCAAGACTGCACAGCACAACCGCTTGTCAGCTTCCAGCTTCAAACAGCTCATTGTATTCGCATCGAAGGAACTTACATTTCGAGGATACATTGTCGACCCTAGAAATTGATACGTCAATTCAGAAACCTCTTATCGGTGCGAGTGAGATCTACTTACATCTACCTCAATTTGCTTGCGGTATGAGTCCTCAATGGTCGGGTCATAACTTTCAATCCAGACATTTTGCACGAATTGAGCTGTAAATGCATGAGCTACTGCTTCGCGAGGGGCGCAATGGCACTGCAAACAAGGCTGGGTCATCAGGGCAATATGTACCAGTCAAACAACTTTTTCCGACACCTCCAGCACCCAGAACAACGATGTGGTATTCCCGTCTATTGTGACACGTCATTGCGATTAGCAACCAGCATTGACGACAGCAGGATCCCTAACTCACTGCGGCCGCATTGTTAGAGATCCAAGGATCACCTGGTATAATTATGTATTGCGAGGAAGGAAAAAGGAGCGAGAGTGAAGGCCAATGGCACGGAGCTAGTTTGTGACCGGAGTTGATCTCGTGCCGCGGTGTTGTACCACGCGGGGGGATGGATCGAGATCCTAGTTTCTTTCGGCGCGGTGTCGGAGAGAATGTTCCGTGTATGCGATTCCCCTCTGTAAACGTACAAAGCCGTTGTGCCCCTTAATTATAGCACGATGGTGTCAAGCTCCCTTGGGGGCCGATAGGGAAGAGCAGAGGGAGTCGGTTACATCGGAGTCCCAATGGATCAAGGAGTGGTATCGACGCACGGACCGTTCGATGGGATTCGGTGTCGGTTCTACCCACCAGAGGTCAGTGTGGTGGAGGATTGATTGAGGCTGAGTGGTTCAAAGATGGGGGAGGTTGTTTGGGAAAGTGGTGTTGTGTGCGGGCCGCGGAGTTTAGGGGCGCATTTTTTTTTTCTTACCGTTCTGCAAGCCAAATGAGTAACCGGAAAATGATATAAGTCAATTCCTCAGAGATTAGTAAGGACTAGAAAAAAATTAATGTGGAATGGACATGAATATGCATGTCTAGTCCAATCGGTTTTGCTTGTTTGGCCCCTTGGTTCCTAATCACATCTGTTCCTGGCGGTGAGTCCAGACTCTAGTCAACTCCACAATGCCATTCACCTAAATTTATGGCAACTTTCCTATGCATAAAGCATTTAAAATTGGACTGCAGGGGCTGTCTGCAGGATGGCAGATAGCCCAAATTAGGCTGTTGGGCTCCAAATACTGCGATTCGAGGAGACTCGAATACCTACGTCTTGAGGTGAATCCATTGAATTGAATGTATAGAACCCCGGGTCCATTGCTGGTCATTTGGCCATTGATTATCATCAGTGTTTAGATGTTAGAGATTAGTTACGAATCAGCGAGCGTTGGCGTATTAACCTGATAATCTATACATTGATTACGTGATAACGTACTTTGTGTCTTGGTCTGCAGCTTGTTGAGAAATGATAGGCCGAGGTATTTTACGAGCTCAAAAGGCTGTACATAAAGAGGGACAAAGAACCTTGGAATTAATGCTATGTAGTCTTACCAGGTTAAAATTCCGTAATAGCGTGGGCTAGAATGATCCATCGATGAGTAATGGAATGGGGGGAATAGGTCCACGGATGTATTTATGGATGTGGATAATAATAATCTCCCGGAGCTTGGCTGTCCGGGGTTGGTTTCACCTTTCTAGTAAGGACTCACAAGATCATATCATAGACTAGTCGTCATCATGCCGATTTAGCGATAACGGGTATTATTTTATGCTTCAAGACAGTGTGCGACAAAAACCTGTATCCTTAGTGATGTGCTTGATTTAGTCTGAATGACCTAACTGGGAATAGGGCTTATCATCTGATGATAGGGTTATTCGAGGTGTTCTTTGATGGAGAAAGTGCTTTGAGATAGCTCGCATGAAAATTAGACAAGTCGGGACTTTTGACCCTATCACTAGAATTCTATCATGCGAGGGATCAATGCATACAGGACGGATCACTCCACTGCATTAAATTCACATGGCGCTCGCATCTGATCGCGGACCGAGTACGTCATGGAATCACGTGACTACCGCACGGTCACAGCAGCGGGAAGCGCCAGCTCGACCAAATGCATTCTCACTCATCCCTCGCTCCCATTGCAATCTCTCTACTTTTCGGAAACAAGATCCTGAAATTCTAAGCTCATCTCACAAAATGGCTTCCTTCCAAGACCGTGCCCAGCACGCTATTTCCCAGCTCGACAAGGAGGTGCGTTTCTAGCTCATTGTGTGTTTCGTTGGTGCCTCGCCAGCTCTAGCCCGCCCCATTTTGGCTGCATGATTTCTGTGCCCTCACGATAGTGCGATCGGGAGGGCAACGCAATCCCACAGCACAGCACACATACACTCGTGCTACCTTCCATCCTTGTTCATTAATTTTTTTGGAGCTATGTTCCTTTAGCTGACGTCCTTGATAGCTTTCTAAGTACCCTGTCCTGAACAACATGGAGAGACAGACCTCCGTCCCCAAGGTCTATGTCATCCTGGGTCTGGTCGGCGTCTACTTCTTCCTTGTCTTCTTCAACATCGCTGGCGAGTTCCTTGTCAACGTTGCCGGTTTCGTTCTTCCTGGTTACTACTCCCTCCAGGCCCTGTTCACCTCGGGTTCCGCGGATGATACTCAGGTAAGCTTTCCTCCCATCTCCTTTCTATCCTGATGTCAACTGTGTCGCTAACGTTCGATTGTCTATAGTGGTTAACTGTATGTTCCCATGACCCCACCCCACTATCAGTTTGGCCAAGTGTTCCTGGCACGAGACAGCATCTTCTGTCTTTCTCAAGCGCCACGTGATACTGTGGAAGAACAATAATCTAACTTGTCCCTCGATAGTACTGGGTTGTCTTTGCTTTCCTGACCACCCTCGAGAGCGCTATCAGCGCCGCTTACTGGTTCCGTATGTGCAATCAATCTACCGCACCATTTGAGCTCCACTGACTTCCGACTAGCCTTCTACTACATCTTCAAGTTCGTCCTTGTGCTGTGGATGGCTCTTCCCCAGACCAGGTAAGTCATCAAAACATAATCCGAAAGCTGAACATCATATCGAACCGAACTAATAAAATCCATAGCGGTGCCCAAGTTATCTTCCACTCCTTCCTCCAGCCTCTGGTTGGCCGCTTCTTCTCCAGCAATGGCACTTCCGCCAACCTCCGTGCTCAGGCCGAGGCTGCTGGCAAGACTCACTCGTCCTAAATGGTTCCATAACGAAGCCTAGTTGAGAATCGTCTCGATATCATGTACACCCGAGGCTGTAGCTTAGATGTAGGCCGCGGGTTTGTCGATTCTCCCCGACCGGTCGGGTTACTGTTAACGACGTCATGCGCATTCGAGGATGAAGTCATTCGTTGCGAATGAATTGCAATTTGAGTCCTGATGACAATAGAGTCAAGGTGAAAGGAGGAAAGGAGCCGGGCCCGGGGATGTATTTAGGGGCTGGCGGGGGATTGTGATGTTGTTTTGGTTTTATGTTGGTTGAATTACATATCTTGAATGGTAGAGCTTGTCTGTAGCGTTTGACTCTGTCGATTCGCTCGCTTTCAGGACGTTTTATACGCAAACAGCATGGTATGCATTTCTGACACTGAACACTTCCACTTTACTTCTACAATTTTTGTATCTTGGAGCGGGCTTTCAGTTGCCTGGGCTCTTATCGAGTACTGTCACTGAAACGAGACATGAGATCCCAAAACGCCAATCCAAGAAATGATTTCCCGCAAGGGACTTGTCCGCCAAACGCCAAACACCTGTTCTAACGTGATATCATATAGCCCTGGATCAAACACAAGTGTTCAGCACCAACGGCATCGACAACCACCCTCCCAGTTCGACCATGTTAATACAACCCAATGCGGTTACCCCAACCATCGGTCCGCGGGTTAACAACAATGCGATAAGGGAAGGGATTGGAATCACTAGTCGTAATGGGCGGAATATGATCCTTGTCCCGATTCACAACAGAAAGGATCTTCAGCGCAGCTTTCTGAAGCATATTACCCATCGCCTTCCGGACTTTAGCTCGTTCTAAATCCACAATACTGATTAGCAAGAGAACATCTCCAACACCGCGCCAATGAATTCTGCGCGCCAAAATTCCATTGTAGCATGTAAATAGTCTTTCTTCCACTGGAAATAACTCACCGGAATCCGTCCGCGGCGTGGCAATCGTCACATCCAATGTCCAGATCTCCCAACATACCTCCTCCTCTCCCTTCCCAGCTAGCCCACCAAACCAAAGTCCTGACCGACGCCTCTTCTTCTCATAGAACTCCACCGCTATCCGACCGCGCACACCCCCGCCTCCGCCTACTTTCCCATCTTCCCCGCCCGCAGCGGAGGAGAGGTGCTGGCGCACAAGGGCACTAACGCGGGACTCGATCAACGTCTCCAAGTCTGCATCGTTGATCGCAGGCAGTGTGAAGTCCAATACATCGAAGGTAACGGGTCGAATAGACGGGAAGTAGCGGTGGAAGAAGATGAGGTTCAGGACGCCTGAGCGAGGGGCGAAAATCAGCGGCGACCTTGGAAACGGGAAGAAGATCCGCAAAAGCCATTGGAGATATCCCTGAAATACTGTGTAATCACATACCTTTAAGTACATCGCGCACTGTTGTGGTGTCGGCGAATATCTCCAGGAAGTACTCTGGAGGGGTTTTGCGGGGCTCCATCCCCGCCCGCGGTGGAACGGACCCAGGATACCGTTTGGGTTGTTGTGCGGGAACGCGAGGTGGGTGGGTTGGGTGACTGGACGATTTATACGAGTGCCTTGGGAGCTTTGAAGTATTTGGTGAGTGTCATGGAGGGTTGTGTGAGTCTTGGGTTGGGAATGATGATGCTGTCGGGGCGGTTTCCATCGGACTGGGCCGAATGACGCTTATCGGGCTTATCATTGGTCCCTGGGGCGCCCTTTGTCGGTTGCGTAATAACTATGGTTCGCGGGTGGGAAAAGTGGGTCATTCGCTGCTTGCGATGACTCTTTATATTCTTTATTTTCTTTGTGCTGGAGACTTTTTGACGAGATGATAGTAGCTTCCAAGGCTGTAGGCCAGCGCTGCTCCCTTAGATTTACTGTCTTTTTGGATATGCATTATCCACCACGGCTCTTTTCCCTGGCTAAACATCACAATTCCACTTGGTCAGTTTTGAACATACTCCTTCTCTACAAAGACAACAGCTACGAACCAATAAAAGTTGTATGAGAAAATGCCACAAGGCTGCTCTAGCATACCCAGTCTTTCATATGACAGATCCTGTGAATCTTACCTCAGATAGCAGTTTTAATCCCCTAAGCGTCAGCTACATAATGTCATTAAACTGCCAGTTAGTTGACTAATTAATTACTCAAGTCCCACGTAAGCAGCACTTCGTTGATCTCACCACAATCCTAAGTGCACCAAAACCAAGCTTCAACAGTCACTCTCAAGTCAAGCCCTTCAGGATGCCCTTCAAAATCCTAGCTCACGCCTACCGCAAGCCCGGTATGTCCACCGAGGACTTCAAGAAACACTACGAGGCCCATGTCGGACTGATCAAGCGCCTTTCTGGCGACGATTTTCCGCTCTCCCACAAACGCACTTATTTAACTCGTCAAACCGTCGACGTTGCTTCAGCGGGAGCTACTTCCTCCAATGCTACCACCCCGGCTGTCGTATTAGTCGGACAGCAATCGGAGTTTGACTTTGATGCCTATGCGGAACTAACGTTCACCGATGAGCATGCTTGTCAAGTCTTTGTTCAAAAAATTCGCGCCCCTGAGGCTGTGGATCAGATTGCTGCGGATGAAGAGCTGTTTTTGGATCGATCGAAGTTTGCGGTTGTTGTTCTTGGAGATGTTTCTGAGACTACGGTTTGATGGCTTCGAAAGACTATTAAGATTCATGTTACATGTAACCCTGAATATAAACTCTGCTCCTCTTAAACTAGGTATTTGAGCCCAGAGACCATAGCAAGATACCTACATTGCACGAGTGCTACAGGTAATTCCTCGGCCTCCCTCCCTACTCCAAGATCTGATTGCCTCATCTCATATGCACATTGAGTACCATCATCGTACTCTTTTCGGAGGCCATCGGTTGCGATCTTCAAGTTATGACATTCAAGGTTGATGGACATGATACTAAATCATCATTTCTATCCTCCGGTCTTCAAATAATTACTGAAAAGTTTGACATGGACTCGTGGACCGTGCAGGGTATGACTTTATATTGCAGATGTAAATCCAAGATACGAATCCACGCAAAGGAGCTATGACTTTCATGTCTTGGCGAAGGAGTGAAGGAGGAACACATGTTATTGCGCAGCTGTCCCGAATCCGGGGAAGCCAAAGTCAGCCCCCAAGCAAATCGCATTAGAGATTACATCGAGCATGGAATTATTCCTCTCAAAGTCGATTACAAATTAAAAGGTGGCATTGTTTCATCATCATGACTTGACGTGCCTCAGTATCATAAGTTGGGGTCTCTCCACAGAACCTGGCGCGCACTAGCCGAGGCCGGCTGGGGATGATCCCCGGTCACCGCGATCAGCGCCCGAGGGCCAACCTCCCACTTGGTTCTGCCCGACCTCAACCTCTACAACACAGAGATATCATCTCAAACTCCATTAACAACTACGACAAACGGAACAGAGAGAGTATCTCCGAACTTCTACAACATGATCGGTGGCGCGAGGCGCTGGTTAAAGCGCAATCGCAAAGGTCTCGCAATCGGGGCTGGGGTGCTGGGAGCTGGCTACCTGGCCGGCCAATATGTGATTTCCAAGATCTCAGAAGCACGAGAGCGTATGAGCAGTGATCGGATTGCAAAGGAAAAGTAAGTTCTGGTCTATTTTCCCATTTCTGCTTGCCCTATCGCTCGGACACGCGAGCTTGAGATGGGATCCATCCTGTTCCCGATGCCCGGTAGCTAACAGTCTCCACTTTAGTCTACGCCGGCGATTCGAACAGAACCAAACCGATTGCGCCTACACCGTCATTGCATTGTTGCCAACAGCTACAGAGAATATTGTTGATGCACTCCCAGTGGAGGAACTGACCAAGGAGTTGCAGAAGAAGCGGGCGGAGAGACTGGCACGGCTCAATGCGGGGGAGACCACTGGCTCGGACATGAGTTCGGTCTCACCAAGCTTGCCAGGAGATGATACAAAGAGTCTTTCGAGCTTCCAGAGCGAAGGCTACGTGCATACGAGCCAGCTGGGAGAGCCTGCCGACTCGGATGGACAACCCCGTGTGAAACGGAACAAGACACAGCTCTGGAATGAGGTCAAGATCACTTGTATGTTCGACTGAGGTCCCTACATAATGAGGTTCATCTGGCTAACTCAATATTTACTGCAGCTGTGACTCGATCCTTTACCATGATCTATATCCTCTCCCTTCTCAACATCTTCACTCGCATTCAGCTCAATCTCCTCGGTCGCCGCAACTATCTTTCAAGCGTCATTTCACTCGCTAACCCCCCTGCCGACTCGACTATCAGCCTTGAAGACCATGACTACGATCTTACACAAACCCTCGGAGATGATATTGCGACCAACCGACGCTATCTTGCGTTCAGCTGGTGGCTGCTGCATCGCGGCTGGAAGACACTGATGGAGCGAGTTCAGCCCGCTGTGGAGGAAGCATTCGGCCCTCTGAACCCACGTGAGGATATCAGTCTGTCCAAGCTGTCTGAATTGACTCTGCAGATTCGGAGGAAGATTGAAGGGAATACGGAGGAAGACCGCCGGTAAGGGACATTTCCTGTTGGTAAAATTATGATTGTGTCACTGACATGCCAAATTAGATCCAAGAAGTGGTTATCCTGCTTGCTGCCACCAACGGAAGAAGAAGACTACGTACTTCGTGAATCCGGTGTCGAAGGAGTGGCTGACCCATCTTCCTCGGAGACTGCTTCAAAGCTGCGCCTCCTTTTGGATGAGACAGCCGACCATATCGACTCACCATCCTTCTCCTTTGTTCTAACTCTCCTCCTCAACGAGGGATTCTCCACCCTAGTTGACGTCAAATGTGCCAACGAGGCATTCAAGGCTTCGACTTCGGCACCAGAGACTGCGCCACAATCCTTTGACTCCATGGCCACTGTCATACCTCCCGTTGTTTCCGAGCGCAAGACCAAACTTGCCAACTTGCTGGCCGTAATGGCCCGTCAGGCACATGTGATCGGCCATGGACCCATGGGCCCTAACGATTATCTCGACGTAATGGACAAGAACGTTCGAGAGCTCGAGGCCTTTTCCGCTGTCATATATAGCTCGAACTTCGACCTTGAGCTTCTCGGTACTAGTCGGCAACCAGGTGCTGCCAAGGGTATGGAATCAATGGACCCGAATTCTTCTGCCATGTTTTCAGAAGTAGTGGTGGATAGTGAGACCGAGGTTGGGTCTACCGATTTAGCCCAAAGCACCCCCGTTCTGATTGATCAGGAAGAGCGGGTTATTGAGATTGCCGAGGAAACTGGTGAAGCCCCGGTGGCCGAGGAGACGACTCCAATTTTATCTCAAGAGCCTCCGGCTGAATCTGCCTTCGAGCAGGCCTGGGGCAAGGCCGTGGATGAGGGAAACATCGCGTCAGAGCCCGAAGTTCCAGAAACTTCGTAGATTTTTGTACATGTACACGAGATTTATGTGGCCGATTTTTCATATATTTCATGTCAATACCCTTGTTTTGCATCTACCCTTCCACAAATGATAATGTCGTAGTACTCACGTAGACCCGGTGGTGTTAATGAATACATGCCTATACAACCTACTCCAGTATTGACCTCTTTGAGTTCTGATGGTAGATGATTGATGCATGCTTGATGTGAACTCCGAGTTTAAAGTCTGACTGTTGGACTAGCGCTAGCAATCATTGTCTTGACATCACTTGCAGCCTTCTGCCCACTCTCGATAGCTCCGTCCACAAACCCCCTCCACCCATCTGCCCAGTCTGCACTGGCAAAAAAGACCCTTCCATGGGGCTTCTGCAATTCCTGTACGTACTTACTGAAATGATTCGGACCCCAGCAACACCATGTGCCCTTCGCAAAAGGATCGTTCATCCAGTCATGTGTGAGATAGGCCTGGATCGACGCATCAGGTTTGATATTCTCTTGAAATTTCTTGATGATATGACTGCTTTCTGTTTTATCCGTCAGATGGCCATTATACCCAAAGCCAATACACCAAGTTCCCTGAGGACCAGAGGGCTGATTCCCATTGTGATCCGAAAAGGCGAAAAGGAAAGGTGATCCTCCAGATGCATGGCTTGTTGCAAACCACCCCGACTCTGTCGCACTGAGTCGAAAGTGAATCTTGGCGCCTTGGTTGATATGTCCGGAGGCAACGGCCTCACGTCGAAGAGGACTAAGAGGTGGATTGAACGTGATATCTTTCAGGCAGTTTCTGTATATCATCAGCACCTACTCACTCGACAGGAAGCTTCACCACTTACAGTGGAATGGTCGATATGATAGCCTTCCCATGGAGCTTCCTGCCACCACTGACATGAAGCGTCACCCCATTCCGCCCTTCATCAATCTGCTCCACAACGGTATCCATGACTACATCGCCCTTGAAATCATCCAAGATTGCCCGAGCAAACGATGTCATACCTCCATGCCCAATCTTATAAATGCCCGCTCGCTCGTACACGCCAGCCATACTATGGCCACCAAGCGCAAACCAGCGAAGCGCCTCAGTGAATCCTGTCTCAGCACCAGGTGCACTACCAAAAGTGCTCACATTAGACTCAAACAAGTCCTTCTCAAATGACGAGAATCCAGTCAACAGATCAAGCCGTTGCTTAACTGTCAAATGATCATATTTCTGCCAAAGCCCTGGTTTCCGAAAAGGCTCATGCGGAAACGGCATAAGTTCTCGACTACTTAGCCCATCGATAGTGAAGAACTCCACTGCAACTCTCTCCAAGATCATAGCACCTTCCTCCGGAATGATTTCTTTAATACCCTCAGCACCTGTCTTGAAATACTGTTTCTCTGCCGCTGAGGTTCCGGCTGATGTCTTCAGATACCGGTGCAGACCGTATCGGTGAAGCTCATGGTAGAGATGGGGCTGGCCCCAGTGTACCCAGGTTCCGCCCATTTCGAACTCTTCGCCAAATGCTTTCGCTGTCCATGTTCGGCCGCCAATTCGGTCTCGTGCTTCAAGTAGCAAGACGCTGGTGTTAAGGTCTTGAGAGAGATTGCGAGCTGCAATTAGACCTGCGAAGCCGCTTCCGATTACTATGGTGTCGTAGGCGGATTTGATGTCTGGGGAGCTTTGGATGACGGCTTCTGTTTCTAGGCCGTCTTTAGTCTGGTTTGGGCACCATAGGAAGCCTTCTTTTGACTTGGGCATGGTGGATGAGTTGTTAAATTTTGAAGTTGGGGCATATCAAGCTATGCATTTATAGTGCATCTTTCATACACGAATCAGAGGTATGATGTACATTGTCTGTCAGAAACGGCTCGCAAGTTTTATAGGAATAGAGGTAATGGTTTACATATTTGTCGCTCTTTTTCACCTAAAGGGGGCTAGCGAGTTGGCATATCGGAATCATTCCGTTGTTCCGTGCCTGCATCGGGGCTCAACTCTTTACCTGGGGGTTGTTTATTGTCTTCTTTCTAACCAAAAGAGGTCTACACGAAGCAGTGAACTACAATATGCATGTCAGTTACTCGAGGCGTGGCCCCTCAAGAGCAGCGGACAGTTACCAATAGCAATAGCGCAAATTGAGAATCACTCAAAGGTTACCAGCAGCTTAGCGTGCAGGTATGGTGGGCGATAGCCGCCACAGGCTCGGATGAAAATCGTAAATTACTGTAATTAAATCAAGAATCTCCATTTGACGCCAAAGTAGAACAGCACATCATATTGATGTTTTCAAAACCTCGGATTGTGCAAAAGGACAGCGATTTGACCTGCATTTTACTCTTAAATTCTACGATCATCCACGGATATTGACCAATATGATGTTCACGACATTCAAATAGAAGTAAAGCTAACCATACAAATGTGAAATCTCAAAAGTGAGTAAGTAAGCCCTCAAGGCCAGTCCAGGTGTCCAATTGGCTGCCCCGCTCGGCGCTAGGCTTTTCACATACTTGAAGAGTCAGTTCTTCGCCAGAACGCCAGTGGACAAGCGCTCGCAGGCGAAGATGCTCATACACCGCTCGGCATGGACCTCATTTACTCCCCAAATTGAACAAAACAAGTCTTCCATTACTAAATAAAACCAAACGGACACCGCGGTAAACAACGTTCCACTCAACGTTTATATCGCAATCCAAATAGCGCCCAATATGGAAGATAGCGCCATCATATCTCCGCGCAAGAGCCCCGGGCTGGCCATGGAGCTGCTAGTGGCGGTCTGCGCACTAGTACTAGAGGCGGTCGCGGTACCGGATGCCGAAGTAGTAGTGGAGTTGCTCTCTGATTTCTCCTGGAACCAATTTGCAGCCACGGGCTTGTCCAACCCGGTGGAATTGAGGAACTGGGGCAGGGGAAAGTTGACGCGGTTCCACACATCTGACAGATTTAGTGGGAAATAGGGATCGTAGATCGATGCAACGGTAAAGTTGTTCGGTTGCTTGAAGAGGAGGAACGTGTAATTGTGTGGTGCTGTGCCAGATGGCTCAGGCGCAACATACTTGGCCAGAATATCTCCAGAGGAGTTGGCGAGAGTGAGGTTTGTCACAATGGTGTGAAGGGCGACAGATGTGGGGTCGGTGGTGTTTGTATCTGGGTCGACCATCATGAATACGTATTTTTGGCCTTTCTTGATCACCGAACCTGAACTTTTCAGGTTTGGCTCAGGCTTGCTCTTAGTTTCTACCATTATATTTAGTATTGTTATAGCGAGGATGCGATGATCATTGTTACCATTCGCGGTCAATAGAAGGCCGGTTTGCACCTCGACCAGCTGTGTAGAGGTTTTGAAGGTCACATTTAAGACCTGTGAAGGCTCGCCAATGGTGGCGATCTCTGAGGGAAGAGAGCCAGCAGACGCGAACGAGGTGATGGTCGCAATTGCTGTGGCAGCGAAGGTAAACGAGCGCATAATGAGTGAGAGTTGGTCAATTAGACAAATGCTTGGGGAAGAACGCGGGGAATCAACGAAGAGAAAACAGGACAAGACCGGTGTCAAATGGGCGGCCTTCTTCACGTCGAGGAGCCATTCAGCTATGACCCCTGCTCAAGAACATAGCTCAGAACAGGGAACAATGCGCCCCCAAATGCGTCTCCTATTTACACTTGTACTGGGCCTAAAAGTGGTGGGTCGCGACCAGATCCCGCCCCACTTTGAGAAAAAAAATACGAATCAGCGTTGATTCTGATCTTCCGAACTTCACCCCTCCATCTCTCATCTCTTTCTTACCTACAAGCCATCATGGGTGTCCAGAGAAAGATTGTTACCCGCGGTAGCGGCCCTTCGCCTGCTTCAGGCGACAAGGTTTCCATCCACTACACCGGCTGGCTCTACGATGCTAAGAAGGCCAGCAAGGGCTTCCAGGGCAAGCAGTAAGCTGCCATCCTCGCTATTTAGCTTATGCACAAAAGAAAATCGATTGCTAATTACGCCAATAGGTTTGATAGCTCCAGATCTCCTGGCCGTGGTCCCTTCAATGTTCAGATTGGTGTCGGACAGGTCATCAAGGGTAAGCATTTGTCTTTTTTTTTGTGGGGTAGAATCATCTTTATGCTCGTAGAGTGGCAAATCGAGATCCCTGCATGTGGAATCCATGTACTGATCCTATTTATCTAGGCTGGGATGAGGGTGTAATGGAGATGAGCGTGGGCGAGAAGTCCATCTTGACTATTACTCCGTGAGTACTCTTCAATAAGGGCAACATTGAAAATGACCACGACTAATATTTTTATTAGCGACTACGGCTATGGTGACAAGTAAGCTAATGCATAGGATATCCATCAACAAGCTTCTAACATGCTTTTCTACAGGGCTGCTGGCAAGATTCCCGCGGGATCCACCCTTATCTTGTAAGTTTTGCACATGCAAAGATGGCTTTTGGAAACTAACAATTTGCTAGCGAGGTTGAGCTTCTCAAGATTAACTAGATAGTACAAGAGAAGCAAAAATTTATCTCTTACGCTACCAATTCGCTTTATGTTTGAATAACACATCGTAGACATCCAGCAGTCTGAAAGCCCATACTTTGATCTCGTTTCTCTTCTTCACGTATGAAGTGGTATGCACTATGCATTTCTCATTAATATTCTTCCAAATAACTATTATGGAGCCTACCAGAATCAGCGCGCTGGTAGGGTATTTCTCCCGAGAATTCGTTAACCATAAAAGTTCATCCCGCATTCGTGCACTTATTGCAATCGAACCTGGGACTTCATTCAGTCTTGACCACTTCTCCGGTAATGATGACTTCCTTGTCCTTCAATTTGCCGTCATCTAGCGTACCCTTTTCTTCATCTTTGCTTTCATTATTCAGTTCCACATTTTTGCTGTGTTCAATGGGGGAATGGCTATTGATAACAATCCATGTTGGGACAACCGCAATACCTATATCCACGTCAGCTTGATAGTAGAAAGTTGAGGCTCCAAGGAAACAGACCCAGTAGAATTGTGTTCACTGCGAGAGGTACTCGGCCTCCATACCAATCCCGGGTGTTGATTCCGTATGACACTGCTTGGGCAAAGCTCTCCTGGCCACGCAGGATACCAGACAAACGGGCTGACCTTTGTTAGTCTGACTTGAATCGTAGATGATGGCACATTCCACTTACAAAGTTCCGAGATATTATCAGTCATCGTCGAGAGCAGGTAGTAGAGCCAATTTTGCAAAGCCTGCTGAGAGAATTCTAGATTCACAATATTAGGGATAGTAAACAAAAATCAGGATGCCAAGAAGTACTCACGCCAAAGAATAATCACGAACATGCCCTTCGTATAGCCCTTGTCTGACCAATCGAGGGAAGGCGGGTTTGCGGTATACTGCTCTTGCACAACCCAACCATACACCCAAGCGATGATGTGAAGCACAATAACATAGTAGAAGCTATATGTACTGTTAGGATTGTTTTCCTTATACCGCTCATGCTTACTGTACCTGTAGATGATTCTGCTCTTGACAGGCAGCTTTTGGTAATCCAAGAATCGGCTGATGATCCAGGATGAGAGAAGACCCGCAAGGTAAGCTAGATAGAATATCAGACTCTGTTTTGCAATTTCATGTTGGTAGGGATGGTGAAGAACATACTGACTAGTCCGATCAAAGCACGGGCTCTGACTCCAAAGTAATAAGTCTCAAAATCTAAACAGTTGAGTAAGCTTCAATCTTGGATGTGAATATAACAAAGGAAACTCACTGCCTGTGTACTGGTTGAAATAAGCAGCCCAGAATACCGGCAATAACAGAAGGATCTATATAGAAGTTTAGCTCGGCATAGCTGATTGAATAGGTCAAGAACTCACATCCTTCCGACGAGTGACCTTCCAGAGCTCAATCATTTCAGCACGCCACGACTCCTGCTGAATGACTTTTACAACACTGCCATCGCTGCGCTGGACGTTCTCGGGCCGAGTGAGGAAAATGGCAAATGGAACCGCAAGACATTGCAAGGCAACGAAGATAAGGTATGTTTCTGCACTCGTTGTAAGGAAGGGTCCTGAGCATCAATCATCAGGATGACTTACCAGATCCGACCTTTCCCTTACTCTCGGCACCAGCGGAGCTAATTTATTGTCAGTCTTGTTCAGGAATGACATCTTTCACTATTTAACCTACTGGTTGAGTCCAAGAACAATGGCACTGCCGACCAACGGACCACCAGTTCGGAACCATAGCCAAATGCTATTCGATATTAGTCGTGCCCTTTTTTTCAGCTGCTCATTCCGTTGAGGTCAAACTGACTTCATATACTGGCCTCTCTTAGCAGGCTCTGGATATCCAAGTGCAACCGCGCCTTCAGAGGCCCAGAACAACCCCGCCCTATGACCGTCAGAAAACTGTTTCTCATGTGAAACAGACTCTTGGAACCTACGATAGACCACAAGCGACTGCACCAACTAGCACAAACCAAACATTGCCCTGGATTATACTATCAGTGTCTTTTGAAACAGTCAAGAGAGCGAGGAGTTACTCACATAGCGGTTGTTTGTATAAAGCGCAGCCCTGTATTAAAATTTAGATCATACTTCTAGTGAATCATTTCAAGTAGTCACGTACGAGTAGATAGGATATCCAACTGCACCGAGGAGCAAAGTCCAGTTCATTCCAATGCGATTCGCAATCGGTCCACCAAACACACAGAGAATTCCCACTAAGATGCAAAAATTAGTATGTCTCCAGAGTTCCATATCCAGACTGCACATACTTAGACCGAAAACCAGTGCATTGGCCGCGTTAATCAGAAATGGTGATTCTGCACCACCTGCACCAAGTGAATTCATGGCATTCCATAATCCCGGTGCCAGGAATCCTACTCCACCAATAACGAACGCATTGAAAAGAGTCGTCCGGTACCAAATTCGTTTTTCGTGTTGAATGGGAGCATCATCGGAGGATGCCGAGACCGAGATCGGATCCGCCATTGCGAGAAATCTAGTGCCGACTCGGATGAAGTCGAAGAAAGTATTTTGACGATCTGAGGTAAAGTCGGCAGCCCTGTCTGGATTTAAACTTTTCTATAACTGAAAATCTTTACCTGGTCATGCCGTGCCTCAATCTCTTGAGAAATGGCGTGCTTGCACGCTTAAGATGATAGCTATTCTAGCGCATGTCACCATACAACTCGGGCTCCACTTGCGGCCCGCATATTAAGGTATTTGCCCAATCAGCGCCACTTTTACGTACTAGATTTCCCTAGTCCCTTGTCCCTTAATCCTTTTTGCTCTTAGTGCTCTGTACTTCCCGGTCTTGGAGAGGCTTTGTTCTCGGTTGGCGTTTTGAGTTTGCGCCGGGAACCTTCACTACCCGACCTTATCGGCTAAATCCCGTCTTGGTTGAGTGAATGGATGAACGAATGCCAAGTCTAATATTTTGGTGCTCCGCTTTGTTCGCCATTGTTGAGTCATTGGTCGTGATTTGTTACTACATACGTGATGATATTGTCTTTCCTCAAGGCCAGCACAATAATGCGGACGGTAAACGCATGTCTGCCTTTAAAGAATGTTTCAACATTAAGAAATCTACTCATTTTGCCCTTCGTTGACAGCGGGGAGATAAACCCCAAGCAGCCATTCAAAAAAAGATCTTCCTATATTGGCCAACGAAGCTATTTCAAGAGTGCATTTCACTGCGGAATTTGTACGAATCCGATATCGTGAACCTAAATCTCATATCCCGACTCCAATCGCGGTGGTAAAGCAGATGACAGCAATGCCAACGGTTATGGCTCCCTTAACATGACATTCACAGGTACTGCCATGTCATTCAAATGAGGGGAAGTATCAGTGTAGGTAGCCTCATCTTCCTCTCTGTCGTTCTTTGATAGTAATCCATAGAAACAGTTCGACGTAATCGTTATCTCTTTCGGTCTCCTTCTCAGGAGAAATTTGACTAGATGCATCGCTGACGCGGCTAATGAGAGCTATAAAATCTAGACTAATGACCCCTCTCCAAATGTAGGATAAAGATGCGATCTTCTCTGTAAAAGTAAGCACTGCTTATGCAAGCTATAGCCCCTAGAATGCCTACATCTTTAGACTACTACTATCTTGCGGGCGGACTGAACTGAACTTTTTTTTTTGGATCTTAATTATTTACGTATTTTCTTTAGATAGGCCGAATGTTGGTTTGTATCTTGTACTGAATCACTAAGGAGGGATCGCTCAAGTGGGGTCATTGGAACTCTCAGATCATATAGCAGACCTCGCTGACGGCTATATGCGACCCTTGAGGGTTTTGATAGGGACTACATACCTGAAGGGGTATAAAAGCAATGCCGCAGGCAAACAAACAGTACAGTACTTAGAAGGAGCAAAAACGCCACAACCGGATAGCGGCATGTGCTATCACACTAGTCCTGTGAAGAATTAAGAAACCGATCAAAGGTTCAGGAACAGAGCCCCACCTCTCCAAAACATATCGTATATTTCCCAAGTGGCAGGCTGTGATCCCTCTGTTTCAAAGTCCGCCATGCGAGCATTAAAGCCGAGGGAATTGCTTCGGTTTGAGTTTATCTGCGCTGTCGGTAAGCTGAGACAAGCACGGGCCTAGGCCCTTCAAGCCAATCTCCGAGCCACTAAGCCAATACGGAATATGGACAGCACTCTAATTGTCAGGGGTAAATCACATCCGTTTCCAAAAGATAATTGTTAAATATATTTCAAGATATCATTTCGCGAATTAAAGATCGTCATTATGTGGGTAGTATTAATCGAAATCGCGACATCGGAACAAAATCTGTCATTCAACCAGATGAAACAGGTAACGCATATTTTTATATCAGATTATCACGCATCCACCTCACAGAGCAAGGGCAACACCCAGAATGCCCGCAGCGCCGGCAAGGCTCATGGCGAGACCACCAGTAGCAGCGGCAGCACCACCGCTAGAGGTACTAGTCGCGGAGCCCGAGGAAGACGCACCCGAGGAAGAGGAGCCAGTGGAGTTAGTATCCGAGGAAGATCCTGTGGAGCTAGCACCGTTTGTAGTTTCAGCGCCGCTAGTGGTCGTCGCGAGGGGGGTGGAGGACCCGGAAGAGCTGCCGGAGACCGTGAGGACATCGCCGGTGGATATGGCGGACATGGCGGACATCTGGCTGTTGTACTCGGAGATCTCTGCCTGGATCTCAGAAGTGAAGTATGCCTCAGCAGCAGAGGGGAGACTGGTAACCCAAGCAGGATAGTCGCCTTTCTCCATCGCGCTGATTTCGGACATTTGGAAATCAGAATTGCTATAGAAGTCGTTGATCCAGGTTGTAGGGATACCAGTCACGAGGACTGATTCGATGGAGGAGGGGATCTCATAAATATCATCAGAAGCGGTAGGGTCCTCCGACGCAGGGGCAGCAATAGCCGCGGTAGCGAAAAGAAGGGTAGCCAGAGTCTTGTACTGCATGGTGAAAAGTTGTAAAGACAGTAACTGTTTATGGCAGATGGGATGGGGAAAGCCAGCAGGGCAGAGGGAACTGGAGAGTTTATATACGCCTCTGTAGCAGCCTTGCGACGCCATGTTTCCGCCTAAACATGGATCATAATCTTGCTTGAGGCTCGGCCTACCAATGTCTCCATGCCGGAATCATTACAGTGGGGCACCAAGTCGAACATGACCTGAAAGAAAAAAGGCTCATCACCCGCGCTAACTGGCATAGCCAATGAAGGTGCAATCGGTGGTGGTTGACCCACAATCTAGGCTCAAAGAAGATAGGCGCAGGGCAAGGCCAAGGCCGAACCAAACCATTTCGAGCTCTGGTGCTTATTGTCCCTGTGCTAGCGTGATCCTGGTCCCTGGCAAATTCCCTAATTTTTCTCCCGTGATCCATAAATTGATATCCAAAAATAAATCGTCCCAAATATAGTGGGCTTTTCTCAAAGTAACAAACTGGTCGGAACTTAGAGCCGATGCGGAACTATTGGCTTCACCGAAAATCTTAATAACCCCGAAGGGCCTGAATCACGCACTTCTTTGTTTTAGTAAATTTTAGTACAATAAGAACCCTACATGATTTTAATGACATCATTTCCTGGGGTAAAGACAGGTAAACTCGTTCCCCCACGCTGCGTTGTTAAATTGTTGGATGGATACTCTTCCTCATTCGCTGAAAGCACGGCCTTGGTACTTCTGCTTACGTTGCAAAATCATGTTTCTGCGAACCATATGCTTACAAGGTTCTACCGGGCGCAGGCAGATTTAATCAACTATTGACCGAACAGCATTTCATTAGGTAAATGATACACTTCTTCCTGTTGGTTTGCTGTCCAAGATTTTCTCATCATGACGCGTAGGCATTTGGTACGTCGTCTATGTTGTCTCCAATGAATAATATCTAAATTGCAAAATTCCAGATTTGACTTTAGACTTTCACAGCACACCAACTACTCTCCCAATCAAAGCAAACCTTCCACTTCATTTGCGTAAGCCCACTGTGAATTTCTTGAAAGTGGTTACCCTAGGCAGCAAAGTATATGAAATATGCGGTGCAACTACGATTTTGGATGCATGGTAAGGACCCTGCATCATTGAGTCATATGCAAATATGGCCTCCCAATGAGATACACGCATCCACAAGAATGGTTCAGGTATTGTATCAAAAAAGCAATCACGCCATTGCATCTGCGTGTCATGGGGCTTGAATCTACTTTGAAGAGCTACAGACCAACGTTATAGAACTCTGCAAAGCTGGAAGTCAACTATAAATTCGTATGAGTTCGATAATGAATTAAAACACTTGGGCTCGTAGTTGTAATCAGTCTCTCTAATATTATGGATGCAGACATGTTGTTTCCAATCAATTCTCCCTCAATACCAGGTTGTCTTCACTATATTGGCGGTATCTTCCCGCGGTCATCACTCGAAATTTCTTGCCGAAGTAAATGAATATAAAGTTTCCAAGAAGAACCAATGTGGAAATAAGGCCGAAAGTAACGTAGAACCATGTCAACCCGACCCGATCAACCCAGGGAGCAAGTGCAAAAACGAATACGGTGGAGATAAGATTGCGTATAAAAGTCACACCAACAATCGAATCTGCAATAATCTATTGTCTTGTTCAGCAGCAGGTCATTTCGAAAAGGCTAGAGAGACTTACATCAGTGTATGCATCAGTCAGGTAAGTCAATGCGGCACTGCTGGGCGGGACAACACCAAATCCACAGATGCCAAGCCCAAATGCCGGTAAGAGCCAGTGGGATCCATTGTTTAAACCGATTCCAAACATGAAAAGACCCGCTGGGACGAATGGTGTGAAGATCAATGACAGCCAAAGACGCATCTCTGGTTCGAAGACTCCGTTATTCCTTCTCGCCAGGTATAGAGCGATATAGTCGCTCAGTGGTCCACAAACCAGCGTCCCTATGGTGGTACCGAGAAATGGTGGGATTCCCATCAGCCCAATCTGGGCGGACCCAAAATTGTAAGGTGGTAATGTCATGACCGATGAGAGAGTAGTGACCGGGACGGTGGTGCAGGCCGTCATGATTCCATATTCGACGGCCATGAAGAATACGGCCGGGACACTGAACAGAATTAAGAAAGGCTGGTAGCTGTGCTTTAGCAATTGACCAAAGGGCATCGGCGAGTTAGACCAAAAAGCCAGTTTTTGAAGATAAGTCTTTTCTGGTATTGAGTGGTCAATCTCAACAGCCTCGGCCTTAACTGCGACAGCATGTGGGATGCAAATCCCTTCGACTGCTGCTGCCTCGATACTATCCTTTTTGTGCATTGTTGCTTCCGTGGACTGTATCTCGGAAACGGGCACTCCGTTGATAGGTGGGTCACCGAACATAGTCTCCTCGTAGAAGAAAACGAAGCCGACGAGTCCAGCTCCAAAGAGGATAGCCATCCACCACCAAACCCAGCGCCAGCCTTGTGAAAGAGTGATGAATCCACCGGCGAGGGGTGCCAAAGTCGCTCCGACTGTCATGAACCAGAAGTAGATTGTATTCATGAGACCTCTTTCGTGAACAAAGAAGACATCAGCAACAGTCATCTGCACTAGGACCTCTGCTAGAGCCCCAACTATACAGCTCAGAACATTGACCAGCATCAAGTCTGCGACAGTCTGCATCTTCGCAGACCAAACACTGATTCCGCACTGAACTGCAGTACTGAAGATGTAAACTGGTCGTCGGCCAAACTTTAGTGCAAAGGGGATGAGGATCACTCCGCCAATGCACAATGCACCACATCCTGCAGCATAACTGTCATTCAGCAGGGCAAAGCTGAAGCCGAGCTCTAGGTTGACTGATCCCCACGTCACCGTTGCCACATCGATTCTGTAGGGCATTAGTAGGTTGTCGCGCTATATTTGCCAACGGGTATACTGACAGTGCAAGAACCATCATCACATAGTAGGAGACTAAACCGAAGTTCAAGTACTTCCGCCATTGCGGCCAATTCTTTCATATGATATCAGTTATGCTGATTGAACGATAGACAAGCATGGAGCACCAACCAGAGGGTCATTTGGATCGTTGCTGGGCTTTGGCTCTAAAATAACATCTGAGGTCTGACTTGATTCGGAATAGTCTGTTACAGAATGGCGACCGTCAGTCTATGGACCTTTTTTTTGTGAATGTGCGGGATATTGATCCACCTTCGATCCGAACAGTTCCTGGTGGCCAGTCAGGATCTATCGGTTGGTTATTGGGAGACATCGGCCTATGCTGTGAAGAATAGCGGTTTATTGCAACAATCAAAAGTAATAGGATTAGGTGAAAGCCTAAATCGATTCACCTGAGTTGGGGGCCATCCTTGTTTTATGCCATTCACTCGCACTCGGTCGACATCAAGCGAGAAGGTCGGCTAGTACTCAGCTTATCATCATCGGCTGCAGATGGCGATACGAAAATCGCAGCCATTCACAGTCAACTCAAGGGCGGAAAGGGGAAGCCGACTTGGCTCAAAAGGGAAATTTGAAGCAATAGCCAATGAAGCAACCGCATCTAAGCTTATCATGCTATGGTTGACTCAATATGCGGGGAAATTGGCTTTTGATAAGCGAGGTTTGGGTAATGGCATTTGACGCGAACCACGCGCTTGATTGCCGGGGGCAGTTGGTCATGTACCGAATTGGTTCAGTGCGGAACGGAACGCGGCTGTTACGGCTCACGGTAATTCATGCCTTTATCGTCAATGAAAGCAACACATCTAACTTGTCAAGTCTGTCAAGACAACCCAGAAGAGAGGAGTATTCAACTTCGCCATTCCATTACAGAATTAATCTTCATGACTGATAACATTCTTGTTGCGCCCACATAGTCATCGCAGTTATCTCTAGGCTCCACTTCCCCGGAGACCTCCACCTCAAACTGACCAATGGCGTCAAATTGCGCCGCCAAGATCATGAGACATCACCTGTAGGTTGTCACCAATCGTTCTCTTCGAAACTCACCGGTCCAATCTCCTGACTTCAAGCCGAAGATTCCTGATAAACTTTTGGTTACATCCCTCTCCTATCCTCCAAGCTCGCAATAGGAAACTTCGGGAGATTCGGCATTCGGTTGGGATCCCCACTCCACGCATCTCATTAAATACCATCAAGAACACCGAATGGTTATCGTCCCGTCCTCAACTTTCACCAACCACAACAAATCCCTATCATGACATCCGTCTTCCGCAATGGTCGCATTTTTGTGCCCTCATCCGGCGCAGACAATGAATTTGCCAATACAATGATCATCGAGAACGACCGAATTTCCTATGTCGGCTCTCTCGAAAACGCTCAAGTCCCCGCAGATGCAACAGTGGTTGATCTGGAGAATCGCGTTGTTGTTCCCAGCTTTATTGACAGCCATGTGCATATCTTGCAGTATGGACATTCCCTGCGGAAAGTGGATCTAATCGCCTGTACTTCGCTGGAACAGATCCGGGAGGCTATCAAGTCATACGCCGAGTCTAACCCATCTGTTCCCCGGATTCTCTGCCGGGGATGGATCCAAAACTCAACCAATGGAGTTGCTTTAGCTAGTATGTTGGATGATTTGGATCCTCGGCCTATTTATATCGACGCTTTCGACCTTCATTCTATGTGGTGTAATTCTGCTGGACTCGAGGAGATGAAAGCTCATACTGCTCCGGATCTTCCTGGTGGAACTATTCATCGAGACGAGTATGGCAAGGCCTCGGGTCTATTGGATGAGTCTGTCCTGATAAATCTGGCCTGGCCACATTTGGAAAGCCTCTATTCGAAAGAGGACAATCTGAGCGCCCTGGAGGTGGCCATTTCCACTTACACTGCCGCCGGATACACGGGTATCGTCGATATGGCTATGGACGAAGGTTCATGGGAGGTCTTGCAAGAATATCGACGCGATAAAACAATTCCTTTCCACATCGGTGCTCACTGGCTCGTTCCATTCACCGACGATCAGCAAGCCAATTTCACCTATGTGGACCGGGCAATTGAACTACGAAAGCAGTTCTCCGATCCCGCCTTCACTGTTCTCGGAATCAAGTTGATTTGCGACGGTGTGGTTGACGGGTGCACCGCTGCCCTTCACCAGCCGTATACCGGCAAATCAGATCCAGTGGAACCAATCTGGCCAGCGGATATGCTCAAGGGTGTTGTCCAGCGTGCTGATTCAGCCGGTCTCCAATGCGCGATCCATGCCATTGGTGACAAGGCCGTCCACCAAGCAATTAACGTCCTGTCAGAAGTCGGTACTCCAGGCCGGAGACACAGGATCGAACATCTCGAATTGAGCACATCTGAGGATGCGAAGCGACTCGGCCAATTAGGTATTACGGCATCTATTCAACCAGTCCACTCCGATCCAGCCCTTTTCAAGGCCTGGCCCAGTCTTGTCGGTCCGCACCGATGCAAGCGAGCATTTGCCTATAAGGATTTCCTGGATGGTGGTGCTAATATCGCTATTGGCACTGATGCGCCTACCGCTCGGCACTTGCCTTTCCCCAATCTTTATAATGCTACCACTAGGCGGTCTGCGCTTGAGCCGGAGTCTATTGATACAGTTAACTCACATTTTGGTATCACTTTGGCTCAGGCGGCCACTGCTGCTACGACTGGTGCTGCTTATGCGCGCTTTGCGGACTCTTGGACTGGAAGTTTGAAGGAGGGAATGAAAGCGGATTTCCTTGTTGTTGATATGCAGTGGAATCCAGAGACACTTCTTGAAGCGAATGTTTATCAGACTTGGTATTTGGGTAAGAAGATCTATGATTCGAAGTTGGGTACGAAGGTATAGAAGGACCTAGGGGTGATATTATTAGAAGCAACACAGTATTACAAATTTTGGATATTTCAAAGTAGCTCATTCTCCCATTGTCTTGCAGTACATTATCAATTTACAAAGAATTTGAGGGCACTTTTCAGGCCCCAAATTGTACATGGAAACACGCAGCATTGATTCGCAGGCCTGTCGGACATATCGTAGCCCTCATCGTCAGTCATCATGCTGACTAGTTCTATTGTATGCCTTATTCTCCAGGCTGGAGGATAAGTCAATCCAAAGGCAAACGCGGGGTGGACATCACCATGACATCACCGAAATCGCCTACTGAACGGGTACGATTATTTGAAAATTAATGTGTACAGGATGATCATAACTTTCATTTTACATTATAGTCACTTGCGTCATTCAAAGTCACATAATAAACTCACTTAATCATTGTTAATGTGAATTAGCGTTTTTGCTGCTGGGACAAGCATCATTACTCCTCGGGTTTGCGAGGCTCATCACACTGAGTGCCCCGATCCGAAGAGCGACGGGAAGAGCTCAGATCTGCCGTCTCAGTTAGATCAGTTCTCATCAATGGGAAGTCCGAGGCGAGTAGCTCTAGATGATGGAAACAAGGGTAAAGAACGGGGTACATACTGTGGTCCATGGGATCATGTTTTTCTGAGGCATGCTCTGTCACATCATGAAGATCTTCAAGAGCATGCTGGTGAGCGAGATCAGCGCACACTTCTCGGGGAGAGCTGGGGGTAATGATTAGAAGATGGCAGTGGCTGAAGTACGACTTAAATACATACGGTGCGACATTCCGATCCATGATCACGTCCAGATCACTCTTTGGAGGGGCTTGTTGAGTATTCTGCCCATATTTGTACATGGTGTCTGGGTCAAGAGGGTTGGCGTCGATAGATGAGGTGACCATATTGGTAGTTTCAGATAATTTGATATTGGTGATTTTGGATGATGACTTAAAAGGTTGTAAATATATTATTTATTACTCGAAGTAATTGAAGAGGAATTCTTCGACGTGAAGAACTGACAGATATTTAATACTAGGATCTAGTGCGGGGAGAAAAGCTTAGTGGAATATTGGCTCGCAAGTGGCGACTATGATACAAACACTGTTGAAGCTGTCAAAGCCTATTAGAGTCATGATTCAATGGTTATCAGCCGTCCCATGGCGGATGAAACTAGACCTGCTAGTTTTTACAATTACTAGGTGCTTCTCATTGAAATAAGACTTATCAAACTATCAATTTTGTATTTCCCTCATTATGTCTTCGTGGTGGCTATAAGATTTGCCATCAATGGCGTTAGTTCGATTTTCACAGGATACATCAGAATTGAGTGATGAAATCATATTCCGATCCAATAAGAAGTACCACCTAGCCATATTTAACCCTATCTCTTTACTTTTCCCCCTTATATGAATGTGTCCAAAAAGAACTCCCGAAGTGGCAAGAAGCCTAGACAATGTCAATTTCGTCATCCACGCTTATATATCGTGACCCAATATTAGCTATTACTTAGCTAACCAACCGTGGAAGGTTTCAAGGTTATATAGATCAGGGGAACATTGAATGTTGGAGAGAAGTTCTATACCTACTGAATTCCACATCATCATATATTTCATATATATAGAGAAGTGCGGTGTGAAGATACTGTACTGTATTTGGGTAAAATGTAGGTCGCATAGAAGACAAGAACATTTTAGCGGTGTACACTGCATGTGGAAGTTGCATCCGACTTGTGAAGTTTTCATCTTGAGAGACTGAGGCTACAATCTACTCGGATTATTTTTCCTAAAGAAGCCTTGGGTACTTTTGCACGGCATAGGCGCCAAGACCTTACAATGGACCCTAAGCAAAGCAGCCAACGGGATGCATCGAACGAAACAATAGCGAACCATACAGAGCTGAAGGTCTTGATCAAATGGTCAATGTTGAATTTCTCCAGAGAATCTTGCAAATAATTACGATTCTACCTTAAGGCGACTCCAACAGGCAAAATGTAAGATTCACGCCAAGTATTGGTCAAGATATTGAATATCGAGACTTAGTGCACATAGGCATATGCCGAGTTGCGGGGTACATAATAATTTAGCAAATGCGTTCATCTAATGAGAATGAAGTCAGTTGCATTGACGGACCAGGCTTTGGGTGAAGTGCCATCAGGGACCCATCCGCACTAATCCCAAAATGGTTATTGTCTGGAGAGGGTGGATTCGCATCCAAAGAAACACGATGTGCTCCCAGTGCAAGCTGAACGAAAATTTTTCTTTGGCCTCGTACTTTTTCATTTATAAACAACTGTTCCGCTGTTGCCTATGTTCTTGTGAAGCGTTTCCTTTTGTCGTGCTTGGATATCTATACCTCGGCCAAGTCATTGTGTTTCTCGGAACGGAAAAGTGAAGTCATCTCCGAACCACCGGACCGGGATTCGTGGCGAAATAATATACACCACAATATTGAGGCACCAGGGACACTTTTGACGACAAGGCAGTAGGGAGTGACCCTGTTCCTTGTCCGATTAGTATGGTCTTCACTCGTGGAGATGTATCTGGCGAGCTTGATGAGACAATAGGTATTGTTCACCTTCTCTTGTGTTTTTGCCCGATAGCCAGTGCCCGGAAAACTAAAGTGTGCATCTAGATCATAATGAGCCGGCCAGCAATATCGAGGTGGTTACCTGGGATAGTCCTGAAGATCCCGGGAACCCGTATAACTGGTCTCTCCGCCAGAAGTGGACGTTAACTTACCTGGCAAGCTTCACGACATTTATCACAATGATGAACGGCACGATTATCACCGTTGCCCATGCGGCCATCAACGAGGAATTTGGGATCTCAGACGCCTCATTCCCCAATTCTTACTGGCCCGTCACATCCTGGGCCGTCGGTGGAGGATGCTTTTCCCTCCTCGTCCTCCCGCTCATGGAGGACTTTGGCGTGAGATGGGTATTCTTATCCACATGGGCAACTTTCATCTGCTTCGTTATTCCGCAAGCAGTGGCTCAGAACTTTGCCACGTTGATCGTGACGAGGTTCTTTGCCGGTGGCTGTGTTGCTATCCTGGCGAATACATCAGCGACTGTTATCGGGAACCTCTGGGATACTGAGAGATCGCGAAATATTCCCGTCAGTCTGTATATCGTGACGTACCTTGTTGGGGCCAGTATCGGTCCTGTCATCGGAGCTCCGATCTTCCAGTTCCTCTCTTGGAGATGGATTGGATACCTCCAGTTGATCTGGTATGGAGCCTTGTTCCCGGTATACTTCTTCATGTTCAAAGAATGTCGTGGAATTGCAATTCTCGGCCAGCGTGCAAAGGCGTTGCGTCGGGAGGGTAGGAAGGCATACACCCAGCATGAGATTGATAGCGCGGGGACATCGCTGCTGAGGATTGTGGCAAAGAGTACGACGCGGCCGCTTATTATGTATTTCACGGAATCCGTTGTTTTCTTCTCAGGGATGTGGTCTGCTTTCACGGTTGGCACACTTTATTTATTCACACAGTCAGTTGAGCAGGTCTTTTCAGGGCTTTATGGATGGACTCCCTCACAGGCTGGATATGTGCAAGCTGCGATCGTTATTGGAGAGTGTATTGGTTGGGTAGGGACTCTCTTTTCAGGAAGACTATACTTCAACTCAGCTTCCAGAAACACCGAAGTGCCGGGTGAGCCTATTCCCGAGGCACGGCTGTACCTGGCTATTGTGTCTGGCATTGTTGGCCTTTCCGGTGGGATGTTCGTCTATGCCTGGACATCTTACCCTTTTCTTCCATGGATTGCACCAGCTATTGGTCTTGCCATGGTGGGAGCAGGGAGTGTTATTGTGGTGACTGGCATTTCAGACTATGTTGTCGATTCCTATGCCAAGTATGCGGGCAGTGCGGTGGGGATTATCGTTACCGGAGAGAATATTTTCTCAGCCTTCCTACCACTGGCTGCGATGAGCATGTACTCTCACCTTGGATTTCGGTGGGCCAGCACCTTATTGGCCTTCATCTCCCTAGCTCTTTCTCTTGCTCCGATCCTGTTCGTGGTGTACGGCAAAGGAATCCGAGCTCGGAGTCCGTTCATGAAGGAGGCTATGTTGGAAAAGCGGAGGAAGAGCATAGATTCGGTTTGAATTCCTCGTTTGGATTGTACATAATCTATTTGCCATGTGCAGAGCCAAAAATAAGAACATTGCCGCACGATTGAACTCTATACACGCCTCGTAGTGAAATCTTTTCCAAATACATCAGTTCCACCGAGACCGAGCACCCAATCAGTCGTGGCAGGCATGTGAATCCGTCTTGTGATGTCAAGGATTCTCCTATCGTTACTGTTTTGACCATAATAGCCGATTGATACCTTATAGAGGCTCGGAAAAGATCTTTTGAGTTGAGTTTTCTGGAGTGGATCTGAGACACGTTGTTGCATTAGTGCACCAAGTCGGAGAGTGAACACCTGTAGAAACATATTGAACCTAGATCTCCTGGTGGAGCGGCGGAGCCTATGGGTCAAACAAAAGCTATTGTTGGGTTGAATGACAGAGAAAACCATGGAACAAGCCGCAGGGAGGAATATACTTTGGGACTAAAAGGCGATAATTCAGGAGTTGAACGGAGATATTCCAGAATAAGGGTTAGAACGTGCTTTGTGTCCACTAGCCCGAACTATCCGTGCCACAAATTGTGGAAAGACCTGCAGGTCAACAGTTAACTAACCTGCCCTAAATTCATGAACTCGGGTTTTCCAGAATACCCTTCCGTTGTCGATCTGGAAGATCCTGAGGTCCGCCGTGATCACAAACGGTCAAAGCTTGTGCCCTAGCAATAATATTCGACACCGCGCAATTTCCCGCTACGTAGATTACATCTAGCAAGAAGGGAGAAGATCGTCAATTGAACAGGGATTGCAAGTCACTGGACAGGGATGGCAATGGCCAGTTCTGCTACGTAGTCCACTTCTATGCCGACTTTCCTCTTCGGGGTTGCTGCATTGATTACCAGTGGTTTCCCAGCCACCAAACCGACACTAGCAACCGAAAGGCCCCACGGTCTCAACCAGGATCTAGACTAGAACTTCTAGATCGTTTCAGATGGGACGATCAAACAGGCACGAGTCATTCTACGCTCCGTGCAGACCACTCACCCGACTCATGCCATCAGGGGCTCGAAGGTTTCCTATCCGAATGGCAACTTCTCGCGATAGACTCTCATCGTTTCAACTCTAACTTATGACCCCTCAATCCCTAAATAGGACAGTAGCGTGCGGGTCAGGGGATAGTCTAGCCGAAGGCTTTTGACAGAGAGTGAGACATTTGAGAAGCTTTGTTCACCATGACTTTGTACTTTGTACGTGACGACGCAACGATAATGACTGCACGGAACATACCCGGTGAATCTTGATCGAGGATGAAACACGATTTGATACCCAAAACAACTTTACCAGCTATGCTCCACGAAAGATCATCGATCTATGGCAGGATCTGAGCCGAAATTGTCAAGACTCAATTGTTGGGCAGAAGGGTGGACTCGAGCGAATTACATTTGATATCGCAAAAAATTTTCGCCGAGGCCTTATGGGGCACAACTGTGTTCTGGACCTTGGCGCAGGTTATTAATCCTCATTTCCAGGTGTCGGTGCCAAGCTTTTGATTTTCACGGGTTATTTCGCTTTTCGACCACGGATGACGGTCGGGCGTAGGTCTGGAATTTGCCAACGTGTTGATCTTCATATATGACATAACCAGTCACAAAGTTGGTGATGGATCATTTGGTTGATGGGAATGCGACACCTCCAAGTCCCGATAACATTGGGGAAAAAAAGGGGTAAAAGCCCAAGTCAGGTACCCGGTACGAAGCACACTTGAACGGCAGAAGTTCGGACCAACCAGAAGGTATAGGCCTCGCCAGACATCGACATAAACCGTCGAGTTAATCCACAACATTATACCGATTTGGGATTCCTGGTTTCGGGATCACACGGAAGGTTGGAAGACAAATCAGAACAACTCGTAGCTCCTCCACAACCATGATAGTTTACCGAGCACGGGCTCTGTTAGAGTCGGAGAAATTCCTTAGACTAGGATGAGAGAAGAATAGTATAGAGGACCAAGTGGGACGGGAAGGAGGAGAACCCGTTTCAATGCATGTAAGCGCCCGGGATTCTGAAACAACAAGGGCGGCTTCAGGTACCCCAGCGCCAGTTTGATGAGTGAGCAAGGCCCTTTGGTGGAGCTTTTGATTTTTTTATTATTAATCTATATTTCTGATTTTTATTTGATTTTATTTTATGATTGTGTACTCCGTAGGGGTTGACCGAAACTTGGAGTTGTATACGGAGTACAGAGATGGTCTTATTGTTGACGAAAACCCCGCCGGACTTGGAGGTACCTCCGTCGACGTGACCAGTGTGCATCTGTAACTTCGTTGTATACGTTCTAAAAAGTATACCCAAAGAAGAAAAAGATCCTCCCTAGATAATCTATAATCTGCAGCCTGATCACCTTCTTTGGCTGATGCATCAAATCAACCTGCAGAAAGAGGGTCTTGCAAGGAAGCTTGGAAACTCTGTTGGCAGAAGAAATGAGGGGGCGCAAAAAGAAGACCTTGATTTTTCTGATTTTGCTACTTCAAAGTAAGAAGCGAATCATAACATTCCGGCCCCATCTTCCCACTGTGGGTGTGGAGACTTGGGACCAACCACGTCCACCAAATCCAGGAACGGTGTGAATACCTGTTATGTCATAAATGACAACTCTACTGGACCCATAATCGATGTTATTTATGTAATGCTCGTTAGAATCCTCATCGTGTTATGACTGGTCATTATAGCAGGGTCCTGGCGCTTCCCTTTGATTATTATTAGTACCAAACTGACGTTGTGCACTTCCTCCCCCCTACTTCTTTCCTCCTTCTCCCCATCTCGAATCCCACATCTCTCTCCCACTTTCGTTTCTATTCCCGCTGTGCGAGAAATTGCTCTCCCCTTCAGAGATCCATACCGGCTGGCCCAGTTCCTTTCTCTGACCTTTCTGTCTTTCCCTTTGTTCCCTTTGAGGCTGGCTCCTCATCTAAAAGCATTCGATCATCCCTGCCAATCAACACTAGTTGATCACCTCGACCTTTCCCGACTAGACCTTAGATCCGCGCTTCTGATCCAACGGTGATAGAATCACCTCTCTACAGGTAAGCTGCACTTGTTTGGATGTGGTACATGGTTTCAGAGGGTGTCAAACCTAGCGCCTTTTGGGTGTCGGATAAGATACCCTTTGTTGCCCTGCCCCTGCTCTTGCTTATCTATCTCGTCATCTTTCTCCGATCAGCGCTCACGGCTTCTTACATTAGAGCGCGTGAAAAAATGTATCCCCACCATGGTCATCCCATGCCACCGCCCCAGAAACCCGAGACGTTCATGCTCTCAACGGAAGCGCAACACAACCTTCCTCACGATGCGCAAGTCGCCCTGCAACAAGTGGACAATCGTATGACGTCGCAAAGATTCCCCTTTGCGAAACCAGTGGTGTTGACGAGAACTAGTGAAATACTTCCTTTTATCGGCGCCTGTCGACTGGCAACCTGACCAGCTGATTCGACGTTTCCTGCTTCCGACCGGTGACTACGTCTCTTGCATTCTATGGTTCGTGCCACAGATAACAGGTCTAGCCAGACCAGAGCTGATTGATTTCTTTACAGGAGCAACCTCTTCCACATTTCCGGTACGGATATCGTCCGATGCCTCGCATTTCGATTCCAAGCGTTCGGTCGTCCGGTGAAGAACTCGAAGAAGTTCGAAGAGGGCATTTTCTCCGATCTCCGCAATCTTAAAGCCGGCACCGATGCGACATTGGAGGAACCGAAGAGCGCATTCCTAGACTTCCTGTACAAGAACAACTGCATCCGAACTCAGAAGAAGCAGAAGGTGTTCTACTGGTACAGCGTACCCCACGACCGGCTGTTTTTGGATGCGCTGGAGCGCGATCTGAAGCGCGAGAAGATGAATCAGGAAGCGACTACGGTCGCTGTCAGTGAACCGGCCATGTCCTTCGAATTCGACTCGTCTCAGTCCCTCTACGAGCAATTGACGAAAGCACAACAAGCGAACTCGTCATCTTTTGCTGCCCACGCAAGTGCCCACGCAAGTACGACATATGGCCAGCCCAACTCCCCCGTGGTTCGGACCGTTGACGCAATGCCTCCTCCCCAGATGGCTCCCCCAGCGATCCCTCTTCTCCAGGACGACTCGGCCCACCCGATGTACAGCAACCAGCCGATGCCGCTTTCGAACAATCTGGTCCAGAGCATCATTAAGCGAGAGCAGGACTACGGAACCATTCAGTACGACCGCAACGGAATGCCTGTCGCCCGCATCCACCAGCGCCATTCGTCTATGCCGACTTTCTACGAGTACTCACCTGCACCGTCCTTCGTGTCCTCGCAGTACGAGGATTATAGCAATCGCGGCCTATCATTTGAGCCAGTTACCCCGCCCCAGCACTCGGTCGGACTCGGCGCGGAGCCTGCATACATCGCCAACGAAGACACCGGCTTGTACACCGCGATTCCGGATCTCTCTCATGCGGCCCCGTACAACCCCATGATGCAGCTTCCGCCATCCAATTTCGCTAATGGTCCTTACCAAGCGGCGCCTCGGCCTTATTCTTCTAACCCCTACTCGGTAATCGAAGGGTCGCCAACTTACAAGCAGCGGCGGCGACGACCATCAATCACTCCGGGGTCTTCTCAAGGGACTCCAGGTGTGATGAACGGCTCGGTTCCACCTCAATCCGTTTCGCACCCAACCACTTACGCAGCCCACAAGCCGAGCGATCTTCGTCGCTCAGTTTCAAGCTCTGTGGCTCCGGGCCTCGAGGGGGATGAGTCCGCACACGACCTATCGCGCGCATACCCGAGTACCATGCTTCCTCAGAAGGATTTGCTGCATGAAATTTCGCGCCACGGTACCCCACTGCAGCATCTCGATGGTAGCGTGGAGCCACAATCAGTACCCCTGTCAAACCCGCATGACGACTTGGCAGCGCTACCCACTAGTGCCGCCATCGAGACGTCTGTTCAGAATAGTACCAGCCGAGGAGACCGCTCAGCCCCCGGACCCGCTCGTCGGGCCCGGAGTGCCACGATGATGGAATTGGGACCGTACCCGCATAAATCCCACTCGTGCCCGATTCCGTCATGTGGCAGACTCTTCAAGCGTTTAGAGCATCTGAAAAGGTAAGCATGATTCTATTTTTGAAACTCTGGCGTCCCTTGTGGGGCGCCGATCTGCACAATGCACAATGCCTTGTGATGATTTTAGCCGCCGACTAATCTGGGCGCCTAGGCACGTGAGAACTCACACACAAGAACGCCCATACCCCTGTCCATACTGCAGCAAGGCCTTCTCGCGCTCCGATAATCTTGCCCAGTAAGTTTCTTTGTTTCGGTCTCGGGTCCTTTTGACTATCGATTCTAATCCCATATCAGGCACCGTCGTATCCATGAGGCACAACAAGATGGTCAGCCTTTGGTGTCCGAGGAAGAGCTGGAGAATGACGGAAATGATTTCGACTCCGCCGAAGAGTCATCTCCACCAGCGCCAGAGTCCATTCACGCTCCCCACATGGTCAACATGCCTGCCATGACCTCCATGGCTGCACCCATGAGCATGCCTTCGGCCGTCCACCAGAACATGGTTGGCGCCCATATGATTGCTCCTCAACTTCTCCAACAGCAGATGTAAGCTCTCTGCAAAGCCAGGTATATTTTTGGCGTGGTCTCGTCTTTTTTATTTTGGATCTACAGGCGCACTGTTAGCGACCTTGATCCAGGTGTCTAATGGTTTCACTTCCGCTTTTCTTCGCACCACGACGTTCTCCTTGTCCAAAGTTTGCTATTCTTGCACATCCTGCATGGCATTTCCTTTACATTTTTTTTATTTCTTTGTTATTTATCTGTTGGGATCCACGGCTTTGTTTTGGTTATGGTACAACCTTGTATTATCGTCTCGCCGCAATCGGTGCTTACTCCGACACTCGACAACGAACCTGCCTGGCGGGTACGGGCACGCGTGGCGTACAATGTCAAGGGTCTGGGGGCACATTTGGTCTGCGCTTATTTTTTTTTTGGAACATTGGGAATCTTCTCTTGAAGAGCAGGGATTGGAAGCTGCACATGCAGCATGGTTATATTATAGAACTCTAACGAATTGACTTGACTACAAAACTACGTATACCAAAATAGCATTTGCATAATATTCAATGTTTAGAAATGAATCTGTGCCTGAGCCCAGCCCTTGGTACGCCTCAAAGCTAAAACCTATCCAAATCGGGATGATATTATCACGTGCATGCTGACGTCGATCCCTGGGACACATGGAATCAGCTGAAGGCTGTCTACACCGTGTCCATTATCCAGATCAGGAGGACAGACAATATTACATCTTATACCCTCTTAGTGGTGTGACAGCCAAAACGATTCCGGCTTCCCGACTGTGGGCCCCATGATCAAACGCCTCATTATATCTCCGGCTAATGATTTGTCGGAACCTACCTAACCCCCAGCCTCCAAGCTTGTCTACATTCGTTGCGGCCCGATTACTCCCCTCGAGCAAACACGCCATTTTCCTAGCGTCGAGACCAAGCTCCGCGTGGACCATCCTTTGTCACGGTTGAATCCTTGACAATCATTGTGGGTCTCCCTTCTTATCGCACCTTAACCGTACCTACCCCATGGGGGAAACCAACATATTTTCAGTTGTTCGCGAAACGTCGCCCTTAATGCCTGGGCGGCAGGAGGTAGAAGGTGAAGGCTTACTTCCTCCTGGGAACTCTATGGCTCGTGAGGAGTCAAAGAGTAGCTGGTACCTGTTTTTGCTCACCGTCTCTATTGGGGGGTAAGCTGCGCAAGTTCTGTTTCACGAACAGCGGACCTTAGACCGCTTTTTGGATGAACCTCCTCACTAACAGTATTCTCGTGCTAGCCTCCAGGTTGTCTGGTCTGTGGAGCTGTCCAATGGATCGGTATGTGTCACCAAAACTGTTGTCATGATTTCCCCGCTTGGCCTCGAGCTGGTTGCTCAGGGTATCACGAAAGCGCTGACCCTTCATCGGATTAGCCATTTCTTCTTTCTCTGGGCATGAGCAAAGCCTTTCTTGCTTGTGTTTGGATTGCCGGGCCCTTGACGGGTACATTAGTCCAACCTTATATAGGCATTCGAAGCGATAATTGTCGGATATCATGGGGCAAGAGGAAGCCGTTCATGGTGGTTGGGGGTGCAGCTACCATCATATCTTTACTTCTACTCGCATGGGTAAAAGACATTGTTGGCGGGTTCCTGTCGATATTCGGCGTGGATCCAGTTTCAAGTGGGACTAAGACGACAACCATGATCGTTGCGACGCTTATGATGTTCTGTCTTGATTTCGCTATCAACACAGGTGAGTGTAGAACTGTATCTTATTGTCGTTGCGCTAGCTGATAGGCAATCTTTTACAGTCCAAGCTGGAATTAGAGCTTTTATTCTCGACAATTGCCCATCCCACCAGCAGGAACTGGCAAATGCATGGGCAAGTCGATGGACGGGAGTGGGCAATATCATCGGCTATGTTTTTGGCTACATGCATTTACCCAAATACTTTCCATTCTTTGGAAATACTCAATTCAAAGTGCTTTGCGCCTTTGCATCTATCGCACTTGGTGTGACACTGGCTGCCAGCTGCTCCTATATTCAAGAACGAGACCCCAGACTTGATGGTCCACCGCCCTCAGACGGGCTTGGAGTTATCGCATTCTTCAAACAAACCTTTCAATCCATTCGCACTCTGCCACCACAGATTGCGCGAGTATGTGAGGTACAGATTGCAGCTTGGGTGGGCTGGTTCCCCTTCTTGTTCTACTCTACTACCTACGTCGGGCAGCTTTACGTTAATCGGATCTTCCAAGAAAACCCTCATCTCCCTGAGGATCAGATTGATAAGGCTTGGGAAGATGCCACACGCATCGGAACATTCGCTCTACTCATCTATGCCGTTATATCATTCACCGCCAACACTGTACTTCCGATCTTTGTTGTTCCTACCTACCAACCTACTGTCGGAGTGATTGCACACCAAGACGATCTAGATGCCACTTTCGATGACGAAGAAGAGCACTCCCGCAGGATATCAATATCCGCGTTGCCAACTGGAGTGACATCAGAGCCTCTGTTGGATGCACGTTCGGGGAAGAACATGGACGATGGAAAACCAACATGGCTTTCACGTCTGCAGATCCCCGGTCTTACACTTCGACGCACGTGGCTTATGTCGCACATCCTATTTGCGATTTGCACCTTTAGTACATTCTTCATCTCATCCTATCAGGCCGGCTCTATTGCCATAGGCTTCATCGGTATTTCATGGGCTGTAACTCTATGGGCGCCATTTGCCTTGATCTCGGCGGAGGTTTCTCGCATAGACCTTGAACGTCGGCTGCGACGGCACACGGCCACCACCGACGGATCTCCGGTCTCTGCTCCGGGCCCCCACGTGTCATCCAACTCTTATGTGCCGGTCTCCGTCGAGGATGAAGATGATCATCACGGTGCAGACGATGCGAATGCTGACAATCTCGAGGAGGGTCGCTATAAAATCTCCGCCGATACCGATTCAGACAACTTGATTCAAGCTGGGATAGTCCTCGGACTGCATAATGTGGCGATTTCCTTCCCTCAAATATTCTCTAGTCTTATTTGCAGTGCTATATTCAAGGCCGCTCAAAAACCGCGCGGGGAGCCCTGGGATGATAGCGTCGGTTGGGTGCTACGATTTGGGGGGTGTGCAGCATTAGTAGCTGCGGTATTAACTAAGCGATTGGCGGAGGGTACACAGTGATTCCGGTCCCTGGCTACGAAATCTACGAATATCGTGTTTCACGTTCATTAGCTTGAGGTATTAGGTGTACATATTTGGCCGTTCTTTCGGTACAATCAAACGATTCAAAGTGACAGGAACAAGATTTGAATCCAATTACTATAATTTTAAAGCAGCTGAATAATGCATCCACAGTTTTAGATTCCATCGGCAGGGACTGTATACTGTACGATCACTGAGTGGATTTCAAGCGAGGTTGATCCTCATCTTGCACTTCAGAACATGCCAATGATGTACGTACATGTAGTACAGAGGTGTGGGTCAGGGGGTTATGCCGTCATCAGTCAGAGCTCGAATGTAGGGAGGTGAAGAGGGATATGATATATCCGTTGCAAGTTATTCTGTGCATAATCCCTAGGCCCCTTAGTTCAAAAATTCCCTGGTTTCAAATGTTTTGGAAGAGTACAATTTTCAAGGTTCAACATCAACATGTAAAACCGAGTTCATCAGTGCAGCCCGCTTGTCTTGGCGTGTTGCGCGGCATTCTTAAAGTGGCCCACGTGTCACATAGGGTGTTTTCTGGTTTCACGTATTGTACGTTACCTGATTACACAAGGATTCGTGATCCGACTTTCCGCCCGTAATCGAGTCTTGTCACCGAAATACCCGCCCCTTACGCTGGATCGTCCCTCCGCTCGGCGAATGCAACTTATCTCAGAACCTCAAGCTGGCCTGCCACCTTTAAACCTATTTGTATCTGATTGCGCCGCTTCTTTACACACTTAATCTGCGGGCTCTACCCAGTGGATTATGCGCGCCTGTTCCTGGCATATCAAACTCGCTTGAGTTAATTGTCACTCATCCGCGGACGAACGTTCCTACCGAGTCGCGATGGCTAGTCAACTCATGAGCGAGACCCTCCACGCTCTGCTGCGTACGTCTACCACCACCGGTCTTGATCGGATCTCTATCTGCATGGATCGCCAGCTAACGTTGCTTGATATTCTATAGGGCGAGCGTCGGAGGACACTGATCCCGATGGTACGCATGAGAGCTCCCCCTCCCTCTTTCCGATGATGACCCCGACGTGTTCCCTGCGCGATGCGGTGATGGGATGATAATCTGACCGATGTTGTTTTTGGATTCTACAGATAACCCCGAGGCGGGATCGAAGGAGATTACTAGCTCCTGGGCGTTGTTTATTATGATCATGCTGTTGATGTTCGCCTTGTTCACAAGCTACATCCTCCAGCAGAAGAAGATCCAGGCCGTCCACGAAACGGTTTTATCGATCTTTGCGGGTATGTACCACCAAGAGGACCATGATTGATTGTCAATTGGGCTCGCCACTGATTTTTTATCTTACCAGGCATGTTCGTTGGCCTAATCATTCGCTTAACCTCCCAATCGACCCTTCAAGATAGCGTCGCATTCGACTACCAGTTCTTCTTCAACCTCCTCCTACCCCCTATCATTCTTGCCTCCGGATATGAACTTCATCAAGCGAATTTCTTCCGCCATATCGGCACCATCCTCACATTCGCATTCGCCGGTACCTTTATCTCCGCCATGGTCCTCGGCCTCGTTCTCTACCTCTGGACCCGTATCCCGCTGGACGGGTTGAACATCTCTTTCGTCGAGGCGATTTCTGTTGGCGCAACCCTCTCCGCTACAGACCCGGTCACTATTTTGGCCATTTTCAACTTGTACAAGGTTGAGCCGAAGCTTTATACGATCATTTTTGGAGAGTCGATCCTGAACGATGCTATCGCTATCGTGTTGTTCGAGACTGCACAGAAATATGCGGAGACAGATGCTGGTTCGCTGAGCTTCTTGAACTTCTTCGAAGCTATTGGTCTTTTCTTGCTAGTCTTCTTTGGTAGCATGGTTGTTGGTATCATCGTTGGTATCGCCACGGCTCTGGGGCTCAAGTATACTTTGGTCCGCCGTATGCCGAAGATTGAAAGCTGTCTTATTATTCTTATTTCTTACGCCAGCTATTTCTTCTCGAACGGCGTGCACTTGTCTGGTATGTTTCACCCGTGCGGTCCATTTCGGCAGTCGGGGATTACAATGAAAACTAACGTCACGGTCTCTAGGAATTGTGTCACTCTTGTTCTGCGGAATCACTTTGAAGCATTACGCTTACTATAACATGTCCCGCCGTACGCAGCTGACTACTAAATACCTGTTCCAAGTCATGGCGCAGCTTTCGGAGAACTTTATTTTCATCTACCTTGGTCTGGACTTGTTTGTCGAGTCCAACTTGCAGTTCAATCCGCTTTTCATTATGATTTCAGTTGTTGGAATCTGCCTTGCCCGCTATCTTGCCGTGTTTCCTCTGTCGAAGGCAATCAACTGGTTCATCCGGTACAGAGCTCGTCGTCGGGGTATTGAAGTCGCAGATGAACTGCCTTTCGCATACCAGGCCATGCTCTTCTGGGCTGGCTTGCGTGGTGCTGTAGGAGTCGCACTGGCGGCAGGCCTCTCGGGTGCTAACGCACCGACGCTGCGAGCTACCGTTCTGGTGGTTGTTGTGTTAACCGTCATTATCTTCGGTGGAACAACGGCACGCATGTTGGAGATTATGGGCATCCGGACCGGCGTCGTCGAGGAGATTGACTCGGATGATGAGTTTGATATTGAGGTCGCCCACGGTGGTACCTACTACAAGCGTTCCGATACTGCCTTCGGATATACTCCGCGACGCGGCGACTCCACTATCCCTCTGGATGGAGTCACGCCCAACCACCAGCGCAACGGGCTCGGTGAACGAGGAGGCAGTTACTCTTCCGGCAACAGCCGGCGTCCCAGTCCACCCCATGGCCACACACGAATGTACTCGGCCGCGTACAGCTCTAAAGATACCCAGGCGCGGCGTGATCGCTCTTCAACAGCAACCCTACTTAATAGCGGCAACGCGGGCAGCGACGACGAGTTTGGTCTCCCGCCTAGTGGCAAGGCGCGAGCGAGCCCAGTCGCCCACCCCGATGAGTTTGATCTCGATCTGGATGGTGTCTCTGATGACGACCTACCACCCGCCGCAAAGGCCGCCGCATCTCGTATGCGACGATCTCCATCAAACCCACCCTCGGGTCCCAATACCCCATTACCCATCGAGGGCTCCGCCACCGCCTCCCCCGCCCGACGGGAGCAGACTGGTCTTACCGCTCGCGACGCTCTCCGGGATCTATTCTCTGGCGGTGCGAACGGTGATCATGCGGCATGGTTCCGCCAGATTGACGAGGATTACATCAAGCCGAAATTGTTGCTTGATCAATCCAACCATAAAGGACCCGGCGCGGTCTGATTTGATGATACCTTTTTCGAAGGCTACTCCTTCCTGCATGTTTATGTTTCTTCAATATGAAATGTATATTTAGCCTTTTGCTGTTTTGGGTTTGCATTATCGTAACATTGGAACATCGTTATTCTTTCCTTGCTTTTGTCATGTCTTGTCTCGCGTATTGATGTGGTCACTTCTGTTCAACCTTTCAGGCCCTGGTGGCCTTGTGTACGATTCCCGGGTTTCGGATGGATTCATGGATTCTGGTCTTTTTGTACTAGTATCATGTCACGAATATTCAGGCAACCTGATCATGTGGCGAGTTCCAAGGTAATGGAAAATGATGGATTCCTAATGTGAAGTGCCATTACTAGCAAGCTTTAAATGTACATAGCCGACTAGCCGACTCGATTAGAGAATCTGGGGTTTAGCTTCGTCCCGCTCCAACCAAACCCGCTATACATGTCCAAATCTTGAAAGCCCCCGATCAGCAAGTTAAAAGAGACAGAAACAGCCCCAAATAACCAGCTTGAGATAAGCGCAATCGTCAGCTCCTGGAGAGTGCCCAGAGAACAAACAGATCTACTCCAAATAACCCCAAACCTCTTATCACACACCAACCAGATCAACCACGCCTATCTATCTGACAGCAGCTATCGCGGAATGACCGCGCCTCCAATCACGACTCAGTCGCGACTAACTTTCTCAGCCACTCAAATCCTCCATGTCTCGCCCCGACCTCCACCTTCCAGGCCTTTTCCCTTGGCTATCGGCTCGTGGCTCCAACTCCGCACTAAACGAGGAGTTGACTATGTTTACACCACATACTTTAGCTTTGGGCGGCACAGCATGTACATACCTCGTACCTACAAATGGCGTGACTTTCTTGGCCCCAATGCGTATCACTGATAGGCTTCGGAATCTTGGAAGCTTGTTCCTTTTGATTAGATAGTAGGATTGATATTGATGTGGGCTGCTTGGGCCCCTGTCCTCGGATTGATGCTTTATCTTCCGAGGGTCTGCTGTGCATTCGGCTTGTCTTTTTTCTTCTGCCATGTGCTTTATACTTTCGGTCGCCTTATTTTTCATTTAAACCCCGGATGTCGCATTCTTTATCCTGAATCTTGATTTCGATCCCGTTGTCTATACCAAGGTCATCATGGTGGATGTAAAGAAATCTATTGATGCGAGGCCGTCAACGCCTGTTGAGCATGGAGCTATTGTTGGAACAGATTCTCCAGCTGGGGACACAGAGTTACTGGGTAACTATTTCATTGCTACCGCTTCCCCTCTACAATGAAATAGCGATGCTGATGATCTGTGATAGCGACTCTGGGTTACAAGCAAGAACTCCGCCGCCACTACTCTACTGTCCAAATCTTCGCCGTCGCCTTCAGCATTATGGGTCTCCTTCCTTCCATCGCATCAACCCTTGCCTTCTCAATGCCCGCAGGTCCCGTCGGTATGGTCTGGGGCTGGCTGGTAGCAAGTTGTTTTATTTTCATTGTCAGTCTCGCAATGGCTGATATGGCTTCCGCCATGCCTACAGCCGGTGGTCTATATTTCTGGACACATTACTACTCCGCTGAAAAATGGAAAAACCCACTCAGTTTTGTGGTGGGGTATAGTAATACCATTGGATTGATCGGCGGTATTTGCTCAATTGATTATGGGTTCGCCAACATGCTTCTCTCCATGATCTCCATCGCGCGTGATGGGAATTGGTCCGCTTCTCGTCCTGTTATCTACGGAACGTATGTCGCCACCGTATGCGCGCATGGATTTATGGCTACATTCTTTGGACGGGTCATGCCGAAGATTCAGTCTGTGTGTATTTTTTTGAATATTGGACTCGTCGTTGCGACCGTTATTGCGCTTCCTATTGGGAAGCATGAGAACGCGCCGCCGGTTAACTCGGGCGGGTATGTTTTCGGTAAGGTTGAGAATCTTACTACTTGGCCTGCTGGGTGGTCGTTCATGTTGGCGTGGTTGTCGCCTATCTGGACCATCGGTGCGTTTGATTCTTGTGTCCATATGAGTGAAGAGGCGACTCATGCGGCAAGGGCTGTGCCGCTGGGCATCATTGCTTCGTCTGGACTGTGTGGAATCCTTGGGTTTGTGTGCTTGGCGGTTATTGCGGCCAGTATGGATACGAACATCGAAGCGATCTTGGACTCGAAGTTTGGCCAGCCTATGGCTCAGGTATGTTTCTTTCTGGAAATTGAATTGAGAAGCATCTACTAACATATTGCTTAGATCTACTACGATGCTCTTGGAAAGCAAGGTGCCCTTGGCTTTATGGCTGTGGTGGCATCCGTCCAGTTCTTCATGGGATTGAGCATTGTAAGTATTTTGAATTTAAAGTATTGAAAACATCGTCTAATGTTCGATTTACTACAGGTCCTGGCCGCGTCCCGACAAAGCTGGGCATTCTCCCGTGATGGCGCCCTTCCCTTTTCATCATTCTTCCGCAAAGTCAGCCAACACAAATTTATGCGCTACCAACCTGTTAACATGATCTGTGGCGTGGTCTTCATCTCGGTCTTGATCGGTCTCTTATCCCTAATCGACGCCGCCGCTGCCAATGCTCTGTTCTCGCTCGCTGTCGCCGCTAATGACCTCTCATGGTTAACCCCCATCTTGGCACGTCTCGTCTGGGGCGGAGATCGCTTTGTGCCTGGCGAGTTCTATACTGGGAAATACCTCAGTAAGCCCATTGCATGGGTTGCAGTTATTTACATGATCTTCGCCATTATACTCTGCATGTTCCCGACTGAAGGACCAAACCCGAATTGTGAGTCCTTAATCATAGCTTTCCTGAGTGACCTATTTGCTGACTATTGGATTAGCCGAGAATATGAACTATACTGTTGTTATCAATGGAGCTCTTTGGCTTGGCTCTGCCCTTTACTATGTACTTCATGCAAGAAAGACCTTCACAGGTCCTCAGAGTACGGTTGGACCGGAGGATGAGGGTAAGATGGCTGAAGCGAAGGTGGAGTCGGAACAATAGACTACGACTAAGGGGTGCTGTAGATTATTGATGGTTTCCATTGTGAACTATCCCTGTTGGCTATCGTGTATTCCATTGTAAAAATTGCATCTCGTGTCTCGTGATCTCTTCTCTCAGTAACCGTAGCTTAGTCGTTGGAGACATCTCCTGTCAAGTCCACAGAGCTCTGAACAAATTCCGTGCCCCTGTCACATTATTGATTGCGAGCTTATCACTCAGGAATCTCGACCACGTAACGACCGGCGATCTTTCCTTGCTCTGTATTGCATTAGTACACAACCCCCATGTATTGGGTCCAGCACTTACTCATGAGCTCAAACACCTTAGGCAGCTCCTTGAGGGGAACGGTCTTGAACGGCGCTTTGATCAATCCTCGAGCAAAGAAGTCAATGGCCTCAACACCATCCTGGCGATTTCCAACGTAGCTACCCTTGATGTTGATCATCTTGACAACAGTTTCAAAGACGGGTGCTTTCAGGAATGCATTGGCAGGGAGACCGATGGCAACTATAGCACCTCGTGGACGAGCGTATTCAACAGCCTGCTGGAAAGGCTTCTCAGAGACGGCGAGCAAAAGGACCGCGTGAGCACCCAGCCCTTCTGGGGTAGCAGCCTTCACATCCGCAACCAGATCCTTGGACTTGGTAAAGTCGACATAGGCCTGGCATGATATTAGTATTTGGCTCACCAAAGTGCAGAAAGAGGGAAGACAACACACCTCAGAGCCAAGCTGCTCACACATCTCACGTTTCTCATCACCTCCATCAATAGCAATTACTCGTAATCCCATAGCCTTAGCATACTGCAAAGCCAACGAACCAAGACCACCACCAGCCCCAACAATAGCAACTGTCTGACCAGGCTTAGCCCCAGACTCCTTCAATCCCTTGTAAACGGTAATACCCGCACAAAGAATAGGCGCAACGGCATCCATGGCAAGATCTTTAGGCAACTTGGTCACATGCGCCGCCTTTCCAATCGCGTACTGCTGGAAGGTGCCATCAACTGTGTAACCCGAGAGTTGTGCCTCCGCACAGAGAGGTTCATCGGCCGTCTTGCAGAACTCACAGGCAAGACACGACCCATTGAGCCATTTGATACCTGCGTGGTCGCCAACCTCGATTCCTTGAGCTAGTTGGCCCTTGGCTACTACGACTCCTGCTCCTTCGTGGCCTCCGACCAGGGGGAGCTTGAGGGGGAGGGGCCAGTCACCGTTCATCGCGTGCAGGTCTGTGTGGCAGACACCTGAGTATTTGACTTTGATAAGTACTTCATCGGGGCCGGGTTTTGGGACGGGAATTTCTTTGTAGATTGGGGGTCCGCCTTTGGCCTCGACTACTTGGGCCCACTGAGTGTCTGGGACGGTGTGGATTGTCATTCTGGTTGTGATAAAATAGGTTGGAGGTGAGTCGGAAGGAGTTTGTAGAGAGATAGAGTAGAATGTGTCGAGTAGAAGAAGAGTGCACAGTGAGGAATAAAACAAGGGAAATGCTCTCAATTTAAATCCATGTACACGGGATGTCATAGATGTGGTGCCACCGATCGCAATTGCCGGTTAAAGCAAGCTGGATTATCTCGTCCAAGCATGACAGCCTCTGTTACTCTGTCACCCAATGCATAATTTCCTGTTTCCTGATCCATGGGTGAATCCTTTAGATCTAGCCTTGGCCTTCTTTTCCACCAAAGATCGTATCTGGTGGCCTATAACTCCATAGCATATCATTCGTCCTGAATCACCCTGAGTTAATACTTTTGTTCCTTGAACAGGTTTGATACTTCCCCCAATTACCCCTCAAGCCCAGACCCCGATTGCAGCCCCGATTCCTGAAACAAGTCAATGGAGCCCAGACGCTCACCGAGCACAGACGCAAGACCCCCAATTCGAACAGAAAATGTGATGTCGATGGTACTATTGTTATATTGTGGCGGGAGTACAGGGGTTTCTCCGCTATGGGAATTGCCGTTGCGATCATGAACGATGTGGAGTGGAGGACGTCACCATCCGATCTCCCCACGGAGGAACTCATGGTATCTCCGAGAATCATGCCATTATATCCCAGGGGTGTGAGTTGGAAGCAAGGCTTTTGTTCTTTGGGTTTCTAGCAGTTATTTAGTGCATAATGATTGATTAGGTTAATTTTAGTATTCCACATGTGGACCTTGGGGGAATCGCGTTCCTTTCCACATACTTGACCCCGCATATGCCGTTTTCTTGCCAGAACGAGGCCGATGTGTTTCGGGATGCACTTTTCTCTCCGGGGTATTATGGCTTGGACAACATCTTGTAGGTGTTGTCTACCTTTTTCGGTTGGCCTTGGAATTTACTATGTTGGCCGGCTAATCGACATCCGAATCTATGGGTGCTTGAGCTCTTTGGTCTTTCTCACCATTGTAGTACAAACACCTGAAATATCTGGACTGATGATTCTATAGTGGCTTTGCTCCAGATGCCCATTGTTACTTGGATATCCTATATGGTCAGGTCCATTTAGATGGATTTTCTTCGTGGATGTGCCGCTCTGAAACAGACAGCTATTGAAGAATGGAATTGAGCCATTCGATAGACGTCCAAGCCTGGATGAATTTGCACCATGTCTGCCAGTTCCCCGATCTGGATTTTGAAACGAGGAGATCCAACACACTCGAGTTACATTAGGTGGAACAAAACTACCCGAGACAGATGAGCGATTATCATGCAATACCGTATCTAGGGGCTCGTTCTCAAGAACTAAGTAAGTGAAGATCAATGTCTAACCTGACTGGTCTCTTTGTTCCACAGTTGCGGGGACTTTCTTTAGTTTTCCACCCGGATTTTCTTCTCCCCTGGGCGTCAGCTGGGATCATCAGCATGACCAAGTCGCACGGAAGATCGTGGGTACGCTAGCATATCTTAGTAATTCCCGAAGACCTTTTTTATTGGTTTTACCAAGTGGAAACCCCCATAGGAAGGGAATTTCTTCTCAGCCCCGTATTCCCTGTGGAAATGGTGGTTCTGGTGGAAGCCCCGGGATCGGCCAAGATGGAATAAAGTCTTTCGGAATGGACAGGAACACCAACCGGGGAAGAAAGAAAGGTTATAGCTGAAGAGAGATCACTCTCCCCAGCATGAAGGGAAGAGAAAGGTATTCACAGATTGTGGTAAAGGTGTCCCCAATCAACCTCATATAGAGATTTGGTTACCTCGTCAATTTCCCCAGTGTTTTTTGTATGGAAAGCTTCCCGCTTCACCTGCAAACCAAGTGGTCAACTATTGAAAAGTTACTTCCATTAAGGAAAATCGTGGAATGATATCGTAGAGTGATAGAGTCATTGAGTGTTATCTACTCAGCTTTTGATTAAGTAGAATAGGGCACATCCAGAAATAGAAATAAAAGAAGCGCGAGTGCCGGATGGAAGAAAGCCATCGGAGACAGAGATGCTTGACAAGGGCAAATCCTACGGTTCTTCCCCTTCCATTTCCCTTTCTTCTCCCCCAACCCCCTCATTCACTACAATCCAACCATTTATCAAAAATATATTAAATTCCTGAAAGTTGGGAATCACCTCGTCAACCTGCATCCTCGCTAGCAGCTCAGCCGCGCATTCTCTGCTTGGGTCTCCGCGGCCACAAAGATCCCTCCTTCCTGCATCTTCCCACCACAAACAGATCCATCATCCCATCAGGTATTATCATCTCTGCTTCTTCTTCATCATCCTTTCTCCCGTTCTTTCGCATCTCTCCACTCGCCCTTTCGCCATTTTCCACTTCGACCAATACACGCTGACGTCGCGTTCGCGCTAGATTCTCCGAGAGTCCCACCCCCCTTGACTACCTATCCATGGGTGCCCCCTCTGCCGTCTGACCTTTGTTCGTCTCAATTCATCGTCTTCTATCTCTCTTCGCTTGAATAGCCCCTGCCGCGCTTGATCGGCGCTGGGGACACGGCCATCATGACCGGCGCTCCACCATACAACGCTCAGTCGCCGACTCAGCAACATCGGTTCCCAACCTACGAATCTCCTGGCAAGAACCGCCCATTCTATCCCAACGGCGAGCAGCCACCCCCTCAACAGCAGCCATACTCGCAGCATCCCCCACAGACACCTCCAGCATTCGGCCCATCGTCCGTGTCACGAAGCCCTCGCTTCTCCCACGCGTCGTCACCCATGCCGGCGTCTCTCCCACCACCCTTGAATGGGGCTGCGCCGCCACACGCGGATCAGTCGCAATACCAGGCACACGCCCCGGGTGCTGCATCGCAACTTCCTCTTCCGCGACCCTTTCCAAACTCCGTGCTGCCGGGCAACGGCACCTCACCTTACAGTGCTGCGGCACCGCACGGACATCCCTCAAACCACCCAGATGCTCACTCGCAATCCCCAACCCGTGAGTCAGAATCGCCGTTCCGAGTGAGAAGTAACGGAGCGGGATATGCGACATCCATGATGCGGGAATCTAGACCCGCCTCTCCTCCACGGGAGTCGGTACGTATCAATTATGCTGACTTATGTCCACTAATCACAAAGAAAGACCCTATCTAACAGTACTTGCCACATCTAGAAGCCTGCCCGAGCTGCGGATCCCATGTCATTTGCCAGTATCCTGTCTGGACCAACAGAAGACCAGCCTGCACGGAAACCCTCTCCTCAACCCTCCCATCCCTCCACGCCCGCAGTACACACACCCTCCGTCTACGACCACCGACAACCTGAGCTGACCCCTGTTGCCGGGACGTTTTACCACAAGACAAAGAGCGGCCAGGATAACCATTATCCGGACCCCTTGGGACCACATGTTTCCAACGGCTTCAAATCAGAAGCTGAGCCCATCGAGACTCTTGTCCGGATGCCCCAGCGGAAGCCGTTTCCTCCAGGAGTGGATGCTGAGCAGGTGCACCGCGCTGTGATGGAGATCGACAATGGTGAAAAGAGCGACGTGGAGAGCCCTGAATTTGATGCGGACAAGAAGCAATACCTGGAGAAGTCTCGTAGAAGGGCTTATGAGAGCGATCATATGGAGGGTCTTCGACGCAAGCGCCGTCGCCACGACTTCTTGATCGATCTGGCGAAGAACCTCGAGAAAAGCTATATACTTGGAACGGACCGGTTCCGCGCCCTTCACGAAGGTGCTGTCATCGCAGAGGTTCAACAAAAAGAAGTCCATGATGAGAAGGAACGCAAGAAGGATATGCAACGCAAGCGCCGTCGGGAGAACACAGTGCGCTTAGAGATGCAAAAGAAGCTTGAGGCCGAACGCAAGGCGGACAGTACTCAGGACTCCGCAGAGAAGGCCAAGTTTCTCCGCGAGGCCGAACGTGCTCAGAAGAAGATCAAGTCTACTAAGCGGGCCCTCGAGGGTGGAAATGCCCAGGATGATATGGGTGAAATCACTCCACTTGCGCCCAACCTTGAAGGTGGGACTACCAGTTCCTTCCATATCGGTCGTTCATCCCCCTCACGCCGTCGCTCTGGACGTGCCGGTCCTTCCACTCGCCCGAAGAAGTCCAAAGAGCAAAAGCAAGCCGAAAAGGATGCCGCGGAGGCTGCTTACCTTGCCGGTCTGGACGACGATTATTACATGCCGCGCGATTCCAAGAAGGGTGCTCTCTCCAAAGAGGGCACGCCCAGCCTCCCATTGCAGTACGATAGCAAAGGCTACAACCAGATCTATGAACAAATTTGGCGTGACATCGCTCGCAAAGATATTCCCAAGGTTTATCGCATCAAGACTGTGTCGTTGTCAACGCGCCAAGAGAACTTGCGCAAGACTGCTCAGCTGGCTAGCAAGCAGTCCCGCAAGTGGCAAGAGCGCACCAACAAGAGCACCAAGGACACTCAAGCGCGTGCCAAGCGTACTATGAGAGAGATGATGTCCTTCTGGAAACGCAACGAGCGAGAAGAGCGTGATCTGCGTCGCGTGGCAGAGAAGCAGGAGCTGGAGTCTGCTAAGAAGGCCGAGGCAGAGCGTGAAGCCAATCGACAGAAACGCAAGCTCAACTTCCTGATCTCCCAAACTGAACTTTACTCTCACTTTATCGGTCGCAAAATTAAGACTGATGAGGTCGAAGCTGCCGGCGATGGGTCTGTTGCTGCCACCAACGAGACTGTCAAGGCTGGCAAACCTGGCGCACACACCGTAAACCTCCCCAATAGCGTGGCTGATCTGAGCAGCAAGGTCACTAATTTTGAAGACCTCGACTTTGATGCTGAAGATGAGTCTGTCCTGCAACAGGCGGCTATGGCTAACGCCCAAAACGCTGTGCAACAAGCCCAGGACCGTGCCCGTGCCTTCAACCAGGAGAAGGGTGGTGACCAGATGGCCGCTTTCGACGAAGGAGAGTTGAACTTCCAGAACCCTACCAGTCTGGGTGACATTGAAATTTCTCAGCCTACCATGCT